GAGAGCGAAGAGTGCAGCAGGTGCAGAAATGATGCGTGCATGAATGGACTGCTGCAGTGGCACACCCAAGAGACCTCGTACCAGCTGAACCAAACTAGAACAAATACCTGAGACTATACCAAAAGAAAATTACCTGCTACCTTGGGGGAGGGAGGTCTCATGGGTGTGACAGAGAGCAGTGAAGAAGGGAGTGTGATGAATGGTGCAAGCATGACATGATAGCAACAGATTGCGAAGGTGGGAGAGGAGAGGAAGGGCGGGGTACTTAGCTGTGGGTCGGCTGGGTGGAGAGCAGCTGCTGCCTGTGCACTCCATGTCCCCTACCACTTCCACTCTTGTGTGAGCGACCTGCTGGGACAAGAGAGGGCAGATCTGGACAGAGAGAGGAAGGAGGAGGGGGGGAGAAAACGGGCAAGTGAATGGGGAGCAGGGGAGAGGAAAGAAGCAAAGATGAGAGGAGTGAAGTGAGAGCAAATAGTGCAGCAAGTGCAAGAATGATGCGTGCATGAATGGACTGCTGCAGTGGCACACCCAAGAGACCTCGTACCAGCTGAACCAAACTAAAGAGAATACCTGAGGCTGTACGAAGAAAAAATATACCTGCTACCTTGGGGGAGGGAGGTCTCATGGGTGTGACAGAGAGCAGTGAAGAAGGGAGTGTGATGAATGGTGCAAGCATGACGTGAAAAGCAACAGATTGCGAGTGTTGGGAGAAAAGATTAAGGACGAGGTACTTAGCTGTCTGTGGTTGGGTCGGGTGGAAATTAGCTGCTGCCTGTGCACTCCATGTCCCCCGCCACTGCCACTCCCGTGTGAGCGACCTGCTAGGACAAGAGAGGGCAGGTCTGGACAGGGACAGGAAGGAACGAGGAGGAGAAAACGGGGGAGTGAAGGGGGAGCAAGGGCGTGGTGAGGGATGAGCAAAGAAGCAGACGAGTGGAGTGAAGGGAGAGCGACGAGTGCAGAAAGTGCAAGTTGATGCGTGCATGAATGGACTGCTGCAGTGGCACACCCAAGAGACCTCGTACCAGCTGAACCAAACTCAAATAAATACCTGAGGCTATACCAAGAAAAGATATACCTGCTACCTTTGGGGAGGGAGGTCTCATGGGTATGACAGATGGCAGTGAAAGAGAAAGTGTGGTGCATGGTGCAAGCACAAAGAGCTACACAAGCGCGAAGGAAGGGAGGAAGCAAGAAAGGGGAGTGAGCATGGGGAGACGACCAAGCAGCAGCAGGGAAAGAGGCTCACCTTGTTCCAGACGACCCAATCCCGATACTCTCCCATCCCATCCCAGCCGAGTGGAGTGCTGCCCCCCTCTGCTCCCACCACTGCCACCTGCATGGCCACAAGGGGAGGGGTGCGGAGGAGTGGCGGTGTTGACCCCTGCGCCCCTCCCCTAAACCGGCAAGGAGAGAACTGAAGAAAAGTGAGTAAGCAAAACGAGTACATGGTGGGGTGGGGTGGGGTGGGGTGGAATGGGGTGGAGGGGGCCACTGGTGCAGTCTCAGCTGCAAGCCACAGACTCGAAAGGGCTCTATACCAAGGGAAGCTTAACCTGAAAGGATACCTTCTGTACCAGGGTTAATCTACCAGAAAAATAAGAGTCTGTGGCTTGAAGTTGTGGCATGACCAGAGGCTCAAGCTTGAAGGGAGGCTCAGGTGTATTGGGTGGGACAGAGAGCAGCACACGAAAAGCAACAGAGTGCGAGGGTTGGGAGAAGAGAGGAAGGGCGGGGTACTTAGCTGTGGGTGGGTTGGGTGGAGAGCAGCTGCTGCCTGTGCACTCCATGTCCCCCGCCACTGCCACTCCCGTGTGAGCGACCGGCTGGGATGAGAGGGGAAAGATCAGGACAGACAGAGGAAGGGAAGGGGGGGAGAAAACGAGGAAGTGAAAGGGGGGCAGGGGAGTGGAAAGAGCAATGAGAAAAGGAGCAAATTCGAGTGGAGTGAAGAGAGAGCAACGGGTGCAGAAAGTGAAAGGATGATGCGTGCATGAATGGACTGCTGCAGTGGCACACCCAAGAGACCTCGTACCAGCTGAACCAAACTAAAACAAATACCTGAGGCTGTACCAAGAAAAAATATACCTGCTACCTTGGGGGAGGGAGGTCTCATGGGTGTGACAGAGAGCAGTGAAGAAGGGAGTGTGATGAATGGTGCAAGCATGACATGAAAAGCAACAAAGTGTGAAAGTTCGGAGAAGAGAGGTAGGGCGGGGTACTTAGCTGTAGGTGAGTTGGGTGGAGAGCAGCTGCTGCCTGTGCACTCCATGTCCCCCGCCACTGCCACTCCCGTGTGAGCGACCTGCTGGGATGAGAGGGGGCAGGTCGGGACAGAGAGGGGAAGGAAGTAATGGGGGGAGCAAATGGGGAAGTGAAGGGGGACAGAGGAGTGGGGTGAGAAATGAGGAAAGAAGCAAGTACAAGTGGACTGAAGAGAGAGCATCAAATGCAAAAAGTGCAAGAATGATGCGTGCATGAATGGACTGCTGCAGTGGCACACCCAAGAGACCTCATACCAGCTGAACCAAACTAAAACAAATACCTGAGGCTGTACCAAGAAAAAATATACCTGCTACCTTGGGGGATGGAGGTGTCATGGGTGTGACAGAGAGCAGTGAAGAAGGGAGTGCGATGAATGGTGCAAGCATGACATGAAAAGCAACAGAGTGCGAGGGTTGGGAAAAGAGAGGAAGGGCGGGGTACTTAGCTGTGGGTGGGTTGGGTAGAAAACAGCTGCTGCCTGTGCACTCCATGTCCTCCGCCACTGCCACTCCCGTATGAGCGACCTGCTGGGATAAGGGAGGGCAGACCGGGACAGAGAGAGGAAGGGGGGAGGAGGAGGAGGAGAAAACGGGGGAGAGAAGTGGGAGCACGAGCGTGGTGAGGGATGAGGAAAGAAGCAGACGAGTGGGGTGAAGGGAGAGCAACGAGTGCAGAAAGTTCAAGTTGATGCGTGCATGAATGGACTGCTGCAGTGGCACACCCAAGAGACCTCGTACCAGCTTACCAAACTAAAACAAATACCTGAGGCTGTACCAAGAAAAAACATACCTGTTACCTTGGGGGAGGGAGGTCTCATGGGTGTGACAGAGAGCAGTGAAAGAGGGAGTGTGATGCATGGTGCAAGCACAAAAGCAACAGAGTGCGAGGGTTGAAGAAGGCACTTAGCTGGCGGTTGAAGAAGGACCGAGAGAGAGCTGATGCTGCTGCCACGCGATCATTTCGCCATGCCACAATTCGCGGATGAAGATATCGCCCTCCAACGAATTGCAGACGATGATTCCGCCGTGCGACGACGCGCGGACGACGAGAACCTCCCTAAAAATCGCGAAACCTCGAACTGGCGCCGCCTAATCACATAGCAAGCGGCCGCCAACCGATTGCTTGGCGAGACAGCGTGAGCAGAACCTGCACGATATCAATAAAAAATAACGCTCAGTCGGTTGGAAACGAGGTAAGAATAGGCTGCGGATATGACTACAAACGATGAGAAATGGACTGAAAACGGCGAAAGGAAAGACGCTCACCAGAAATCCCTGAATCTCGGGTGACGACTTTCACAGCAGCTTGGCGACGATGTAAGAAAAGCTGAAGCACGTCGAAGTCGAGTTCAAATGGTCCGTGAATGTGAAGAAAACCTGCAACGCGAAAACATCGCAATCTGGTTAAATAAATCTTCCATTTGAAAAACAAATGAAATCTGCAAGAAATGTCGAATTAGCTATGAAGTGCTCACCGAAATTCGTAGGCTGGAACTTCACAACGAACTGAGTGCGGCGTGGCGGATTCGGCTGCTGATTTGGCGGATCCCAATGTCAAATGAGGAACGATCTCGATGTGAGCGGAGAGTTACGGCTACCGAAATCAAAACGAAAGAGCTTCGCTAGCAAGACGGAGGAGAATGCTCTCAGGTAGTAGAAAACGAGCAGAATGAGCCATGTTGGAGAGAAATCGAGCCGAAAATGGGCAAAAATTGGGCGAGGGGGTCACGGAGTGAGGCTCACTACCCACTCGGTATCAAGGCTGTTTCTCATAGACTAGATCTAACGGTTCCAAAAGGAGAACGCTGAGGCTAAAATCAATCTCAACCGTAGGGAAACTTTCCAACGTGTCACACGATTGTGCGGTTCAGGTACATTGGAACCCTCCGTTTGCAACCCTTTGTCACGTGTCGCAATCGCCTTCAAGCGACTGCACCGCGAAAGAAAATCCTGGGAATCTCCAGAAAGGGTCCGTTGGCGGAAGCGGGAATCAAGGTTGGGAAGGAGCGGACAAAAAGCCCATGATCTGCGACCGTTGATTTGTAAACCTATCAGGTGGATCCGTCATTCCGCCGTTCGACATCTGTCGCCGCTTCGGCCACATTCGAAATGTCGGTGCTGACCAATTAGAGGCTGCCAGACCCCAGCCGTCGAAGAAAGCCGTTGCGAGTGATTTCGGATTTTCTGCTCTCCCTGGCAGACGGGGAAGGTGGGGTGGGACCCCTGGCTTGTGCGAGAGGCAGGTTTTGGGTGAAATTCCTATTGCCGAAATGTCAGACTGGCGAAAAATGCTACCACCTCCAGTGTGGCGAACGATTCTGTAACTTCAGAGTCTTGTCTTCTGACTCGGCCAATGAATGGGCAAAGAAATCTCGCGACGTGACGGAGCCCACCCCGTGATCACCGTGGATCTCCTCCGTGATTCCTGACCAATCCTGTGGTTTCTCAGCTTGCTGAACCACTTCTCGCTGTCCGATATGACGATTGGGGAGGAGACCACTCCCAGACTGTTGGCGAAATGTGCTGTAACTTTTGTGTTACGCGTCTATTGTACGGATGTACCTGCTCGAGCTCTTGGTGGATCCTCGTTAATAAGTTGTTCAGGCAACTTATCATAGCTGAATTGCCAATTCCAAATTCGGGCAAATCCACCACTATATTTGAAAATATGAAAAGCTCTTTGATTTAATACCGGTACATTTCAAAACGGCTCGAGCAGTGTTCAGTGAAGGACTAGTTGAATGTGGAAAGACGGGCGAGCTTGTCGCGCAGGTAGAAAAGCTTAGCCCGCCGTGCCTTTTTCCTGTCAACAACCTTGATCTCTTTGATGTTGGGAGAGTACCTGCAGCGGTCACCAATATGAAATAGCCATTTATCAGACAGGTAAATGAACGGGCAGGAAACCACACACACAGCACAGATCCAGCAGGAATTTTAAATTTGCAAAAGAAAACCAGTGGGATACGCACAGGGGGAAGACCATCTCGACACCAACGCCAGCCATCATCCTGCGAATGCGGAAGGTGGTGTTGATGCCACCGTTACGCCTCGAGATCACAATGCCTCGCACCAGCGATACACGCCTCTTGTTCTCAGGCACTTCCTGCTCAGGGGAGGAGGGGGAGAGAGGAGGTGGGGGATTGAATGGGGGCAATGAGAAAGTGGGGGGAAGTAAGGGGGAAATTGGGGAGATTGGAAGTAAGGGGGGAATGGGAAAGGGCGATCGGGGAGAGTGAGAGGCCAGCGCGGATGCGAGCGGGGAGGGAGAACGGGGAGTGCGGGGACGTGAGGTAAAGAGCAGGGCGTGCAAACGGAGACAGAGGATTGATAAAACTGTGAGCAATTGAGGAACAACAAGGCTGTTAAACATGAACACCAACCCCTGCTTCACAGAGTAACCCAAGATTCCATCAATTTCTTGCATTAACCTCGCGTGTGCATGGTTTCCAGCCTCTTCCTACATGAGACTGCACCTCTCTAAATCTTTCGCAGAGGCGAGACGTCAGATAACCTATTGCACCTTGAACAAAGGCATAAAGTGGAGTTGAAAGAGCAGCGTCGCAACAACCAGCGCGTCTTACCACGCGAAGAGCGAGGACATCGCCAGGCCTGAAGTCTGGAATGTTGCGCTCCTTCCGAAGAGTTTGTGCGGCTTCCTGCGTCAAAACCTGCAGAGGGAAACAATGCAGCATACCAAGCAATCAGGCACGGAACGAGCGTTCAGGCACCATCGCCGCATTCGACACACCATTGCGACATAACCAGGTGGAGCGCGCACCATCGCCGCATTCGACTGCTTGCACCGGAGGAAACCCGAGAACAAACGGCAAACCTAGCACCCGTGAATGTGGCCAGAACCCCCATTCATCAGGTGCTTCATGTGGGCCCTTTTCATCTAAATAGACTGGAAGATCCTGTTATCTGTGCTTGAGACGTCTCGAAACGCGTGGTCCGGCACTCACATTCATGAGGTGCTTCATGTGCGGGGGCTTGGCCTTGGCGGGGGCCTCCTCCACTGCCTCAGCGCCGGCCTCCGCGACTGCCTCCTCCGCCTCTGCGGCCTTTGCGCGGACGCTCAGGCGGCTGGCGGCGTGGAACTTGGGAGCTGAAGGAGCTGCAGGGCGAGATTCGGGAACCGGTGGCGTCAGAGACGTAGGTGAAAAATTAACTTGCGGATACATTCAGACTTGCCCGCAACTTGGGATTTGCAAGGCAAAACAGGGATGTAAAGGGCTGCGGAACGAATAAAGGCTACTAAAAAAATGGAGGCTAAAGTTGATATCCGAGCGTGACGGAAGCTGCATAAACCCTGAGCCGCTACGGATTCTAGGCTCCATAGTAATGACGCCAGGACTACAAATGGGAGTGGACTAGCGAATAGGGGACCTAAGAAGGGCCTAGGTACCTGTAGCGGTGAGGGATTGGGAGAGGCTTCGCCACCATGGGCTGAGCATCGGCGAGGCTGAGGAGGCCAGCCGGTTGGGTGCTCCGAGCTGGGTGCGAGAGACCGCGAGCCTCGGCGCGGACGCCGAGAGAGACGCCTGCGAGGCAATGAAAACGTGACGAGGAGCTTGTGAGAACGAGACGACCTTTCGGGCAAGTTCGTGGTACTATGGAACATAATGCTAACGTCAATAGTGAATGCTAACGTTATCCTGACGGATTACGGAGACTTATAGCGCACCTATGAACCAGCGCGTAGTGAGACTAACGACGGTAATCCGTTTAGACCTACCTGTTGGGTCACAGCAGCCATGGCGCTTCTGAAACAGGCGTACTGCTGATTCAGGTGAGAGAACAACCAGAAACCTAGCGCTAGTGCTGCGTGAAAGAGGGGGGAAGAGAGAGTATAGGGCGTATGGCAATACAGCTGTGTGGTGAAGGGAAGACAGGCGGAGAAACGCGAAGAGCGCATATGGTTACCAGAAAGAGGAAGTTTTCGTTCGCATGTTTAGCTGAATGACGAAAGCTATCCGCATTTGTGATGGAACGGGTTACCACATCAAGGCGGATTGAGAGTTGGCTTGCGTGGCGCTATTGTGTCAGCTGTTTCGGGACCCTGCCTCATCCACCAGCGCGCAAAACGAAATCGAGGGACTCTTCGCCGTCGATGTTTCTGAGGGATGCATCTGGAGACGTTGGTGAATGTGGGTGAAACGTGTGGGAATTGAGGCCTCGTGTTATCTCGAGAAGTGTGAAACAAAGTGTTCATTGTTCCTAAACGGTCTATGTTCCTAGACATTGCAACATCGTGAATTTGTTTTAGGCGCGTATATTTGCCTGTTATCCAGCAAGCAAAACACACTTGGCAAACAGACTCAACACCCTTGTCCTTTGGGGCCTGCTCTGCACTTAGATCAAGCAAGGCCTTAGCTGTGACCTCAGTATCTCGGTCCGGCTACTAGAGTTGCATCATGTATCATCCAACCAGGGGCGGCGTTCGCGGAGGAAAAGATCGTAAGTCAGTAGCCTCATCTCAAGATTGAGGGTCTGCGTTGTGTAGCCTCGAATGTATTTGCTTCGTCGGGTCCTTCCACGGATCTTGGTTCTTGCTGCGCGTTACCCTCTGTATGCTCTTTCCGTTGAAAGACTTAGCCGCGTTCCGATCGCAACCCTACACCGCGCAAGGTTGCCGTTGGAGAATTTCGACGTTCGAGGAGGCTCGGAGTAGATCTCTTTTGTGCACAAGTAACCCTTTCGACCGTCCCATTTACCAAACCCAGAAACCGAACCCTAACTGTTGAAGTGCGAATATGTTTCGTTTTCCCACCCTTGACCAGAATTCAAATGGGACGACGTAAAGAGTGACAAGTTCCGGGAGAATTTCCTCGGCCACAGTGTGATGGCGCCTGTCGGTCGCTGGCAGAAAGGTACTTATCTCCTATCCTTGGTTGCCGGAACTTAACCTCTTCACTGGGCTTCAGGAACTTATCATCTATTCTGCGCTGCAAGCACTTGGGCTGCTCATATGGGCCGAATGACCGGCGTGGTTAGGTTCGCTGACCTAAGGGGCGGGAATCCATACGTGCTCGTCAAAGGCACCCTAAGGTGTCGTCACGCAGGAGGTGCTCTGGTAAACCTCAGGTGCAACCCCTCAACCCCGATGTGCCTACTCCGGGAAGCAAGAACCTGGGATTGATATTCTGTTCTGTATCTCATCGTCCTCCTTATCATTTCAGCTCTTCTCCGCTTTCCAGCTCCAAGTTTTCTTTCTAAACACAGCTTCAAATAACATGGGTGTACAGTGTTAAAATCTGTGCGCAGTCACGTCTCTCTTCCCACCCCCAGCAGCACACTAGGCAAGTACCCACAGTAGCACATTCCTTTGAAATCACCTCTCTCATCTCTACCCTCTCACCATGACACCAGTCAAGGACCTGCAGTGGTACACGCGTACAAAGCCGGGGGACAATGCCGCCGCGAAAGACGCTCGAGACGTCTTAAAATTCTCCTCCCTCCCCTCCCTCTGCCACCACACCAGGCAAGGACCTGCAGTGGTACACGCGGACAAAGCCCGGGGACAAGGCCGCCGCGAAAGCAGCCGCGGAGGAGCAGCTGAAGGCGGAGAGGCAGCGGATGAAGGAGGAGGAGGAGGCGGCAATGAACGAGATGCTGGGGATAGCGCCCGTGAAGCGGAGAGGGCCGAAGCCGGGGGACAAGGCAGTCGTGAAGGACTCTTGAGTCGAGTTAAAAGCCCCCCCATCCCTCTCCCCCTGCCACCATACCAGGCAAGGACCTGCAGTGGTACACGCGCGCAAAGCCCGGGGACAAGGCCGCCGTTAAAGCAGCCGCGGAGGAGCAACTGAAGGTGGAGAGGCAGCGGATGAAGGAGGAGGAGGAGGCGGCAATGAACGAGATGCTGGGGATAGCGCCCGTGAAGAGGAGAGGGCCGAAGCCGGGGGAGACGCGAGGCATGGAGAAGGGCGAGATGGATGAGCTGTTCAGGAGGGGGCAGAGCGGCGTGGTGCTGACGCAGGAGTATGCGTCAGGGGAGAGGATTCAGGGGCTTGGATTTGCACCGTGAGTGACCTGATGATAGTGCTTTTGGAGCTTTTGCCTTTTGTGCTTGCTTGCGCTTCCTGTGGCCCTCCCGTTTCTTTCAATGTTGGCCGTTTCAACCTTTGTCTGTTCGTACTGCGAGCCTCCATCGATGTGACATTCCTTGCTCACTGTAAGATCACGAGACGTTTGAAAAAGCGTGGGTACTGTCTGCTGCACATGGTCTGCAGGGCACCGGGGCATGAGGAGCGCGTGGCACGCATGAAGAAGCAGTTGGAGGAAAAGATTGCTGCACAGGGTGCTGCTGGGGCTGTCAATAGCGAGGATAATGCAGCAGGCAGCAGTGCCAGGGCTAGAGAGGCTGGAGAAGACGGCGGGAACAGCGAGGAAGAGGACTTGGAGGAGCAAAGGGCACATGGTAAAGGGCGTGAAGAGCCAGGACTTGGAAAGGGGGATGGTGGGGAAGGAGGTGAAAGAAGGAAGGGGAAGAATAAGGGGGATAAGGAGGGTAAAAAGAAGAGGAGAAAAGGCCGACATGCTTCGTCCAGTTCCTCCTCGTCTTCAGGATCAGAATCAGATTCAGAATCAGAATCAGAATCGGACTCCGACTCAAGTGAGGGTGGATCAGACGAGGGGGGAGGAAATGGTGGTGGAGGAGGGGATGGAAAGAGGAAAGACGGGGTGAGGGAGGATGGAGCAGCAGGGGAGGGGGAGCGGAAGAAGGGTAAGCGTGCGAAGCAGAGGGAAGAGAGGAGGCGTGTGCGGGAGGCAGAGCGTGAGGGCAAGGTTCGGGTGAGCAAGAAGAGGCAGCGGCGGTACGCTCGGGAAGAGAAACTGGCTCGGAAAAAGGTTCGGAGAGAGGAACGGCGGCGTGCGGAGAAAGAGCTTGCTGTGACTGCTGCCAGAAGGGATGGGCATGGAGATGAGAAGCAGAGTGAAGGGGCCGGAGACAGCAGGAAGCGGGAAAGGACTAGGGAGGGTGAGGGAGACAGGGAGGTGGGGCAAGGGAGGGGTGTGAAGGGTGATGCGGGGAGGAGTTTTGAGGCGATGTTTTCAATGGGGGGTCTGGAGGCTGATGCGGGCAAGCTGAGGAAGATACGGGAGCAGGCTCAGGACAAGGAGGCGAGGTTGTATGAGAGGAGAGAGTACAAGAGGTTAGCCAAGGAAGAGAGGAGGAGATTCCAGGGAAGGGACTGAGCTTGGGTTGGTGGTGATTATGGTGTTGAAGCAAAGTTTTGTTGCACAATACATGTGGATTACACGCGATTTCTCCTCTGTGTTGCTGTGGTGCTTCAGTAAAAGAGTGTTGGCGATAGCAACCTCTTGTATATGACATATCTGTAGTGGAACATCAGCCTTTTGAAATTACCGTATATATACCAAGTGTTACACTTTATTTCACCACTTTTGCCCACGAAAGTGACGCGCCTCGAGTGCGTGAAAGACGATCTGACAGCGCGAGGGAAAGCTGTCAGATTCAGCGAACTTCAAAATTGACAGTCCTTGGCATGGTCGATCAGGAGAAGAAAAGCGTAAGACAGTCTAGAGGTGCGGCATCAGGATCAGAAGCAGCCTGGGAGTGTGTAAAAGGCGATCAGGCCGCTGGGAAGACTTACTATAGGAAGAGTACTCTAGAGTACTCTGGGAAATTGGCAAATTGGAGGTATCTCAGTGAACTGAGCGCTTTTCGCTAGATTGTAAGTTGCTGGAAACCGGCTGGATGGAACGTTGACGCTACCAGGCGGATTAGAGGCGAAGTTTCCGAACCAGCGCGTGCGGACGGAGAATCTTGAGGCGAACGATCCAAAGCTTCAAGCTTGGTGTGCTCAGCACAGGGCGATGCGATGCGATGCTGGCCTGGTCTAGCATGATACCGTCTTTCCGCCACTGACTCACTCTTCTCTTCCGGACATCCGTCATGATGTCCTCCTCGCTATTAGATAGCCAGATCACCAGAGCAGTCCGAGAAACGAAGCATGTTAAGCGAATCTTCGGTGACTAATTCCGATGCCGTGACTGCTCGCGCCACTCGTCGGGAACCCTTCGATTGCAAAAAACCCATGGAATTCACCGGCCTCTACTGATGCAATGCGCCCACTTTAGGGCGTCGGATGATCGTTTTCGCCGCCGTGTCTGCCCCAGCGGCGTCAATTCTGTTACCAGACGCACCGAAACTACCCGCTGCCACGTCAGCGAGGGAAGCTCGATACGAGAAAGAGAACGAGCTCAGCCAGATGGACATTTGGCTAAGGGGGAGGAGGGGGGTACTTCTCGGTCCTTCGCGGACTTGGTGCCGCTGCTGATGGAGAAGAGTGCTGAAGCCGTCACCAAGGTGGTTGCGTCTCGCACTGGCGGTCTCATCGTTCTGAACGCGCTCACCATGCTCTACGGTATGCAGGCTGCTAGCCGTTTGATAAAAGCATATTTGCATCGGGAATTCCACAGTCATTTGCCCCCCTGCCTCCCTTTCTCTTCACCCTCCGAGTCGTCAAGTCAATTGCGCTTCCCTTCCTCTTCCACCCTCCGACAATTGAACGCTCCACGTCCCTTCCCTCCAATACCTGCGGCACACCCGCACTGCATGCAGCCAGCAACGGCACGGTGATCAAGGGCGCAGAGGAAGCCGCAGGAGGGCCGCTGCAGTTCTGTCTGGGTCGCTTCGCCATTGCTGCACTCGCGCTCTCTCCGCTGCTCCCCGCCGCCCTCGCCAACCCCGCTGTCCGCCGCTGCGGCATTGAGATGGGCCTGTGGGCGGCTCTGGCGTACCTCTCCCAGGCCTTCGCACTCATCACCACTGGCGCTGGTCGTGTGGCCTTTATCGGCACTTTCACTGTAAGCAGGGGAATGATCTTTTGTAGATTCCTCTTCACTTTTGGCTTTTGGGTCGGCTAAGAAGTCATCCCTTCACTTTTGGCAGTTATCCTCCGAGAAAGTCAGTTGATCAATATCGGTTGTCTCGTACTCTGTTGTGTGACCCGCGAGGCAGATGATAGAGGTGCCGCTGGTGGCGGGGCTGCTGGGGGCGCGCATCCCTCCCCTCGTGTGGGCTGCCACTGCCTCCGCCGTTGCTGGCGTTCTCCTCCTCGAAGCCAACTCCGAAGCCTCCACGCTGGTGAGTCAACTCATGTTCTGAAGCTCGGTACCCGTGATCACAATACTTAAAATGGGGTAACGTGTATGTCAAAGAACAGTGTTGACGCTATATCCCCATTGCTGGATGCCGTTCTTAGTCTCAGTTTTAAGTCGACTTTAAAAAAGAACAGCGTTCAGGCTTATGTATCACTGTTGCTGGATGCTGCTCCCAGCCCCTTCCACCTTAGTTTGGGACTAACCCTCTCTATCCCTCGTCCTGTGTTCCTGTCCCCTCACCCCTCCGCACACACCGCTAGCTCAGGTGGGGGACGGCCTGGCACTGGTGAGCGCCATGGCGTTCGGGCTGCTCATGGTGCGATCGGAGCACTTCGCTAAGACTGTGCCTGCTACAGCGAGCCTTGACCTCATCGCCCTGCAGGTGACGTGGTCTGTGCTGTGTGATTCACGTGTGGGGTGAGTGAGTTGGCTGCTGAGAAGATAACAGGTCTGTTAAGACTGTGCCCGCCACAGCGAGCCTTGACCTCGTCGCCCTGCAGGTGACGTGAGCTGTGCTGTGTGATTCGTGTGACAGTTACACGTACTCTCAGGTTGCGCAGCATTGACTGGAACTCTTCTCCTCTGTGTGTACTCATTGCTGCTCACTGGCAGATATCCACAGTGGCGTGCTGTGCTGCCATCGGCACAGCACTCATCACCCTCGTAGACCTTCCATCCGCCACCACCGCCCTTGCAGCCGACATAGCGGCTCAGACGTCCCTGCCTGGATTTGCCGCCCAGGCCAAGGAGCTAATCAGTGCCACGTCACCCACTGATGCTGTGGAGAGATTAGCGATGTTGGCGGGCTCGTGGCCGTGGGTGCAGATGGGGTACACTGGGGTGGTTTCCACCGCCCTCTGCCTCTGGCTTGAGGTTCGTTGCTGCTGTTCCTTACCAGGTTGGACCCCACTCCCACCACTGCCACCCCCCACACCACCACCACCCTAGCTACTCCCGCCACCACTCCCACCACTGCCACCCACACCAATGCCACACCCCCACCACTGCCACCACCTTTGAATCTCTATCCCTCTTTGCCAGTTGTCGCTGTTTTCTGCCATGCCTTTTGTGAACCGTATCCACCGAGCTTACACATTGTTACATATTGTGTGGTTTGTGTGTTGATTCAGATCGTGGCACTCCGGCATGTAGCGGCATCTGAAGTGGCCATGGTCTACACTCTCGAACCGCTATACTCGGCTCTCTTAGCCTCCTTTGTCCTGCAGGAGGAGTGGACAACTGTAGGGTACCTGGGAGCAGCACTGATATTCGGTAAGTGTCCAGTGCGACTCATTTTTCATATTCCAGCTAGTATTCGGTATTGCTATTCAGTTTTGCTCCATTGCCACTGTCTCACCAACAAACGTTGCATTCATTCTTGATGCAGGCGGAAGTGCTGCTGTTCAGCTTGGGAATGGCAGGGATGAGAAGACTGAGCGTGACGTTCTGGAAAACTCGGCAGCAAAATAACATCCTAGTATCATGCTAAAGGCTCATCTGCAGCGGCATGTTTAAAACCTCTACACATGTACCCATGAATGCAGTTGTTACCACAATACCCAACAAGGTGACACAAACACCACTGCAAAGGTGTCTCTCTTGAAATGCCAAGCCCCTTCGCAAGTCCTAAGCCCTGTCATAGTGCCTTAGTCGGAACAACAGCACCTTTCCCCGCCGGTTCCCAACAGCCACGTACCCACTGTGCGGGCTGAACTCCACAGCATGCCATTTGTGTGCATACCAGGCAACCAGTCCCATTGAAGCAGCTAAGCTCTATCATAGTGCCTCAATCTAAACAGCAGCACTTTTCCTCGCCGGTTCCCAACAGCCAGGTATCCACTGTGCAGGCTGAACTCAACAGCGTGCACAATGTGCAGCGCTGCTTGTGTGCATATCATGCAACAGTCCCATTGAAGCAGCTAAGCCCTATCATAGTGCCTTAGTCGAAACAGCAGAACCTTTCCCCGCCGGTTCCCCACAGCCAGGTATCCACTGTGCGGGCTGAACTCGACCGCGTGCACAAACTGCAGCGCCGTGCGTTCAGTGGGCCAGTTGAAGAAGACGGAGCGCGACGGCACGTGCACCAGGCGCAGCGCATCACGGTGCTCTCGGGACGAGAGGGCGAGAATGCGGCCGTCGTGGTTGAAAGAGAGCGCGTCGATTTCAGTCGTCAGATTCATAAATGCCCGCTGCAGCGGCTTCTCGCTGTCCCGGCTCCAGCCTCCCGTTCCCACTGCTGCTTCTGCTGATGATATGCTACCGAAGGGACCTGAGCGGAGGAAAGCGGGGCGGTCGTAGAGGTTCACAACACCCGAGTCGGATCCAGCCGCGCAATGCCGCCCGTCTGGAGACGCTGCAATGGCGGTGCCCTTGACACACCCGTCGTCTGCCCGCCTGTGGATGCAGCGCATCATGCGCAGATCAAAGTGGTATATCTCCCCGTCACTCCCCGTCGCCAGCATCTGATGCTCCCCTGTCGAGGCCTGCCCGCTCGGACCAGTAGCCTCGTCAGCACCGGCGGCAGCAGAGGAGGGAGACAAAGGGGGTGCGAAGCAGACGGAGGAGACGGAGCCGTTGAGCTTGAGGTTACCCATCCACTGGCGGGACTTGAGCGATACAAGCACGATAAACCCGTCGCGCGACAGGAACGCCGCCTTGCCTCCGTCCGGGGAGAGGGCGAAGCGGGTCAGCGGCGGGTCGCGCTTCGGCCGCCCGATGATTCCATCCACACGGGCGACTCGCCCCGCGCCGATATCATACACGTGGTAACCGTTAAACGCCTCTCCTGTAGCGTAACCGCGGTTGGCGTTACGGCCGTTCCGCCCGGCCACGACCACCTGCGTGCCGTCCGCAGTGAAAGCTGCGGTTCGCACGAGAACATTCTCGAAATAGATGGACTGAAGCTCGGGATTCTCCTCGCCGTCCACGTGGACGAATCTCACCCGTCCATCCATGCTCCCGCACAGCAGCAGCTGCCCGTTCGGGTGCCAGCTCAGCGACTGGATCGCGCGGGACGGCGCGAGGGGGGTGACGGCACTGGCGCCAGTAGGGGCCTGCCAGTTGGCGTCTCGCACGCGGGAGATTCGGATCCGCCCGGGCGGCAGGCGGTGGGTGGTGCGCTGGCTGGCTCGGTCCTTGCTCTGGCCGGCAAGCATTGGCATGTTGCGCAGAATCTCATCCGCATCAAATCCGTCCTCATCCTCGTCTCCCTCACTCTCTCCCTCCTCCTCGTCATCGCCCATTCCCATTGCAGCTCTCTCCTGCTCCAAATCGCTGAATCCTCCCTCCGCCTCCCCATCTGATAACTCCCCTGCATCCACCTCATCTTCCTTCTCCTCCTCGCTCTCGCCATCCTCGTTAAAGCGCTTTTCTTTAATTGCAGTGGCACGCTTCTCCTTCCTCGTAACCGGCTTCAACCCCTCATCATCCTCTGTTTTCCTCTTCGATTTTTCCTTCTTTTCCTTCCGCTGCTTCCCCAACCCTACCTTAGCCCACCTCGTTCCCGGGTTCAACCTAGCGTGTTGCGCACGCAACCGCTGCTGGTACTCCACCCCCGATACAGCCACCTCGTCCTCCTCCTTCCGCAGCTTCCTCAGCCGATTCTGCCCCGCTATAGTCACAACCAGCGTCTCGTCCTCCTCGTCCACCCACGCGGGTTTCTCCGCTTCCGCCTCTAAACCCTTCCCCTTGCGCTTCTTCCCCTTCGAACCCTTCCGCCCGTCCTCCTCCTCCACTCGCTGCTTCTTGCGGTCGATAAACCCCAGCAGAACCTCGCCCCCTGCCAAACCCCCCGCGTCCCCGCCTTCTCCGCCGGGATCTCCGCCGAAATGCGCGGTGATTAGATCCTCGCTGCTCTGCGGAAGGTCCGCGGCAGCTTCGCTGTCGACGGCCCCCGCTGCCAGCTCATTTCCGAGGTCTGCCACATAATCGCTTGATTTTCCGAACAGAATGCTCTCTAGCTCCTTCGCCTTCTCCGCGTCGTCCGCCGCTCGTGCCGCTCGCTCTTGCTTCTTCCGCTTAACAGCGAGGCGCGGAGCCATTGCGAGGTGCGTGAATACAGTCACGCAGCAGCGATTATGAAAAAGACAGTTCGCGACAGTTGTTGGTGGGGAGAGAGACTTCCACGCATGTTTGGTTGTGTGCCTCAAAGAACTAGAGTGCGTCACAAGTAGCCCCAAGAGATCGTGGGGGCTGTTGCTCGAAAGTAAAACGCATAAAACCGATCTGAACCAGCTGTTGTGATGGCAAGTGTCGCTTGTTATGTACTGCATAGCACAAATATTATTCAACATATCTTCATCCCGTGTCTCCAACATACATATTATGAAGCATTTGTTCCCTACTTGCTCAACGGTGTGCTGTGCACATAGCCATTCCTCCCCTCCTAGAAACTAGTGCAATATTCATGTTATAGTTTCTTGCATAACAGTAAACAAAAACATAAATATCCGATTCTCAGTCAATTCAGTATTTACTTGCCAGCACCGCCAAGGCGCAGGGCCTGGAGAATGCGGCCTCCACCGGGGGAAGGGTGCGGGCCCTTGTACTTCCCGAGCTGAGCCTCTGAATTGGCCTTTGCCAGTGCCACCAACCTCTCCTGAGCCGCTGCCTTGTTCTCCGGCTGAATGCGGAAGAGGGGAAGGAAGGTACGGTGATAAAGGGGAGTGGCAGGGTAAGGGACAAGGGTCATGGCACTAGTGACTAAACTGACTGGCAGACAGAGTGGTTAGCATTGGTGCAACGGGTATACACACGAAGTAGGTACACGAACCACAGAGCAATTTAAGTGTGAATAGGGAAAGAGAGAGACAGAGGAAAAATGAGAGAACAACAATGGAGTGAGATGACAGGTAATCATACTGCCATGCAAATCAGAGGCACTGAAGGGAACAGTACAGTACCTTGCCGGACCAGATCTTGAGGGTGGAGGCTTGGAGAGCGCGACCGTACGAGAAGGTGAGCGACCAGGGGTGGGGACCATAAGCCTGAACACATGGGAAAGAATGAGAGGAGGCGATGAGAATCAGTATGCTAGCACGAGACATGCAGTCTGAAAGCAAGTACATATCAAGTATGCTATTAGAATCGATATCAAGCATGATATTAGAATCGGTAGTGCTATGGGCCAGTGCACTGAGCCTCACCTGCAGAGCGTTGAGGTTGAGAGTGGCCTCCTCCTCGCTCATGCCTCCTGACAGGAAGTGCACGCCGGGCACGGCGGCAGGCACGCAACGGCGCATGGTGCGCACCGTGTAGCGCGCCACCTCCTCCGGGGACGCACTCGGGGCGTCAAGGCCTGCAGAAGGCGTGCGTGCAGGAGGACAGGAAGATGTTTAGGGACACCTCAGGCAGTACCAAGGTTGAATGGTTCATGCAGCGATGACAGATGGGCAACAACAGCTTGAGGGTAAGTACAACTGTGCCTGAAAGCACACGCTATGATTGGACGGGATTTGAAGAGGGGAGGCAGAAGTTGCAATTGGGTGGAATGGGTTGCATACCTGGGAGGATCATGTTGGGCTTGAGCAGAATCCCCTCCAAGATAATGCTGCGTGAATGGACATCACAATGGGTGGGGGAGGTAAAACCGAGAAGAACAAGCTTCAGTTACAATGTGTACATGCTTGGTGCACCCTGCTCACCCTCCCATATTCTTCCTGTAAAATTCGAATGCAGTGATTCCATGTTTCTAATCCCGCATGAGATGGCTGTAGGTGTGTGACTTCCGGGGTCTTTTGCATCCTAGGACTCCACATTTGCATGCTTCTTTACTTCACTCCACCTGCCCCTTCAGTCCCTTCACACTCAGTCCCTCCATTCGCATGCACATGCAAAACAGGGAACTCACTTGTACTCGTTGAGCATGCGGAACACATGCGAGTAGACCATCTCTGACACATAGGCCGTGCGCTCAATGCTGTAGTCACCGTCACCCAGCGTCACCTCAGGCTCCACGATGGGCACCAGACCGTTCGCCTGCAGAGACAAGGCCAAGGGGACACCTTAAAACCTGGAGTATTTGAAACGCTTTGGGAAACGAATTCGGGGCTCAATGGATAAGCCGGTGGGTTCCCACAGGGAGTCTGTACGAAACCTTGGGGTCACGGGAAAGGGAGGAGGCGTCTGGAAGCACACACCTGGGCGATCTGCGCGTATCTGGCGAGCCCGTGCACGTTCTCCACGACGGCGCATGAGGTGGGGTGCTTGGCGTCGTCCACCTTGATCACCGCGCGCCACTTGGCGAACCGCGCGCCCTGCTGGTAGTACCTGAGGTGGGGGAGACGGACGGGGGAAGGGCGAAAGGGCAATGACAGGGATACACAAGCAGTTTGTATGGGTAGCATCCGAATTCATGCTTCACAGACGTCATGCAAGTGCCTGCCTATATTACCATCAGTGGCATTGGCATTCACGAGTCACGGAGCCCAAGCAAACCCCTCCTTTCCTCCATACCCATTCCCCTCCCCCCACCAATCCACGCCCGCACGCACCTCTTGCAGCGGTCAGCGAGGCCGTCCAGCCCCTGCGTGGCGGTCTCGCCGTCGGTGCCGTCGATGGGCTGCAGGCCCGTGTCCACCTTGATGCCCGGCACGATGCCCTGCGCGCGCAGCACGCCCACAAACTGCTCGCCGCCCGCCGTCGACTGGTACAGCGTCTCGTCGAACAGAATCGCGCCGCTGATGTACTGCCCGGGGGGAGCGGGGGAGGGGGCGCGAGGAGGGTAGGAAAATGGGAAAGCGGGAGAGGCGGAGAAGAAGGGGAGGGAAGGGAGAGAGACAAGGAGGATTAGGAGAGCGCAGGGACGGGTTGAAACGGGAAAGGGGAAGAGTCAGCGTGCGGCGTGGTAAAGTGGGGACGGAAGGAGGGCATGGGATGAGAGCAACGGTAGGCGGGCGGGAGGCGGGAGGTGGGAACAACAGAATGCGAGGTGCATGGTGGCTGGAGAGCGAAGGGACATACGTTGCCGAGGCCAGGAGCGGTGTAGAGCAGCTCTCTCCAGTCGCGCCTGTTGGTCTCCGTGTTCTCCACCCCCACGCTGTTCAGCCTGGTGACACGCACGTCGCACACCACACCACGCGCACAAAAACGCAAGGAAGAACGCCACGCAGGTTCATCACTCGTGTTGAAGCGCGTATTTGCACATTAGGAAACCCGACGGTAACGTGAAGACGGGAACATTAGCCATGTCAAAAAATGGTAGTCTGGTGAACAAGCAATTTCAACTGTTTTCCGTTTCTTATCGTGGTTCTCAGCGCACCTCTTCCCCGTTGTGGCGTTGCTCTCGTCGGACGCGAGAATGCCCTTGCCTGGCGCCGCAATGTACGCCGCCGTCTTCTTCAGCTCCTCCGTGTACGGATTCGACTTCTCGAACTCTGACGTCATCACCACCGCGCTCGACGCCGTGGATGCCGCTGAGACATTCGCGGCGGGCTTAGCGGAAAGACGCGCGCCAAAGAGAGAGGAGGTCAAGGCCGGTGTTGACACCGACGCCACTTTGCCTGGAACAACGGGCATTGGGAGTAAAGACGACGGTGAGTTTACGTGACAATGCAATGTCTCCGTAGGATAATGATCACGATAATGACATTGCGTCGCGCTAGCAATGACGACAGCGAACGTCTATACATGTCTCATCGTAACTAGAAGTGTCATTGAAGTTATTATTGCCACAGTGAGAGAACGCAATGTGACGAGCGTAACGGGGTGAACAGCCTCATGGTGAGCGAACAATGTCATCAACCTATTTACCAGAGGCAAGGCAGTGCAGCTTCGCAGCGCTACCAGCCGAGACGGCATTCACGGTCATGTTAGCAGTTGCCATGGCTGAAGGCACAAGTGACGTTTCACACTGATTCCTCGGATGATGACTTGACCAATGTGTGCCTGGAGTGGTCACGAGGAATCTGTGAAGAAACAAGCACATCTGTCAGCCGATGGAATATATGCTAGCTGGGTCGATGGTAGCAATGCTCCTTTGTGCTGTGAGTGACCAGCTGTGGCTGTATTTCCAATTCATGCTGAGGGGTCATTTCCCAGTGCTGGCGCCACGCGAATCGGATGGCTGGGTGCTGGTGGTGACTTCTTTTGCTGAATTGCGGGGCCTTGTGGTGATGCACAGGTGGCAATTGCTTTGTGGTTTCGAGGGCGGTGTGTATGATCTGGCAAAGTGAGCAGAGGTCAATTCGCCACGCGGGCTCCCGACCGCCCTGGATAAGGACGCACTTCGCTATTGGCTTTGGAAACACGATTGTTCGACACACTTTTGCAAAGTTTTGGAATCACAAAAACCTAACAAGCATTGATGAAATCAAGTCACACGAAAATCAATATGAAATTACAATGCCATTGAACAAGCAAGGGCAGGGCAGAACAAGGTACCGTTCCACTACCAACAACATGAAGAATGGCCTATTACGAAATACAGAGGTCCAGTGAGTCAGGTATTGGGAAGGAATAAACATAAGAGTTGCCTTGATGGCAAGAATAGTTGGGTAAACACACACCCAGCAAGCCTGACCAGGGCTTAGCTGTTGCAGCTGGGAAATGTTGAAGCATACAAGTAGTGCAGGAATCCTGAAACATTACAACAACTCCTGGCTCCATGTGGACCATCTCATTTCTGTCACACGCCCATGAATTGTTGATCACGGTGGAACTTGCAATACTTGGCTCCTCGTGCCAGTGGCCGAGCAGCATCAGCGCAGCGGCCATGCAGCTTGTTCACGGACTCCTCTGTAAGCTTGCACCGGGCTCCGCTCTGCGTGCGTCCATGGCACCGCCGTGGGGCTGTGGGATCGTCCTCAAAGGTGGTGGCGGTACGAGCAACACTAACACCTGGCTGCTTCTTACCGCTGATGCTGGGAGCAGGGGCGCGACCACCACTCCCCCCAACTTCCGCAGCAGGCTCACCGGTAAGAAGGGCTTTGAGGCCTCCATCCTTGCCCTGAAGGCAGTATGGAGAAAATAATTAGAAATTGATTATAAACAAAGACGAATATCGAGGTAAGGGATGACGACCACGCGAATTCGACACAAGAAGCCTGTAAGGAAGAGGAAGTGTAGATATCTCCGCACCTGCATCTCGCGGAAGGCGTGGACTATGCTGAGCAGGTCCATGACAATCTGGATGTTGTTCTGCATGACTGGGTCGAACTCCTCCATAATCCCCGAGCTCTCGACCACGTTGCTCAGGATGATAGTGTCCTCCAGTGACAGAGCATTCAGATCCAGACGCAGGAACAGAGTCACCGCACGCGTGCACTTGAGCGCCAGGCGGTCGCGCGGCTGGTTGTGCACCCCGCCAGCCTCCGCATAGCGCTGTGCCTCGGACACTAGCCACGGGCCAAGGCTCTGCAAATGAGGACGTGTCGAGGGAAAATGATTTGAGTGACATGACGAGCTGGAGCAGATGACACGAAAGAACCGCAGTGACGACGGAATTGCGATGACGTGGAACATTTTAACGACGCGCAAAGGTTATAACGAACAAGACGGACCTGCAGGACAAGAACGATGCTCTTAGCGTCAACGAAATCCTCGAAGAGCCGCTGGCTGCTAACGAGGGATGCCACGTCATCCCTCTCGCAAAAGAGCCGGAAGTTGTCCTTCAGCTCTTCTGGCGTAACCGGCACCCCTTGCCGCGCGTCTTCAGCGTCAAGGAATCCCACGTCCTTGCGCATGTTGTCCATCACCCCGGCCAGCAGGCAGCTGGAAACGACACGGTGGGACGGTACGGTGGGAAGAATGAGAGGTCAGGAGGAGGCATAAGGTCAGAAAGGTAATGGCGAATTCATTGCAGAGGCGGCAAGTGATCACATAACCGCGCAGAGACACCAAAGAGCGGTACCAAATAAGCAGATGTTAAGAAGAATCATGGCTGCTGTCGATGGCCGAGTGGTAAAAAGACGGAACCAAACGGAACAGAAGAAGCTGAGCGAAGCCTTGGATGACTAAGGTTGGAGCAAAGGGCGATAAGCTTGATACTTGAGAGCGCATAACAGGACCCAACAAAAAGCAATTCAACAGACGATAGTTTGAACGCGAGGGGCATGACGAGCTCGAGAAGGCGCAAACAGCCCACATGTATGACCGCGGTGTACTAGCTCGATAGGTCGGTTTAACTATCCCGATTTAACTACAACAACCACACGTAGCCAAAACTTCAAGCTACACAGCCGCCTAACCTTGGTTCGCATGCCGTGGCGCCATTGCAGTATTGGCAGACGATGTTGTTGTGCTCATCCACCCAAAGCGGGATTGAGCCATACGCCTTGTAGACTGTCTTCTGGTTCTCCGACAGGCGGGGAACGGGATCTCCTAACCTGTGCGGCATGGCTGCGTGATATCTGCTCTAACGGTGCTAAAGCTGGCTCACGGAGTAGTAATTAAAACTGTGCTGAATTTAAAAGCTAGAACGAACGTAGGAATAGAAGATGGTCAAAAATCTCTCACGACTTGACGGAGTGTTAGGATCACCTAGCGCAAATGGAGGTGATGGGACAGGAAGACTGGACTGAGCAATCAAAAGGCAGTGGCTAACTTGCTTGCTAGGGTTTGGGGGAAGGTCCTCGGGGAAGCGGAAGGGGAGGCTGAAGCAGATTTGGCTAGGGAAAGCCTGGCAAAAGTCTGGGAAATGGCTCGGAAGGAGGTTTGGGATGCCTTGGCAACGGTTTCCACGAACGGTGTGAGGGGCTCGGTGCTGCTGCTGCTGTGGACCTTGGATCACTGCGCCATTGCTGTGCTGGAACTAGGGCTCGAGACGAGAGGTCAGCCACACGGATCTCTTGGAATCTCGAGCGCGGGGATTTGTCCCGTTAGAAGTTGGGCTGTTCTTGCGAGCGTCCAAGCTAGGCATTGGTGGAACCAAGGCTGATTCACATCTCTACAAACCCCCGCACTTTCAGCGCCAGCTGTGGATGAGGCAAATCATGCCCAAGAGTTTTAGGGATACCGTGCGTGAATCCAAGTCAGTAACAGGTGGCATCTTTTGAGCCATGAAACGCCTAGACGATGACGTGGATATTCGTATCTCTGAGCATGAACAATCTGACGCTTGGTTTGGTCTCCCCCAACCAAGGCAAGTCTGACCCAAGCCAAATCCCAAATTTCTTTACCCTCGAAATAAAATGCATTTTCTATTTTCCATACACTTGTCTTTTACCCTGCTCAGTTGAAACATGGCACCATCAAACAGTTGGAAGACGATCAAGTATATATAACAAAAATCTCAAATATTCATGTTTCAATTTCACTCCAACCCTCTCAAAGATTACACCTGGGCTCGGCACGCATATGACAGCGATGACTCAAAACAAGTGCTACAGTCCCACAACAGCACTGTAGCAGCTAGGTGGGGGCCACAGATCGTTGAACCAGGATCCTGGATCGCTGGGAAGCTGCCATTGTTTCAAGCTTTGTTCTGAAACTTTGAAATGTACACTTAAATATACATATTCTCAACCCAATACAAATGTGAAACATATTGCTATTTCCTACTTACGACTATATCACCCAAAACCCCAGGAGTGACCTTTATTGATATTTTAATACAGAATTATTTTAAATAAAAGACAAAAAATGGAGAATGAATCATATTTACTGGCCCAGAAGCATGAAGTTCATGAACAGAATAAATTGATCAAACGGACGGTTAGCAGATATCTTATCCAACAACCCAAGTGTAGCTGTTGTCCGTCAAGTGGGCTGATGCAAATAAAACGTCTCTACTAACCAGTGTGAAAGTTGACAGTATTGAAGTTATTAAGAACCACTTGTCGTTCGATCTTCATACAGAGAAGTCATCCGACGGTTTCCCATAGCCCCGCTTTGGCGATGTGACTATGAATAATATCTACCGAAGAGTGTTTTCGTGAGTGGTAAACGGTTCGGATTCTGCTGACGTGCGTAAGCACTTGGTGGAGATCGCAACTCAACTGCCACACCGATTGTCAGACGTGGCTGGCGCGAATGGCCGAAAGGGGCGCGAAAAGGCAGTATTTTCCACGGTGGACGATCTTGTGCTGCAAAGTGATATGTGTTGCCACATGGGCAATAAACTTCCCAGAGCTGATCGATCGGCGCTACCAGAGTCTGCCACATAGGCGTACCTTTCATTTCACATGGGTGGACATGCTTAGTTGGCGCAGTTACTGGATAACGAGCAGCTCCAACCGAACCACCACCCATCACCAGAGTAGCTATAACACCCAGGGATCTCATTTACCAAACAATTAGTGCAAGCTTCCACACCAAGTTCTTGTTTCCCCTTTTCCTTTCATAAAAGGAAAATGGCTTCCATCACCTCGTCCGCTATTGTTGCCCCTGTTGCCTTCAAGGCAACTGTGGAGGCCTCTGCTGCTTCCTCCAAGTCCGTGTCCTTCTCCGGCTTGAAGGCTGGTGTCGCTGCCCCCAATGGCTTCGCCGCCAAGACCGTCTCCAACGGCAGCCGCGTCTCTTGCATGAAGGTCAGTCCTTCATTGGCGTATTATCTAGCGGTAGTGGTTACGGGATGGTTGAGTCGGGTTGGTATAGTCCACACATTGTTTCCCTTTCTCAGTGGTTAGTGACTTCCAGGAGATGACTTCCAAAAGTCCACGTGCTAACATCACTTTAACTTTCAATGTGCAGGTGTGGAACCCCATCGGTAACCCCCGCTTCGAGACCCTGTCCTACCTCCCCGCTCTCACCGATGACATGATCATCAAGGAGATCCGGTACATGCTCAAGAACGGCTGGATCCCCGCTATTGAGTTCGACCCCAGCGGTGTCGTGTACAGGGAAAACAACAGGGGCCCCGGTTACTATGATGGCCGCTACTGGACCATGTGGAAGCTGCCCCTCTTCGGCTGCACTGATGCCTCCCAGGTGCTCAGGGAGATCAACGAGTGCAAGTCCTCCTACCCCGGTTGCTTCATCCGTGTTCTGGGCTTCGACAATGTGAAGCAGGTCCAGTGCATGTCTTTCATTGTCCACAAGCCCTAGATCTGGGTTGGAGTTACTTGTCCGACGTAGTTTTCTAATATAAATACATTTTTCAATATTGGCACCCAGTTCTTTGGGCTCGTTTTTAATATCTGGATTTGATTGTGAGTTGCGTCGATGTCGTTCCCACTCACGCATACGTAAGACCTCAATGGCACATGTTGATAGCAACAGCGGTCGTGCTTATAGTACGGGGCTAACGCCATGGTATTATCCGACGTCTGTTGAGGGCGTGGAGAGCGGAAGTAACAAAATAATTCACTTTTGGTTCCACCGAGGTACTCCCATTGCCGAGTTGAGCGTTACCTGCCGTGAAGAATAACAGCGTTACATGGATTCTGTAACGACCCGACTGTCTCTGGAAAATCTCCAGGATGAGCTTTCCAGTGTACACTGAGAGCTGGGCAGATGGTTTGTATCTCCAGTGTACACTGGAGTGGTTTCCGCTGCCTCTCCCTTCAACTCTCCGCCGCACAACCCCCTGTTTTCACTCCTTGAAAGAAGCCTGGTTCCAGCAAACCTACCCTGTACACGGTTTTACTCCTTGAAATAAGTCTGGTTCCAGAAAACCTCAGACTACGTAGATTCAGGGATGCCTGATTAGTCATACTCAGTTGCTGTGAATGAAGGGCTTGTCTGAAATCTCAGGTGCGATAAAGACCTACTGAGCTGTCTTTATCTGGTGTGGTGAATCTGAGCTGCAATTCTTGTATGGGTGATGCACCGAGCGTTGCACGAAGCACTACAGCACCAGACATTCTGCCTTCTCCATGGTTCTGTGGATAGCTGAAGGTGCCCACGCCACCAGGTACCGTTACAGCACCAGTCACAACAACGGAAATCCAGACTAGGGAACTCGGGGATTACAGTTCACATAATCTACTTGACTGGTAGACCACGGTCATGGAAAAATGGCTTGAATATATCTACGGTAGTCACATGCACGAAAAGACTCTTTACACACAGATAGAATCAACACGTGCACATTTGATATCCTGGTTACAACTGAACGACGCAGTTGTGTACGATTCGAATCTCCTGGCAATTAGGTACATACATAGAGCACCATCCCCCCCAACCAGACTCTGTGTACCATCCTCATTTTCAGTAGCAAGCTCAAGCAAGGGGATAGTAGCACGTACAGCTAATTAAAACGCTACTTTCGTTTCGCAAACGCAAGCCACACCAATGAATCAAGCAAAGTTGCGGGAACGTAGGACATGAGTACAGCCAAGAGTGCCTGGTGGCCATACAGAACCCGCCACGGAGGACTGCCTTTTGCCAGTGCCACGTCAGCGAGTCGTGCAGCAAAATCATCAGTGTTAGTGGCCCAAGGATTATATGCACTAGCAGCAAACTGCTCTCTGTAACATGCCTCGTAGGACTTGTAAAGGCTTGAACTGGGAAGGACGGGAGCGCTGGCAAGAGCGTTGCTGCAGCGATCAGAGAGACATCACCAGTGGAGTGGAGGGGGGCATGAGGATATTACACTGGCTGCATTGCAATGTGGATGGAGAGTGGAAGGAACGTGCAACGTCATACAAACATGAATGTACGAAGAAGGCTGAATGTGGGAGGAGTGCGCAATGTGGGAGGAGTGTGCAATGTGGAAGGAGTGTGCAACGTGGAAGGAGTGTGCAATGCGTGAGGAGTGTGCAATGTGGGAAAAATGCTACAGCCAGGCAAGGAAAGAGCAATCACCTCCCCAGCATCCAGATTTTTGGGACGCAAAAACACACAAACGCGGCAAATCTAGTAGTGCCTAACAAAATTAAAGCAATCAGCGGACCAGAGGACTCGGACTTGGTGTAGCCTGGTGTGACAAGTACAACACGCAAGCCAGGCTCCACGCTCATAGTGGAGTAGCAGCAAACAACCAAGTGACGGGAAGATTCGCGACTTGATGTAGCCGGGTGTGACAAGCACATTGAATGTCCCAAGGATCTAAGCCCGGAAGCCCTAAGGTTCAAAGTAGAGTAGCAGCAAGCAATCAACTGACCGGAAAATGCGCGACTTGATGTAACATCCCCGGTGTGACGAGTACAACGTCGATGCCGAAGGGTCGCATCTCCATGCGCATGCAGCTGGCTTCTGAGGCACCTCAAAAGCAGATCAAGCAGTCAACTGACCAGAAGATTCGAGACTTGATGTAACCCGGTGTGACAAGCACCACGTCGATGCCGAAGGGCCGCATCTCCATGCGCATGCAGCTGGTGGCCGCTGCAAGAGCCGCCTTGCTGGCAGAGTAGGCACAGCTCCATGGCCTGCATTAGCGGAAGGTGATTCAACGAACTAGTTCCCTCAGAACACTTTTTGAGGCGCGCAACAACGATACGAAATGGTTATACGAGTGTAGTTGTTAGCATTTCCACAAAGCGGCATTTCCATAAAGTGGCATTTCCAATGGGATGCAGAAAGTTGAGCGCGCAGGTGATGGAAGGTACTGTATGTTGGAAACGCAGCTAAGGAATGACGATTGCTGAGCATGAGGGATGGGAGAGAAGAGAGCGACTCACCTGTTGACATATGCCGCGACACTGGCCATGTTCAAAATGCGTGAGCGAGTCCTGTGAATAGGAGGCAGATGAAGAGGAGGAAGAGGCAGAGGAGTCAGATAATGGAAGCAGAGGCAAGAAGTGCACAGAGATCAATTTGTTTCATAGATGGCCTCACGTGCTTGCTATTGCTGATTCCACTCCGTTTCAGCAACAAGATTCTATTATTGCAACTCACAAAGGAAGGGAGGGACACCTCAAGCCATGGCAACAGCACAGCAAGCAAGCAAGGAGAGGGGAAAATCAGGAAGATTCAGACACAGTCAAAGATATCTCCTACAGCCGACCCATTTTGACACCTGCCTGTTACCAGCGTAGCGCAAGCAAGCCGGGGAAAGAAAGGGGAAAGAAGGGTAACTCACTGCTGCTGCGCCATGACCGGGAAGACCGCTCGAGCCATGGCGACAGCGCCATAGAGATTGACGTCCAACACCTGGCGGAGCTGGTGCAGACGCACATCGGCCACGGGGCACGGCATGCCGATGCCCGCGTTGTTCACCAGCACGTCTACCCGCCCCTCCTCTGCCACCACGTGGGTCACCGCTGCCTGAGAGGCGCACGAGGGAGGAGGGAGGAGGAAGAAAAGGACTTTGAGCTGATTGATATTGCACATCTGACATGGAGCATGGCATGCCGATGTCTGCATTGTTCACTAGCACGTCTAACCGCCCCTCCTCCGCCACCACGTGGGTCACTGCTGCCTGAGGAAGAGATTTGAGGAGAAAGGGAGAGGTGTGAGGAGGAAGAGGTTTGAGTGACTCAAGAAAGCAGATGGGCCACGTGGGGAGGGGGCACTTTGAGTGGCTCAGTAAGCACAGCTACCAGGTACATGGGCCATTTCTACCTATGCCCCGGGTAGCTGTGCTTGCTACCCGGGGCATGCAGATGCCCATGTGGTTCACCAGCACGCCCACCCGCCCCTCTGCCACCACTCGGGCCACCGCCGCCTGAGATGGGAGAAGGGGGGTGGGAGGGAAAGGGGACCAAGGGGGTATTTTGGGCTTGATTCGGATTTGCTCCTCGGAAGATTGGCCATCAGTCAAGGATAATGGTCAGTCGAAGCTTTTCGATGAGTGAAACTCACGATTGCCGCGGCCACCAGGCATCAGCCGCTGAGGTCTGACTGAACCTCACTTATTGGCTATTTGTATATTGGCAACATTGACTAATAAAAATTACTGGCAAACGCTTTATTCCAATTGTGTATCCAACTTTCCCAGCCGCGCAAACTATATCTTGCAGTTGAAGTGAGCTCATTCTGCTAACTACCTGAATGGATTCTTCACTTGTGACGTCAAGCTCAAGGGTTCGAATCCCGTCGTTGGCATTTAGCCCCTCCATTTCCGCCGCCTTCACCGCGCTCGCGTACACCCGCGCGCCTCTGCGCGCCATCTCCCTAATGATGAAAGGCCATGCATAGCAAAAAGGAGGATGAAACTCACCACCATACGAAATAATTTTGCACACACTGACAGTTCACCGCAAGACGACAAGGAATCAACAGTGGCCACATTTCCAGGGCTAGAAGGTGGAGAGCAAATGAAGAGGTTCTCCTAATCCGTGGCGGGTGAAGGAAAGCCGAAAGAAGCGCGGACGGACGGAAACCGGAGGTGGAACGGCGGCAACGGACCGGTTCCACCGACAGACGTTGACGGCCATCAGCGGTTCCAGAGAGGTTGACGGGGACAGAACAATGATTCGAAGCTCTGTGTTAACTCGATCTCGCAGCGATGATATTGCTGCACGAGACGTGGCGACGATTAAGCAGCACAGCTTGCGGTTCCCTGCCTTATGACCTGTGGTTATGGTACCGGAATTCGCATGGTCACATCGCCGTCCATCGTTGGAAAAATGAATCAGAGTTACCTTGCGGTGTACCGAGCTTACTCCGCGAGTGCATAGCCGGTGCTACCCTGGGAGCATCCCGTTATTAGCACCACTGGACGGGGATGAGTCGCGGTTTTTCCGGTGCTGAATGGTCTGCTGAATAAGCCGCCCATAATAGCGTGAGGACTTAAACGCTACACTCCTCAAAAGCTTTGCGGCTTATAGAGGCACATTCTTCACAAATTAGGTATTGAAAAGGCAGAATGCGGTTGCGACATCAGCGGCACAAATCACGGTTGCGAGTAGGCTAAGGATGTGGTTGCTGGGTAAGCGACTGCGGAGTTTGACGAGGGAATTCAACAATTGTTGCCTCGTTACGTTACACTAGCGAGCGAAACACAGGATAACTGAGCCGAAGCTGATCGTCTTTTGGACCCTGGTTCGGGCCGAACGTCTGGGATTTTTTGGGTGTTGCTTCGGCGAATATCTTTTGCCAGCGCAGCCTATCACGGGATTGCGTCATGCCGTTGCTTTCACCATAGTCGTGGTGGCTACTGGCGGGTTTTTGCGACTGTGCATGGATCATGGTTGTTGCAACCCAACCACTTGTGGGGGCAGCAAAGCGGGCAACTCGGAAAATCTGGGCACATCCCTTGGCTGCCATCCCCAGCGACCCCGTCGTCGTGGCTTTCTGAGGCTAGGGAACCTTCACGGGCAACGATGGGATCCGCTGGGCAGTATGGTCACGTGGCTACCTCTGTGGACTCTAATCCCACTTTGTGCTAAGGAATTATGCATTTCCAGCTAGAAAGTGCCACCTATTCACCACCTAATAGAAATGTAAACACTGCAATTTCTCCGTACTTAGATGCCAGCTGCCCAATGTGCGAGGGTATACGGGGGTACCACTCATCAAGCAACGGCTACAGTTCACAGAGAATGTCATGTTGGCTGCCCCTGATGAGAAGGAAAGAGATAAAGATTGCTTTATCACGCGCAGGCACGGGATGACGCTCTGGAACGAGAGGCGTTGAAGCAACGCCGGATACCCGCTCGCTCGCTTTTGTCCACCTCAGCATATCGAACGGCTCCTGGGAATTGTCTGAACATATCGCCAGATGAATCTCCACTTTCAGCGGTCATTCTGACCATGCCCCGATAAAGCAGCAGTGCCAAATGGGAAGGACATTGGGCGGAGTTGCGCCGAGGCGACACAGCACAGTTGGCGGAACGGAGTGCTGCGTTGGCGGTTTTCGGTCGTCCATGCCCGTGCAAAAGTTGATTTGCGCGGGATCAGTTTCGCGAACGTTCCGCCTAAGCCGTTCTCCGCGTAGACCCTTCCGCTCGGGTGTGGAGGCATCTGCAATCCACATCTTCGTTCTGCGTGGTCTGCGGCTAGGGTTTGGTCCGAGCACAGCCAATGGCAGCACAGCAACTGATGGTGAGGGTTTCGTGGCTCCACGAAAGATTGCCTGAAGCTGGGCTCAAGCAAGCTGGCTTCAGCTTTCAGCTCCTCTGTAATCTCTTGGATGGCCTAGCTCCTAGCAAGAATAGCTCAGCTGAATCCTCGCTACGCCCTGCCGCGTTCAGAATTTTCCGTAATTTCCGCGTGCTTGCAGAATAAACGTGCGTTTTTTAGGAGACTTCGCTAATTTAAGATTCCGTTAGTCACATTGCTAATAGCTTCATGAATTGTTATGGCTGGCGAATTTGGAGAACGGTTAGAGCCAGCGGACGGAAATGATGACTGGCCTTGTCAACCGTCGGATCGCGTAGAGCATTGTGGAAGCCATGGGATCCATCAAGAGTTTAGGAAAATTGATCTTGAAAATAAAGGGGGCCCGAACGAAGGTTTAGACGTCGCTGGACCGACCCTTAAAAATGACGGAAATCATGAGCAGCAGAGTCGTCAGGAACAGGTGCAGGAGATTATGGCTGAGCAGCAGCAGCCACAGCCATTACAGCCACAGCAATTAGACGACGCAGTGAATATGGACATGGATTGTCCGGGAGTTGCGGCGGAGTTCGGCAGGGTTCAGGAGCCTGCAGCGGACGACGATGAGGACAATAGGAATCGGAACGAAGACGACGAAGACGGGGAGGAGACGGGCGACGATTTCGAGTTGCACGACGGGCCGATTAACAACGACGGTGGAGGCATCTCCGCGGGAGGGCCCGGGTGGGAGGCTTTCCTACCGCAGGGTAGTCTGAGGGTTTTGCTGGTCGAAGACGACGACTCCACCCGCCACGTCGTCGGCGCGCTGCTGAGAAATTGTTCCTACGAAGGTCCGTAGCGCGTCGCTCTTGCGAAGCTCCGGTCGGATCTGTTTTTAGGAAGGTCCGGAAGATTAGAAGCGTGCGAGTAGAAACTTGCGTATGCTCGGTAGCCGACCCGCGTTTCTTAAGATGCGTTTAGAAGCAATACGTCGTCGTCGACCCGGCTTCTTTTTATGTACTTGAAGCTTCCACTTTAAAAGCCACGTCAACGGCAGCTTAGTTCGTCATTGCAGCCCGCCGAAATTTGTAGTCCGAGGTAGCCTTTCCCTGTTGCATCCGCTTAGATGGAGAGAATTTTCGACCATGAATAGTTTCGCTGATGTTTTCTCCGCAAATCGGGTAGAAAATTCTTAATGGCAAAGGACGGCAACGTATCGTACAGCGCAGCATATTTTACCGTGCGAGCATATTTTAGCGTAGAGCGCAGCATATTTCTTAGTGTAATCTCGGATCATGCGAGTCCAGATGCGATTGCTTTAGGACGCTAACTCGTAACCTTTGTCTTCGCGCGGCCGTGCGAACTAGTGTTTCTGGGAATTCGGAGTCACTGTATTCGTTCTTTCTCCGCCCGTTTCGGCGTTCTGCTTAGTTGCCCGTTTCGTTCTTTCTCGTTTCGCGCGGCCGTGCTTATCGCTCTAGCTATTTCACGAGTAGCCTTCAACAAAAGCGGCATATTATCCTCGGTGTAGTCACTACCTTCGCGACGTCTTTCCGACGTCCCTTGGTCGTCGCGGTTTCCCCATTCATGTCCTTCTCTTGCCTACATTTCCCACCTCCGTAACCCGCTGGCGTTCCCCCGTTTCTCCGTTCCAATCTCCCCCTTCTCCCCCGTTCCCCCCCGGTCCGCAACAGTCACACCCGCGTCTAACGGCGTGCACGCGTGGGAGCTGCTGACGGCGAGCGGTGCAGCTCGGTTCGACCTGGTGCTGACGGACGTGGTGATGCCGGGTCTATCAGGCATCGGGCTGCTCACGCGCATCATGACGCGGGAAGCTCTCCGCGGCATGCCCGTCATCAGTGCGTACCGTTCTTTCCCCTCAGCAGTCTCTCCCGCCGTCTCTCCTGCCGTCTCGCACGGCTCCAGAATGTGGCGCCAGTTCTGCGCATGCACCACGGTTTGACACCGCATCTGACATTTCATTTCACAACGAATATTCTTGGCTTGACATTTCCCCTCTCGCCGGTTTCCGTTCTGCCCCCCGTATCCCCCCGCAGTGATGTCATCGCACGACAGCATGGAGATGGTGTTAAAGTGCTTTCAGAAGGGCGCGCGTCCTGCCCCCGTCCTGTCTTTCCACTCACGTGCATCGTGCCTTGTTCAACCCTCCCTCTGCCCCCACCCCCCGCAGTGATGTCGTCGCACGACAGCATGGAGATGGTGTTGAAGTGCTTTCAGAAGGGCGCGGCGGACTTCCTCGTGAAGCCAGTGCGCAAGAACGAGCTCAAGAACCTCTGGCAGCACGTCTGGCGCCGATGCCACTCGGTACGCCTCCGGGATTCTGCTCTTGCTCCGCGCGCCTCTGCTCCGCGCTCGCCTGCGCCATGCTGCTCCGCTCTGCTCGCTCGCATGCTGTTCGCTGCATTGTGCACCGCTGTGCTGCGCTGCGCTGCTCTCGCTCTGGTTCCCTTGCCTTGCCGTGGAATTTCACCGACTTTTTTCAACCATGTTCTGGCCTTGCATTTCCCTTAATGGGGGTACTAAACCCTGCGTTTTTTGTTTGCTTGTTTTGTTTCCTGGGTGGGCAGTCTACGGGCAGTGGCAGTGGCAGCGGCAGTGGCACGAACGGCAAGGTGCTGCGGGAGAAGCGGGGTGCGTACGAGGGCGACGGCGTGGGGTGCAGCTTCAACGTGAACGGCGGCAGCGACAACGGCAGTGGCACTCAGGTTCGTATCGGCCCACGTGCTGCTGCTGGGATCGATGCTGGGAGTGACGCGGGGGGTGATGCCGGGAGCTATCATGGGAGGCATACCGAGGGGAATGCTGGGAGGGATGCGGGCAGTCGCACGTGCTCGCCTGTGCGCGGCAGCATCGGCCACATGTCTCTGTGCCCAACGGACGTCTCTTCATGCAGTCTGGGGCACCGACTCCCACGCACTGACCCCCTTGGTAGACGACCAAGAGGCCCCGAGACTGGCGTTCCGTCACGTCCGGATCCAGGCTGGGCTTCAGGCTCGGTGTCAGGCTCGGCGTTGGGCTCGGCGTCAGGCTCGGAGTCTGGCTCGGATTCGTCCTTGAACGAGGCCTCAGGCTCGGGCGATGGTGGGAAGAAGCGCGGTGGTTCGTCTTCCGCCCACCTCTCCGCTCCCCGCTCTCCTGCGCCGCCTCCTCTCCGCGCGCCTCAACCTCCTGCAACGCCGCTTCTTACGCTTCTCGCGGAGTGATAGTGCGCCATGGATAGCCTCCTCCCCCGCGCCACCTCCATTCCCTCTCCTTCTCCTTCTCCACTCCTCATGCCTTACTCAGCGAACGCCTTCTCACCGCATTGTCTCTATCCGCTCTGCTCTGCTGCGCTGTGCGTGTGCCTGTGTCCCTCCCTTGGGGCACCCTGGTTGCTGGGGGTGGGGGTGCGGGGGGGGAACAGGTCAACGCCAATGCCACCAAGTCGCATGCGCGGGAGAAGCAGGAGAGGGAGAGGGAGAGGGAGAATGAGCGCGAGAGGGAGAGGCAGGCGGAGGGAGAGGGTAACTGCGACGGCACAGGGAACGACCTAGGTAATGCCACAGCCGGGTAACGCTTTGTCTCTCTCTTTCTCGCTTTCCCTCACCTGCTTTCGACTGTTTATTCTTTCTTTCCGTTCCTGCCATTCCGCACCATTGCCTTGTTTCCATGCCTGCCCTCTACCACCAATGCTTGCCCTCTCCTTCCCCTTCCTTCCTTTTCCCCCCACCCCTTCCGCCGCACTCTCCCGCCCCCATCCTCCACCCTCCCCCGCCTCACCATTTGATTCCTCTCCTTTTTTCTCGTGCTCGTTCCTCCTGCTCGTGTTCGCGTGTGCCGTCTGTCTAAACGTGCCTGTTCGCCTGCTCTCCCCTTCTCCTGCGCGCGCGTCTCTCACGGTAACAGCAGCAGGCGGCACCATGGTTGGCTCGCATTCCGCTCTGCCACACACTACCACCGGCGCCGCCGCCGGATCCGGGCCCTTACCCGCCAACACCGCCACCGCCGCCGCCGCCGCCGTCGCTGCCGCTGCTGTTGCGACTGCTGCTGTTCCCGCCGTGGGTGGTGGCGGAGGAGGGGAAGGGGGAGGGGAGGGAAGGGGCGGCGCAAGGGGACTCGCTGTTGCCGGTGGCGGCGCTATTGGCGCCGCGATTGGCGGCGGTGGTGGCGGCATGGTGATGGGAGCGGCGTTCGCGTTTGGGATGATGGCGATGGGAGGTGCGGCGGCTATGCAAGCATCGGGGGAAGGTTCGACTATTAAGAGGCCAGACGAGTTGGTATACGATGGGGGTGGCGGGGGCGGGGGAGGGGCGGGCGGAGGAGGCGGAGGGGGAGCAGGCGCGGATGCGTCCCCGCACGTGCTGACAGCTCCGCTCAGGTCGGCGCAGCGGCACGAGGAGGATGCGCGCGGGGGAGTGGGGGGCGGGAGGCACGCGGAGAGGAGGGGCGTGGCGGAGATTGGGGGCGCGACGAGTTGGCGCATGAGAGGGGGGGAGGAGGAGGAGGAAGAGGAGAGGGAGATGGAGAAGGAAAGGGAGCGGCGGTTGGAGCACGCGAGGCAAGCGACTCACGGCGGACGCGGCTCCTGCTGCTGCTGCTGCTGCTGCGGCGGCGGCGGCGTTGGCGGCGGCTACAGCCGCTGCTGCCGCGGATGGCGTCGCTGCCGCTGCCACAGCCGCCGCTGCAGCCGGCGCAACAGGCGCGGCGGCTACAGCAGCGGCGGCTACAGGCGCGGCGGCGGCGGCTACGGCCGCGGAGCAGCATCTGGTGTCGGGCGCGCGCGTGACGACGGCGCCAACGCTGGCGTCGGAGGAGGCGGCGCTGCAGATCGGCAACGAGAGCGAGGAGGGCGCGACCCCGCGCGAGGAGGAGGACCGCGAGAACGAGGGCACGTCCGCGGAATCCACGCGCGAGGCGTCCGCGGAAGCCATGCTGCTCGGGCGGCTCACGCTCGCGGGGAAAGCCGGCGCGCCGCCGCCGCCGCCGCCGCCGCCGCTGCTGCTGCGGGGGCGGGCGCGGGTGCGGCTGGTGGCGGACCGTTTGGACCGTTCGCTTCCGAGCCTGCAGGAGAAGCGATTCCGAACCTAGGGGCTGACAGGCTTGGTGGTGTGGGGAGCGGTGCTGCGCGGTGGGGGAGAGCGGGGGGAGGGAGGGGGAGAGGCAGGGGGGTGGCGGAAAAGGTGATGCCCGGGGAGGCGGAGATACGGGACGACGGGGGAGGCGGGGCGGCGCGGAGGGGGGCGGATAGGGATGGCGCCGCTTGCACGGGACCGAGCAGGAGAGTGGTTGAGGGGCGGATACACCTGGAGGCGGCGCAAGAAGGGCGCATAGGAGAGGATGTGGAGATGGGGGAGGGGGACGAGGAGGAGAGGCGCGTGAGAGAGGGCGGGGAGGCGAGGGAGGGGGAGGAGAAGAGGCGCGGGTGGGATGGGGGCATGGAGGTGGACGGGGGAGCGGGAGGAGCGCGGGGAGAGGGAGAGGCGGGGCGGATGGTTGAGGGGAAGGAGGCAGGTGCGGGGCTGAGGGAAGGCAAGGGCGGTCGGGATCAGCAAGGGCAGCGGCAGGGGCCGCAGCAAGAGCAGCGCGAGCATCATACAAACCATCCCGTCAAAGTCTCCGCCTTCTCACGGTATGCCCTGTCTTCTGTATTCTCTCCCGCACACCCCCCTTGATCCCGCTCCGTCTCCCCTCCGCTACTTTTCCCGTGCACCTTCCCTCGCCTCCCGCTCCCTGGCGTGGCCCCTTAGGGCCTTTGAGACGTCTCAAAAGTTCTTTCCTTGTTTTTGATAGTTGCTCGCTACCAGTTCTCTTTATGTGCTCGCTTACCAGTGCTTTCTGCATTCGGCCATGCCCTCCGCTGATGCTGCTCCCACTAATCCTGCCCTTCCATTTCTTCCACTAATGCTGCATCGTTCTTCCTCCCGTCTCTCGCCTCTTCCAGCTACCACACGGCCGGCCCAACGAATATTCCAGCAGCCAATCACAGCCTGCCACCTGGACCACCGTCAGCTGCAGCGCCATCCGCCACAGCCGCAGCAGCGGAGCGCGCAGGCGCACATCCGCCGCCCGCATTCGCGCACCAAGCGCCACACGCGCACGCCCTGCCAAGCGCGCACAGCGCCCTCCCCCCCGCGCCCTGCGCCCATCCGCTGAATGCCCCGCACGCGCCTATCACCCGCCCGTCTGAGCGCCACGCTTCTGCCGCGCAGCAGCATCTGGCGGCGCAGCACGAGCATGAGGCGTCGGGCAACGTCTCCTCCGCGCTCACGGCGTCGCAAGGCGCGCATGGGAAGGGCGCGAAAGCGACGCACGGGGGAGCACATGGGGCGCTAGGGGGGAAAGGCGCGCATGGAGCGAAAGGGGCGCAAGCAGGCAGGGTCGTGGGCTTCTGTGACGGCGTGGCGGGAGGCCCGTTGCATAAAGATGCGCGCGCTTTCTCCCCCGTGCTGGGTGCGACGGGCGCTGCTGCTGCTGCTGCTGTCCGCGTGGGTCACGTGCTCGTGGGACAACCGCAGCAGCTACAGCAGCAACAGACGCTGTGTGGATCGCCTTTTGCCGTCGCAGCCACTCATAAGCCGCCACCTGTCTCTGCTGCTGCAACCACTGCCGCTACCACTGCTGCTGCGGGGAAAGGCGATGCTGCTTGCGTGTGCGCGGGCGCAGATGCTGCTGCTGCTGCTGGTGCGTCTGCTGTGGGAATGCGAGGGAGAGACGGGAGCATGAGAGTGGGCGCGTCAGCAGCGACCTTTGCAGGGGTGAGCGGCGTCACTACCGCTCGCGCCAGTGGGTCTCTCCCTGCTGCCACCGGCGCCACTGCTTCTGCCGCCGCGCCTGCCGTTCACTGCTGCTGCCGCTGCTGCTGCTGTTGCTGCTCGCGCTGCCACTGGCACTGTCACTGTCCCTTCTGCTACTGCCGCTGCAAGCCTCGAGCCTCCCTCCACTGCAGCAACGGCTGCTGCTGCTGACACCGGTGCAGCTGGGTCAGCTCCAGCCCTCCCCTCTTGCGCCGCCCCTGTTTGCGCCGCGCCTCCTGCTGCCAGCGGAACGCCTGGCGCGCTCTCGCGCTCCCCCGCGGATGCGCGGGGCGGGGGACTGCTGCTGAGCACCTCGGGATGCCCTGGGGGAAGAGAGGGCGGGGGAAGCGGAGGTGGGGGAAGCGGGGGAGGAGGAAGCGGGGGAGGGGGAAGTGGAGGTGGGGGGAGTGGGGGAGGAAGCAGGGGGGAGGGTGGTAGTGGTGGGGGAGGCAGTGGGGGGAACGGAAGCGGTGGTGGGGAGAACGGAAGCGGGGGGAATGGTAGTGGGGGAAATGGGAGTGGAGGGAACGGGAGCGGGGGCAATGGAAGTGGGGGCAACGGGAGGACGGATCGGTCTGGTGCAGGTGGGGAGTTGACAGAGGCAACAGCCGCATCAGTGACCGGAGGTATAGCCGGGGGAGGTCACACCCACCGTAATGGCAGCACCTCGGCTGTCACACGTCTCCCTCTCGCCCCCACCGCCCCAACCGCCCCTGCTGCCTCTACTGCTCCGGTTGCCCCTGCTGCCGTCCCTGTTGCTCCAACTGCCCCTGCTGCACCCGCTGCTGCTTCTCCTATAGCTTCCTCCCCTGTGGTTCCTACCGTTCCCTTCGCCCCTGCTGCTGTTGCTCCGCCTGCTGCTCCTACCGCGGCAGCCACAGCAGCAGCGGCAGCTGCGGGGTTGTTCGCGCGCCCATTCAACCCGAGTCTTGCTGCGCCCGGGCTGTACCTGCAGTCGCCGCTCTACTATGCGGCTGCTGCTGCCGCAGCGGCGGCAGCGGCGGTGGCGGCGGGGGTGCCTCCCCCCTGGACGTCCCCCCCCCCTCCCCCCAGCGCTCAGCGGCCCTCCCAAGCGCAGCAGCAAGAGCAGAAGCAGCAGACGGTGCAGCAAGAGCAGCAACGGGACCAGGAGATGCAAGAAGCGCAGCAGGAGGGAGAGGCGAGAGGGCAACAGCAGCAGATGCAGCCGCTGCCTCCTCACGCTTCCCTGCAACTCCCGCCGCCGCCACCAGTGCCAGTCCTGTCACAGCAACGACAGCAGCAGCAATCGCAACAACAGCCGCAGCAGCATCCTGAGTGGCGGCCGCGCTTGCTAGAAGCACCCTCCTTCCCAGGGCCGCCTTTTGCCGGTGCCACCCGTTTCTCGCCTGTCTCCATGCACAGCCGCTCCCCCCCGCTTGGCTTTCCTCGCCCCCATCCTCACGCGCTCGCCCACCCCCATCCGCACCCGCCCCCGCACTCCACGCTCCAGCCTCTTGTTTCCCCTGCCCTGCCGCAGCTATTGCCGCAAGCGCAGGCGGGGTCTCGAGGGGAGGAAAAAGACGAGCTGAAACCAGGGGTGCAGCAGCAGGAGCAGCAGGAGCAGCAGCAGCAGCAGCAACAGCAACAGCAGAAGCAAGAGCAGGGCGAAGAGCAACGGCAGGAGCGGAAAGAGCAGCGGCTGCAGCAACGAGACCAATCGCCGTGCCCCCGTGCCATAACTCCTCCAGCAGCAATCGCCGATTCACCAAAGGCCACAGCAACAAACGCTGCAGCTGCAAACGAGACAGATGCAGCAGCAGCAGCAGCACCGAGAGAAGCAGCTGGAGACTCCCCACCGCTGCCGGCAGCACAGCAGCCGCGGCGGCGTCAACAAACCCACCACCACCTGGCCAAACACCTGCTGCCGCCTCCCCCGCCCCTCCCTGCGGCCGGTTCCTCCCCCGGTCTGAGACCCAAGGAGACGAGGAGAGACGCGCGGAGAGATGTGAACAGAGACGAGAAGGATGAAGGCCGGGGGGCTGGAAGGGAGGAGGCAGAGCGGAGAATGGATTTGGATGGTGCAGCGGGGGCTGAGGGGAAACGGGAGAGGCGAGAGGAAGGAGGAGGAAAGGATGCGCAGCAGGGAGCGGCGGGAGGGGGGAAAGAGAAGAATGAGCGGAAGGCAGGAGGGGCGGAGATGGCCTGTGCGGAGCGGAAGACTCCTGTGTCACCCAGGGGGCCCGCGCAGCAGGTGAAAGCAGTGCAGCGAGCGCAGCAGCAGGAGAGCCATGGCAAGGTGCGTGTGTCATCCACGGAAGCTCTACACTGGGTGGAAGAGTCTAAGGCGCTGCTGCAGGAACAGGTGCAGCAGGGGCAGCAGGGACAGCGGCAACAGCAGCAGCATCATCATCACCACCACAGGGAGCAGCGGCACCACCACCACCATCACCACCACCACCGGGGGCACTCCCACCCGTCGTTGCAGCAGCAGCATAGCGTGAGTGTCATGTCTCCTGCGAACCCTGGCGCCGCTGCTGCCGCCGCCGCCGCTGCTGCTGCTGTTGCTGCTGGTGCTGCTGATGCAGCAGCTGCTGTTGGCGCCGCAGCGGATGCTCAGGTGAATGGCAACGGGAGTGGGAGTCCGGAAGGGGGAGGCTCAAACCCTCACAACGCTGCTGCTGCAGCAGGAGCGGCAGGCGCAGCAGCAGGAGCGAGCGCAGGTCCGGCAGCTCCTTCCGGGCACCACCGAGCCTCGCCCGCAGCTGCGGCTGCCGGGCCTCGAGGCGAGGTTGGGAACGACGGGAGCAGCAACGTGTATGCGAAGGGCGGCGGTGGTGGCGGCGGCGGTGGCTGCGGCGGTGGCGGAGGGGGGAGAAACGCGCGGGAAGGGGTTAACAACAGCAGCAGCAGCGGCGGGAATGGCAATGGGGATGGTAATGGCAGCTCGGAGTATAACGAGAGTGGGGACACGGGGAGAGACATGGCGGGGAGTGCGCGCGCAGGGAGTGGCGGGCGGAGTGGCAGTGGGCAAGGATCCGGCGGAGGGGGAAGTGGGCAGGGGAGTGGGGGGGCAGCGGAGGGGGGAGGGGAAGCGGGGGCAGCGGGGGCAGTGGGGGGAGTAAACGCGAGGATGCAAGCGCGAATGGGGCGCATGAGTGGAGCAGAACGGGGGGAGGCGCGGGGGGCGGGGGTGGGATAAAGGCGCTATTGTCTTGCGCCAATGGCAGTGCGGTGGGGTCTAAGGACCAGGCGCATGACACTGCGGGTATGACTGGCGCGGGCGGACGCTTTCAGTCCCCCCAACGGGGGAACGGGGGAGGGGGCAGCGGGGGAGAGGGAGGCACTGGCGCGGGGAATGGGATCGAGGGGATGGGGAGTGGGGGAGAGGGCGGAACGGGGGGCAGGGGTGGGGAAGGCAGTGGGGGGGATGGTGGGGGGAGTGGAAACGGAGGGGGTTCGGGAAGGGGAAGTGGTGGGGGCGAGGGGAGTGGGGGAGAGGGAAGCGGAGGGGAAGGGGGGACAGGGGGGCAGGCTATGGGGATGGGAGGTGGGGGGGCGGAGGAGGGGAGGAGGCAGTCAGGGGGACAGTCAGTGAGGCGCGAGGGGAATGCCATGGGCGGAGATGGCGGAGATGGGGGGGAAAGGGGGAGGGATGGCGGAGAGAGGAACAGAGTTTGTGGTACCGTTCCCATCACTGCTACTGCCGCTGCAGGCGCTAATGCTTGTGGGGAGGCACAGGGGGGGCTGGAGGGGATGAGGGAGAGAGGGAGGGGGAGCGCATCAGGAGCAACAGAGGCGTTGAATGTGGCAGCGAGGGATTTGAGAGGCGAGGGGAGCGGTGGCGAGGCAGACGGGGCGGAGGGCAGTGTTGGGCGAGAGGACGGTGGTGCTGCGTGTGCGGGTGGTGTGGGTGATGTGGGTGATGTGGGTGGTGCTGCGGGTGTGGTCGGGCGTAAACGAGGCAGAGAGGAGGAGGCAGAAGGTGGAGACATGGCAGCGATGGATGGACGAGAAGGGGGAGGCAAGAGCAGCAAGAGGCGCGAGTGGCTCTCTGAGGGGATAGGCGCAGCAAGAGAGGCGCAGCGGATACAGGCGCAACAGCAACAACAAGGCCAGGCGGAAGAGCAGGAGGAGGAGGAGGGGCGAGAGGGTGCGGATGTGCACATGAGAGAGGGTTTTGAGGAGATGGGGCAGGAGGAGGATGGAGAGGAGACGGAGGATGAGAAGGAAGGGGAAGATGGTGGCGAGGAGCGTGGGGAAGGTGGGAGGGAGGAGGCGGGGCAGGAAGAGGGAGCAGCAGGGCTACTGTCGCTCTCTGCCTCTCTCGCTGCACCCGCCACCACTCCTTTCCATGCACCTCCTGCCATCGCACCTACTGCTGCTGCTGCTGTTGCGGTTGAAGGCCGCGGAGGAGAGGTGGCAGAAGGGGGTGATGGGGGAGGGGCGGAAGCAGTGCGAGGGGCGGAAGGGGTGGAAGGTGCATACAGTGCGCAGGGGGCAAGAGGTGGGGAAGGGGCAGGCAGTGCGGAGGGCGCGGAGGGCAGTGGAGGGGTGATGAGTCGGCAGGCAGCACGGGAGGCGGCACTCAATAAGTTCCGGCTCAAGCGCAAAGAGCGGAACTTTGAAAAGAAGGTGTGCTTCTACCCTTTGCCATTCTTTGCCGTTTGCCGCTTGCTTTATTTTACTCCCAGGCTCGCTGTCTGCCCTCCTCAGGCTGTATCGCCTGCAGCTCATGTCCCACCTTCTACCACTTAGCCATTCTGATGCACCCCTCTCGTTTGCCTTCAACAACTGCACCAACCCCCCCTCTTCCTCCACTCCTCCCTCACGCCCCTGCCGTTCTCCTTCCCGCTTCTCTCCTCCGTCACCTTTCCCACGTCTCGCATCACCGTGTGCAGGTGCGCTACCAGAGTCGCAAGCGACTGGCAGAGCAGCGCCCGCGCTTCAGAGGCCAGTTTGTCCGCCAGCCCGCCCTCCCTCCCACTCCTCCTCCGCCCACCGCCGCTCCTCCTCCCACTTCCCTCACTCCTCCCCCCGCTCATCCCACCGCGCTGCAGCCGCGCCTGCCTCTCCCACCCGGCACCGCTCCTTCCGTGCATGCAGAGAGGGGCCAAGGCAGCACGCCCTTTCCTGTGCACCTGCCAGTCATGCACGCGCAAGGCGTGGCAGGAGTGGCGGGAATGACAGGAGTGCATGTGCCAGGGATGGTGGCAGCAGCACCAGCGCCAGCACCAGCAGCCAGCAACCTCGACCGGACCATGCAGTTCTTTCCTATCGCTCCCTGCCCTGCTGTCGCTACCGCGCCTTCCATTGCCGCTGCCCCTCCCTCCGGTCCTCTCCCGCTTGCCCTGAGCAGCCGCGGTCAGGAGAGGGTATTTATGAGCCACAGCAACGGCATCAGCATCGGGAGTTTCGGTGCGAGTGGCAGTGCGAGTGCGGGTGGGAGTGGGAGTGGAAGTGGGAATGCGAGTGGGAGTGCGAGTGGGAGGGTTCCTGAGAGCAGCTACAGTGCAGCAGTGGCAGATATGAGCTATGGTGCGGCTGTTGCTGATATCAACGGCCCTGATTCGTCCGGTGGCGTGCCTGCTGCTGCCTTCGTTGCTGCTGCTCCCTCTTCTGCTGCTGCTGCTGTTGTGGGGGAGGGTGTTGCAGGCTTGGGAAAGAGGGTTTGGGGGGAGAGAGGAGAGAGTGTAGAGGGCAATGGGGTTACCATGTGGCCTAAGAGATGAGATCCTGACATCCTTAACCGCAAGAGGTTGACACCTGGCGGTTTGGCAGGATGACACATGGACGGCTGACACGCTGACCTGTGGAGAGACGACGGATGACAGGTTGATACCTGGCACGAGTGTCGGCCTGCTTCTATCTATCGTGGTCTTAATCACTTTTGATGAGGTCACCACCATCGGCTCTGTGAGCATAGGATGCCTTTGCTACATGGCTAGCATGTGATAGCAGTGCTGTGCTATCCTTTTTGGGGCCTGGCAGGCTCTATGGACACACATAACGTGAATTGAGTTGATGTAGGGAGGATGATGCTAGGAGGGGATGAGGGGTGGGCCGCGTGAGGGGTGTGCAGGGCCTAAGGTCCTCTCCACGCCTTTTTGTAGATACGTGCTGAGATTACGGACCTTGGACATTGTGGGTCTGCGAGAAAAAAATGTGCATGTATTTATTTGGTTGATAGTATTCACTGAATTCACAAACATCCGGTTTGGCTGAATTGGACAAGTGGGGAAGCTGGTTCAGTAGTTCTGCAATGTTCAACTGCTTATAACGGAACAAGTTCTGACATGTCCCCGCCGTTCTCACCTCTTCGTACCATTTCCGTTGCCGCGGCACAGGGAACTCCAATCTCCTAGAACTCCAGTTTACGGACCTGTCACTGTGCTGGTTAGTGGAAAGCTAGTACGAGCCGACTAGTCGTGTACGTCGTGCAACCTCTACTCTCTGCGTCTACCATATCCGGCTACGTTCCTCCCGGCTTCCCGCAATCAACGCGTAGCAGCCATGGTTCTCGAGGTATGCTGGAAATAGATAAACTCAATTCCAGTTCCTTCGCAACCATAACTTGTTTGTCCTGACGATCCATGCTCGCTCTGGCGATCCTTGGCAAGTGAAACCTTCCAACGGAGTGGAGTTCCGAAACGTGATCCGACGTTTGGGAGGCGTTTGTGCCCTTGCGTTATGAAGAGAATATTAAACGGGTTAGATTCGACGCATCATACGCGGTATAGGCTTCGGCCGTTATCTCCAAGATGGCTCGTGTCCACAGCTTCGCGTCGATGCGATTGGCGCGGCAATCGCGACGATCCATGCTGACGTGATGGTCACTCCTCGCCATGACTTTTCCGCCTCGTCTGTCTCTCCACATCCCCGCTCCCCTTCCCCCTCCTCCCCCACACAACAGGCCACGGTGATGTGCGTGGAAAATTCGGAGTGAATGCGTGTTTCGTTCAACATGCTGTTTTCTGTCTTTTCCCGGCCAATCCCCGTCCCTCCGCCCCCCCCTGTCTCTTCCCCCGCTGCCATCCCTCAGGCCACGGTGTTTTGCGTGGAACACTCCGAGTGGATGCGTGTTTCGCCCAGCGTACCTTTTCCTGTCTCTCCCCGTGCCTTCCCCCATCTGTCCCCCGCCACACCTCATCCCTCTCCTCGTGCCATTCCGCAGGCCACGGTGGTGTGCGTGGACAACTCCGAGTGGATGCGGAATGGCGACTACGCGCCGTCGCGCTTCCAAGCGCAGGCTGACGCGATTAATCTCATATGCGGCGCCAAGACGCAGGTGAGCGACGCGGGCTTTGTGCGTGGGAGAGGCTGCAAGATTCTCAAGAGCTCAGTGTCATCTCGAAAGAACGCAGTGCCACCTCGTGAGAGTTCAGATGCATGTCGTGAGTGCTCGTTTTTTTGTCACGAGGATTCTAATGCTCCCATGTTCTTTTTTCTCGTTGACCTGTTTGTTGTAACCTCTCCCCGTTCCCTTCCCCCTCCACCCCCCTCCCCCTTGCCTCCTTTCCCCTTGCCTCCTTTTCCCTTCCCTTACCCCCTCCCATCCCCGCCCCACCCTTCGCCGCTCCCCCTTCTCTTCCGTCCATGCACGGATGCAGTCGAACCCTGAGAACACGGTGGGCATTCTGACGATGGCGGGCAAGGGCGTGCGCGTGCTCGTCACACCCACCGCTGACCTCGGGAAGATCCTCTCTACCATGCACGGTGAGTTTCTAGGCGCCCCAAGTGTCATCCCTCAACCTGCGATCCTTGAAGTGCCTTGAGGGGCGTGCGTGTGCTCGTCACGCCTACCGCCGACCTCGGGAAGATCCTATCCACCATGCACGGTGCGTCACATGCCATAAACTGAATCGACTCACAAGTCATGGCACAAGATGACTCACAAGTCTCCACCATCGTGGTGCTTCTCTCATTCCCCTTCCATGGCACTGCTGATGAGACGCTGGTAAGATGCATCCATTCTCACCCCACCCCACACCCCTTTCAATATTCCCGGTGCATTCTCTGTCTGCTGCCCTCCAGGTCTGGAGGTGGGCGGAGACACGAATCTGCTGTCAGGGCTGCAGGTGGCTCAGCTGGCACTGAAGCACCGGCAGAACAAGAACCAGCGCCAGCGCATCGTTCTCTTTATTGGCAGGTGCGTTGCAAGCTAGTGGGTGTGTTGGAGAGAGCACCAACAGTTGGCTGAAGCACTGGCAGAACAAGAACCAGCGCCAACGCATTGTGCCCTTCATTGGCAGGTGCGTTGCATCCTGAATTGCGCGTGGTCCACTGGTAGTCTCCTGTCACGAATGAACCATGCACGACCTTCCGGCCGCTAGGGTCCGCCCAGCACCAACCCTCCCCCCCACCCTGCGCCCTCGTGCTCTCAGCCCCGTTGCAGCGGACGTTGAGACGCTAGTGAAGGTGGGGAAGAGGCTGAAGAAGAACAACGTGGCGCTGGACGTGGTGAGCTTCATTCCAATCACCGGTTTCTCACCCTCCACGCCCCAACGCACCCCACCCCTGTCTCGCTTTCTTCCACCCCCCAGTCCTGTAGCGGCAGATGCGGAAACCCTGGTGAAGGTGGGGAAGAGGCTGAAGAAGAACAACGTGGCGCTGGACGTGGTGAGCTTTGGGTGCAAGAGCCTCACCTCACTCTTGCACACCCGGTTCCAACCCCTCCACTCCCCCACTTATTCCAGTCCCGTGGCAGCTGACATTGAAACCCTGGTGAAGGCGGGGAAGAGGCTGAAGAAGAACAACGTGGCGTTGGACGTGGTGAGCTTTGGGTGGGACGGCGAGGACGAGGACAAGCAGGCCAAGCTGGAGGCGCTGCTGGGTGCCGTCAACAGCAACGACAACTCGCACCTGCTGCACGTGCCACCCGGCCCGGCTGTTCTTTCCGACGTGCTCATCAGGTAAGTGACACGCCAGGTAGGTGTGTCACAGTCCCTTAGGTGGGTATTTTGTCATCGCTCGTCAGTGCTCGTTGTGTGACTCCCCACCCCACCTACTGGTAAACTGCGTACGTTTTTCACCCTGATTCCCCACCACTTCTCCCTTTCCCGTTTCTTCTCCGCACCTCCCATTCACACATCGCTCTCACTCACACACCCACTCTCCCTCCTCCTCCCCCCCCCCAGTTCCCCCGTGTTCACAGGAGATGGGGAGGGCGGCAGTGGCTTCGCAGCAGCAGCCGCTGCGGGGGCAGCGGCGGCGGTGGCAGCAGGGGGCGGGGGGCTGGGGGGCGACTTTGACTTTGGCGTTGACCCGAGCGTTGACCCTGAGCTGGCCCTGGCCCTGCGCGTGTCCATGGAGGAGGAGAGAGCCCGCCAGGAGGCCGCTGCTAGGAAGGCCGCAGCTGAACAGCAGGCTGCTGCTGGTGGTGGGGGTGAGGGAGGGAGTGGAGGGGAGGGTGGAGAAGGGGGGAAGGGGGATGTGGCGATGGGGGAGGGGGAGAAGAAAGAGGAGGAGGGGCGTGCCACTGCTGCCCCTGCTGCTGCTGACGTTGCTATGGTGAGTGGTGGCGTGATGGGATGTGGGTTGGTACTTGGCAGCATCTACCGATCAGCACCACCCACTTATCTTTCTCTCCCATGTTCATTCGCCCTGTTCTTCCTCCTATCTTTCTCCCTGTCTCCTCACACTCACCAGGACGACGAGGCAGCGCTGCTGCAGCAAGCACTGGCAATGTCAATGGCAGCAGGGGCGGCAGGAGGGGCGGGAGATGCTGCCATGCTGGATGCCACTGCTGGAGGAGAGGATGCTGAGCTGGCACTCGGTGAGTGGTTCTCTTTTTGTGTGCTTTGGCGTCATTATGCTGTGTGCGGTGGCTTTTAAGAGAAGCATCAAGATTTGCAACATGAGCAAAAGTTGCACCATTTTTCCAACAATGCCCCTTTACTTCCCGCTCCGGCCTCTCCTTTGCACCAGCCCTGCAGCTGTCGATGCAGGAGGCAGCAGAGGAGGGCAAGAAGGAGGCTGCTGCAGCAGCAGCAGGGGCGTCGGGTGAAGCACCAGCAGCAGCAGCGGCTGCGGCGCCTGGAGATGTGGACATGAGTCAAGTGCTGGGCGATGCCTCTTTTGTCAACTCCATTCTCTCCTCGGTATGTTGTTATCACATACCCTTGCTCTCCTGCGCATTGCATACAAAAGTATCCCTCACATGACGTAATAGCTATTTCTTGCATTGCACCAATCTGCACCTTATTTTTTAGCAGAGCGTGCATGCATCAGTCTCTCCAGGTCGTAAAATAAAACTTAACTCTAAATCAAGAAAAGAGACTTGCATTTCCCCTTCCATTCCCTTCTGCCCCTCATCCCTTGCCCCCACACCTCATCCCATGCTTTCTCGCCTGTTGTACGCATGTGTCCCTACCAACCCATGTGCACCCCATGTGCCACCCTCTACAGCTGCCAGGCGTGGATCCCAATGACCCCTCTGTGCGGGACGTGCTCGCCTCACTCGCCCCCTCCCAGCCCCCCAAGGTGTGCTCGCTTTGCCATTTGCCCATTGCCTTGCACCCCACACCTCTCCCCCTTCACTGTTCACCTCTCACTTGTCCGCACTCTTAGCGATTCACGGCTTGCATGGCAGGATTTTCTCACTGCTATTGATTGTACTATGTCTGTGCTGTGCTCTCATGCCACAGGATACGGAAGAGAAGCCTAAGGAAGACAAGTGAAGATAGTGATGTTCGAAAGTAGTGTAGGTAATGTCCTATGAGTTTCTTTGCATGCATGCCAAAGGACCTCTGAAACCACAACCACGTATAAAACAGTCCGTACCATCCCCCCCCCCCCCCAAGCTGTGGTGTGGTGACATTTATTCTCTAGTCATGCGGAAAGCACAATCAAACATTTAGACCCTCTTGTTCACCACAATGCTGAACAGGCAAGGTGAGCACTTTGAGAATGTTTTTGGGGACAACATACTGCAGTTAAGCAGCAAAACTCGTGTGTATATTGCATCGCAAAAACGTTTGTTGTACTGTACTGGGAAGCACAAAAGGAGCGCTTGGTGTGCACGTGAGCAGCTTACAAAACAGTCTTGAAGAGGTATAACCCGGTTCATAGCAGTCTTGAGCAGCCGTATCTGAGCTCCTATGTGAGCGTGCATCAGCAGCGGTGCAGGGGGGCAGGGTAGATATCCAGGTACTGGTACCGCCCTGGCTGCTCCGGGTTCCAGTCCGGGGGCGTGGCTGGGTCAGCATCCTCCTCTGCCGCCTCTGCGTCTGCTTCTGGCTCGAGCAGGTCTGGCAACATCTGAGGCTGCATGGAATGCACTATCTCTCCCGCCTCCTGTGGGTGTGGGATTGGACAGGGACGACGGGGAGGCAGATGTCACGGCAATGGATACATGCGCTGAACAGAAAGACAGACAGAACAAATAATCTGGCAGCATGTGAGGCTGCATTGACTGCACTATCTCGCCCGCCTCCTTGTCGGCGTGCAGCGGACAGGGACAGTGGGGAGAGGGCGGATGTGAAGGCAATGCAGAAATGCGTTACATGGAGACCCTTTCCCTGGTAGATAGAACCAGAGAACCCCGTTGCAATGTTTGCCTCCATCACACACCAACGCTCCACGAAAACCCACTAAAACCACCAAAACCCCTCAGTCCACGGAAATCCACCAGTCCAGCAGCAGTCACGAGCTGGCACTTACAAGGCCGGAGATGCGGAAGTGCTCCACGAGGTGGTCCGTGATTCTATCCAGAATGGCCCGGTTGCGCCTCAATGCATCCATCGCCATGCGCTCCGTTAGCTCTATGTTCTGATGGATGGTCCATGCATGGACGTGTACGCATACGTAGGGATGGGTGACGCATCGGGCAGGTGGCAGGATGAGGAGGGGTAAGAGGGGTCCATAGCCATGTGCTGTGCTTTGTCACCTTCATGTTCTGTTAGAGATGGAAAAATGCATGCATGCAGTGATGATGGTGAGTGGATGCAGGTAACTGGGGGCGCTTTCAGTATCACCCATGTGAGCGAGAAATAGATTGAACAGGCAATACTCACCCATGTGACCACCCGTGTGAAGATCTCAGACATTTCCACTGACATGGCTGCACCCACGTGGCCTCGCACCCCCCCACGTGACCTCCTACCTCCCACTCCATGTGACCTCCTACCTCCCACTCCATGTGACCTCCTACCTCCCACTCCACGTGACCTCCTACCTCCCACTCCACGTGACCTCCTACCTCCCACTCCACGTGACCTCCTACCTCCCACTCCATGTGACCTCCTACCTCCCACTCCATGTGACCTCCTACCTCCCACTCCATGTGACCTCCTACCTCCCACTCACCCATGTAACTTCCCGTGTGAAGATCTCAGACATTTCCACTGACATGGCTGCCACTTGCGTGCCGGGCCGAGACCACTGGCGATGCCATGGAAGGGGAGGAAGGGGCAGGGCAGGGCAGGAGAGGTACGGCGAAGGCAGATCAGGGATGGGCAAGTACATTTGACTAGAGGGGCATGGTGATGGCATAAGGTCCAAGGAGTGCTGTGCCATGCATCAGATTGGATACTGCTAGGAACTCTGTTAGCAAGCGGTAAAGACCACACGTACGGAGGAGGGGATGAGCTCGACTTCATCGGGGAAGCCTGGTGGCTCCATGATGGGATGCATCGTGATGGGCATCAGCCCAAACCGTGGATTCGCATGGCTGCTCGCTATCTCCCGCGCGATCTGGTGGGGTGCACGTGGGGTTCATGGAGGGAGAGATGAGAGGATAAGACGGGGTGTGATCTAAATAGGGAGGATTAAAAAACAAACAGGTTAACTGGAAAGACACCCACACTTGGTAATGGTAGTGGAAATGCTAATGGAAATGGTAATGGTAGTGGTAATGGTAATGGTAGTGATAATGGTAATAGTAATGGTAATGGTAATGGTACTAGTAATGATAATAGTAATGGTAATGATAATGAGAATGGTAGATGTAATCGTAATGATAGTGGTAATGGTAATGGTAATGGTAGTGGTAATGGTAATGGTAATAGTAATGGTAATGGTAATGGTAATAGTAATGGTAATGGTAATGGTAATGGTAATGGTAATGGTAATGGTAATGGTAATGGTAATGGTAATGGTAATGGTAATAGTCTTGGTAATAGATATGGTAGTGGTAATGGTAATGGTAGTGGTAATGGTAATGGTAATGGTAATGGTAATGGTAGTGGTAATGGTAATGGTAATGGTAATGGTGATGGTAATGGTAATGGTAATGGTAATGGTACTAGTACTGGTAATGGTAATGTTAGTAGTAATGGTAATGGTAACGGTAACGGTAATAATAATGTGAATGATATTGGTACATGGTCATGGTAATGGTAATAGTAATGGTAGTGGTAATGGTAATGGTAATGGTAATGATAATGGTAATGGTAGTGGTAATGGTAATGGTAATGGTAATGGTAGTGATAATGGTAGTGATAATGGTAGTGATAATGGTAATTGTAAGAGTAATGGTAATAGTAATGGTAGTTGCCCACCTGGGAGAGCTTCATGAGGTCGTCCTGGCCGTTGTCAGTGACATGGTCATTCCCAAACACAAGGCGCTCGGCGCACATGCCGCCATGCGCCACCACCATCTGCATGTGCAGGTACCCCACGCTCGTGCTGCCCTTGAGTAGCATCTCCTGCCGCGGATAGAACACCGACAGTGCCCTCTCCTGGAGATGCACAGGGGGAGGTGCGTGGGAGAGGAGAGGAGAAGCAGGCGAGGGGAGAAAGGAGGAGTGAGCGTTTTGCGGGAGAAGCAAGCCATGTGAATTAGAACTGTGGCTGGCTCTTCTAAAATCGCACATGTCCACCTGAGATACCACCAGCATACCTGTAGCTCTCTACCTGACTACCTGTAGCTCTACCTGACCACTTGTAGCTCTACCTGGCCGCCTGAAAACCCACCTGGCCGCCTGAAAACCCACCTGGCCGCCTGAAAACCCACCTGGCCGCCTGAAAACCCACCTGGCCGCCTGATAACCCACCTGGCCGCCTGATAACCCACCTGGCAGCCTGATAACCCACCTGGACGCCTGATAACCCACCTGGCCGCCTGATAACCCACCTGGCCGCCTCAAAACCCACCTGGCCGCCTGATAACCCACCTGGCCGCCTGATAACCCACCTGGCCGCCTGATAACCCACCTGGCCGCCTGATAACCCACCTGGCCGCCAGGGAGGATGTGGGTGAAGGCGTGCCAGTCGAAGGAGGGGAAGAGGTGGGAGAGCAGCACGTGACCCGCCTCGTGCACTGCCAGCACCCTCCTCACCACCGCTGGGACCTGCAGCAGTGCAGGAAAGCGATGCAGTGGGGGGTGTTGAAGGTAGATGGTACTGGCATAAGCATACCTAGCGTGAGAGCTAGCGGATCTACTAGTTACGAGAGCAGATCCAGGGGAAGCATCACATCTTTCTCGCGTTCCAACGAGCTCCTCCGCAAATCCAACAGCCGCCTGAGAGGTGAGCCATGAACATTCCCGCTGGCTACATCATCGCGCCAAGCTTTGTAAAACATTCCCAGCGCTGCCATGCACACACTCATATGTCACACACTTACACTCCCATACCACCCACACTCAACACACGCACACACCGCACCCACCTTAGCAAACAGCCGCTGCTGCTCATCGTCGGTCATGGGCATACCAAGGCTCTCGAACAGCTGCTTGTCCAGCGCTGCCACCACGTCTCCCTGCGCAGTCACCCACCACACTCAGTCACACACACCAGTCACTAACCTTAGCGAACAGCCGCTGCTGTTCATCGTCAGTCATGGAGATCCCGAGGCTCTCAAAGAGCTGCTTGTCCAGCGCTGCCATGCACACTCACATGCCACACACAGCAAGCAGCACACACACTCACACAACACACACTCAAGGGTACACACACCCACCTTAGCGAACAGCCGCTGCTGCTCATCGTCGGTCATGGAGATCCCGAGGCTCTCAAAGAGCTGCTTGTCCAGCGCTGCCACCACGTCGCCCTGCTCTATCACCGTGTGGCCGCGCCGCACCGCCATGATGCCCGCCTCGTTCACTAAGTTCCGGATGTCTGCTCCTGAGAAGCCTATGGTGCGGAATGCAACCTGATGGTAGGGGTGAGAAGAGGGGTGGGTTGCGGTTTGGGCCTGCTCGATCACCGTGTGCCCGCGCCTCACCGCCATGATGCCCGCCTCGTTCACCAGATTGCGGATGTCCGCTCCTGAGAAGCCGATGGTGCGGAATGCAACCTGGAGGCACGGGTGGGGGAGAGGGGTGGATGAGAGGCCCTCAAGGTTATGAGTTCACCTCACCCTAGGCATCCTCTACCAACCCCCCACCTCTCTGCCCCCAACAATGCACAGGGCATACCCACCTTAGAGAAGTCCACTGAGGGCGCCAGCAGGCGGTTCCTGGAGTGAACGCCAAAGATGGCGATGCGCTGCTCCTCACTCGGAAGCCCCACGTGGATCTCACGGTCAATGCGCCCCGCCTTGGTGAGCCCCTCGTCCAGCTCGTCCGGTCGATTCGTGGCTGCGATCAGGATCACCGCCTGGCGCAGCGAGAAGCGATCCACGTCCGTGTGCTCCTCCCTGGTTGAATCGGGGGAGAAGAGTGGGGAGAGAGAGGGGGTGGCGGGGGGAGGTGGGGTGATGGACGGATGCGCCCCGCCTTGGTGAGCCCCTCGTCCAGCTCATCAGGGCGGTTGGTGGCAGCAATCAGAATCACCGCCTGGCGCAGCGAGAAGCGATCCACATCCGTGTGCTCCTCTCTGGTTGGGAGAGGGTGTGTAGGGTGGGGTGGATGTATGAGTGTGGATGGATCGATGCGCCCCGCCTTGGTCAGCCCCTCGTCCAGCTCGTCGGGTCGGTTGGTGGCTGCGATCAGAATCACCGCCTGTCGGAGAGAGAAACGGTCCACGTCCGTGTGCTCCTCTCTGGTGGGGTGGGAAGGTGGACGGATGGATGCGGATGGATTGAGTGTGGTTGGTAGTGGTCGAATTGGATAGATGTGACAAATTGCCTGTTGGATTTCGCTCAGAAACTACTTCGAATGACCCACTTTGTAGCCCTTCAATCCTCATCACTCACCCTCCACCTGTCTCCCTTTCCCCCACACCCACTCACTCGCCGTCCAGCTCGGCAAGAAACTCTTCATACACGTCGCGCCTCTCAGGGTCCTTGAGGACACTCTTGCCCGCCAGGGCGTCGATCTCATCCACAAACAGGAATGATGGCGCCTGGTACGTAGAATGTAGTGGGCGGGGAAGGGGGGAACAGAGGGGGGAACACATCAGTTGAAGCCTTTTGAGTCATCTCGAATGGCCTCTCAGGGTCCTTGAGCACGCTCTTGCCCGCCAGGGCGTCAATCTCGTCCACAAATAGGAACGACGGCGCCTGGTAGAGAAGCCGTGCGGGGGAAAAGGGGGGTGCCAAATAAAGACATGGGCAAATCAGGTGTGCATGCGTGCCATGTGGGGTCCTTCGACTCGCTCACATAACCAGAGGCTGCAACCCCTCTCCCTTGCGCTCTACATGAGCCAAATGGTCTCCAGACTCACATTGGCGCGCGCAGTGAAGAAGATGTTGAACACCTTATCCAGCCCACTCTCAGACGTGGAGTCAACAAACTCCGCCCTCGAAGTGAGCACAAACGGTGAGCACACATTCCCCACGTGTGATGTGAACACATATGCCAGACCCCTTCCCCTCCCCATCTACCCACATTAGCACGCGCAGTGAAGAAGATGTTGAACACCTTGTCCAGCCCACTCTCAGACGTGGAGTCAACAAACTCGGGCCCCCGACGTGAGCACAAACGGCAGCCTGCTCTCTCTCTCCCTTCCTCTGCTCCAACCCTGTCGCCCTCCCTCCCCCCCCCCCCTTGAAACTCACATTGGCACGAGCAGTGAAGAAGATGTTGAACACCTTGTCAAGGCCACTCTCCGACGTGGAGTCCACGAATTCAGCCCCCGACGTGAACACAAACGGCAGCCCGCACTCGCGCGCGATGGACCGCGCCAGCAGCGTCTTGCCCGTGCCGGGTGGCCCGCTGATCAAAATGCCCTGAGGGAGGACGTGTGGGTTAGGGAGGGAGGAAGGAAGAAAAGATGGCCATTTGAAATGCAATGGACCACGCCAGCAGAGCCTTGCCCTTCTCAAGCACATCCCACACACCCAGCCACACCGGCTGCGCAATTCCCACGCCCCTCACTGCCCCACACGCCCCTCACTGCCCCACACGCCCCTCACTACCCCACACCCCCACTCACTCTCGGCAGCTTGATCCCCTGGTCATGGTACAGCACAGGGTCGCGCATGTACGCCATGACCTCCTCTAGCCATCTGCCTGCCATTGTCCCACACTGCCCCACAGAGGGACTCGCTTACCCGGGGCAGTTTAATGCCCTGGTCGTGGTACAGCATGGGGTCGCGCATGTAAGCCATGACCTCCTCCAGCACCTCCCAGATGTCATCCGCCATCACCACATCGTCATACGCGCTGCGCTGCCCCTCCCTGTGCACGTCCTCGGGCTGGGGAAGAAGGTGAAGCCAGAAAAGTAGGAGAATGGAGAAAATACGGGAAAGATGAGGTGAGGACAAGGAGGAAGAGGAGGACGAGAAAGAGTGCAGATAGCACCTACCAGCAGCAGCTGCGACCTGTCCAGATAGCACCTACCAGCAGCAGCTGCGAGCGGTCCATGTAGATGTAGTCATGGATCTTGTCGTCCACGCGGCGCTTGAAGACGATCTGCGCGGCCCCGATGCCGCCCAGCAGCACCAGCGACGGCAGCAGCGCCGCCACCCCGCGCAGGAAGAAGAGGCGCGAGCGCGGCAGCATGTCCACGCTCACTCCCTTGAGCAGCAGCGAGGGGTAGAGGAAGGGGTCGATTGGGATGTCCACCTGGTGTTGCCAGGGTGCAGTGCACACATAAGGATTCAGAAGTAACGGGCGAGTGGCGTGAGTTTAAGTTGAGGGGGTACACATATGCCCAGAGACAGGGGGTGGACCACAAGGGGCTACAGGATGCTGAGAAAGCCCTTCCCCTATCCCTCCTCAATCCCTCCTCTAACCCTCCTCCACCCTTTTCCTACCCCTCCTCTACCGCTCCCCCACCCCTCCGCCACCCCTCCCCCATCCTTCCCCCACAACCTACCTTGAACTCAGCGGGAAACCCTTCCTTCATGGTGACATACAACCGCCGCATGTCAGCCGTGAAAACTGCCGCCTCCACCTCATTAGTCTGTATCTTGTGCAGCAGCCACACGTACGGCATGCCCGGTCGGTGCTTCCACCACCACACACTGCCGTGAACGCCCCTCCTCCACCCCTCCCCTACCGCACCTCTCCTCACCCATTTCCAAACATCTCCCAGCCAGACCCCACACCTACCCCCTCCGACACCCCAGCTTCTCACCTTGAACTCAGCGGGAAACCCTTCCTTCATGGTGACATACAGCCGGCGCATGTCAGCAGTAAAAACCGCCGCCTCGACCTCGTTGGTTTGTATCTTGTGCAGCAGCCACACATACGGCATGCCCGGTCGGTGCTTCCACCACCGCCGCTGCAGCCACACGGCTGGGCTGTCCGCCTCGCCCTCCCCCCGCGCCCGCCTCGCCATCTCCTCCTCCTGCTGAGCTTGAATGAGGTCCCAATCGTACACGTACTCGTAGCTGGGAGGGGGGGGATGGGAAGGGGGATGGAGGGGAGAGGGCAGGGAGAGCAAAAGGGTTTGGTAAGGGGGAATGAAAGAAGCTGCATCTGAAGGCGCCTCCTCCTCCTGCTGCGCCTGAATCAGATCCCAGTCGTACACGTACTCGTAGCTGGGAGGTGTTGGGGGGGAGGAGGCAGAAAAAAGGGGTTTGCAGAGTGAGTTGGCAGGGGGGAATAGGCTCATCTCTCCTCCTCCTGCTGCGCCTGAATCAGATCCCAGTCGTACACGTACTCGTCGCTGGGATGGGAGAAGAATGGTGAGAGGACAAGGGGGTTAGCATGGGGAGAAAGAAAGAAGTTGCACCTACAGGCGTGTTTGATCAACCCACCTCCTCCTCCTGCTGCGCCTGGGAGGGGGGGGGGGGAGGGGAGGGGAGGGGGTGTGGGTTCAATCAATCAGTCAAGCAGCCCCAGAGATTAGAAAAAGTCCCATCGAACAAGAAGTTCTCTCCAACAGGGGCTCTCGCCGATCGCTTCTCCCACTGGGACCTGTTCAGTGAAGCAGTGATCTCACCGGCTGGAGGGCTCTTCAAAGAGGTCCTTGATATCGCCCTCCGTCACTGCCTCCTCCCACCGCTGCAACCGCTCCCTCCACCCGCCCTTGCTGCCTGCTACCGTGCTGCCACTGCTACTGCCACTGGTGATGGTGGTGGAAGCAGCAGTTGTGGCACTGCTGCTCGTAGCACTAGCAGCATCGTCACTGCCACGTGTCAGCAGCCCAGTGGCCGAGGATCGGTCCAGAGCGCCCTCGTGCTGCCACGCGGTCTCGCCCACAAAGGAAGGGTCCTTCTCCCACCGCCCGTCGCGGTCCATCCTCCACTTCACCACTGATAGCCCTGGCGGCGCCTGCGCCCTCCACCGCTGCTCCCGCACGCTAAGAGGCAGGGGGTTGAAGAGGGCGAGGGGAGAGTAGGTGGATTGGTTGGGGAACAAGACGGTCTCTTAACCCACCGCCCGTCGCGGTCCATCCTCCACTTCACCACTGATAGCCCTGGCGGCGCCTGTGCCCTCCACCGCTGCTCCCGCACACTGAGAGCACCAAAACAAAGCACGCGGAGAAGAGATGGGGGCGGGGGGATGGGGGGGAAGAAGGGGGGAAAACGTGAGGGGAGAGCTGGTGGATTGCTTAAGGGGAGAGAAAGGATTCATTCACCTTCCATCATGGTCCAATCTCCACCACCCCCACCGGCCTCTTTTTTCTCCCTGCTCCCTCTCCCACTACCCTTCCACATTCGTGACTCACAGGCGCACATTCTCAGAGGTAGGTTCTGGCATAGCAAACTCCAGAAACCACTCCCTATCTCCTTGCACCTATACATATCCCTCCCCTCCTCCTCCCCTTCCCCCTGGGACTCACAGGCGGACGTTTTCAGGGGTGGGTTCTGGGATGGCAAACTCCAAGAACCGCTCCACATCTCCTTGCACCTATATACTTCCCTCCCTTTCTCTCCCCCCCCCTCAACCTTCCCCCTTGTGACTCACAGGCGGACGTTTTCAGGGGTGGGCTCTGGGATGGCAAACTCCAAAAACCGCTCCACCGTGGCCGGCCGGCTTGCCAGCCTGGCAGCTACAGTGCGGCCCGCCGCCCGGCAGAAGACGGCTGTAGCAGCGAGGTAGAGCGCTGCTACAACCCACCGTAGTGCCGTCCACGACTGGGGTTGCTGTAGCACGACCAGATTGGTCGGGGGAGAGGGGGGCGGGGATTAGAGGAAGTTTGAGTCGAATTAGCTGTAGCGGCAAGGTAGAGCGCTGCTACAACCCACCGTAGCACCGTCCATGACTTGGGTTGCTGTGGCATGACCAGGGGGGTCGGGGAAGAGAGGGGCGGGGATTGGGGGAAGTTTGAGTTGAATCGGCTGTAGCAGCGAGGTAGGGCGCGGCTACAACCCACCATAAAGCCGTCCATGACTGGGGTTGCTGTAGCATGGCCAGTTTTGGCGGATGAGAGAAGAATAGGGAGAGGGAAGTGTTAAATAGAAAGTTACTGACACCACGGCTGTAGCGGCGAGGTAGAGCGCCGCTACAACCCACCGCAGCGCCCTCCGTGACTGGGGGCTCTGTCGCATAACCCCATGAACGGGAATCGCTGTAGAGCAACGTGGAACAGGAAACCCCTGAACCCTGATTCCCCAGTAGCTGCATTGTTGTTCCCTTGAGCCCCCCGCCTTCCCAGGGCGTTCCCTGCCACGTCACTCACCTTCCATTGGTCCACTTGGTGCCACCGCTTCGCAGCCAGCAGCTTTGGCAGGCCGCGTCGCTTCACTGCTGCTGCTTGCTCGCGGGCAGACCCGAGAATGTTTTCGACTGCCCCTATCACGGCTGCTCGGATCGCTGCAAGCAGAACCTGCGCGTCGCGGACGTCCGTTCTAAACTCGTCCTTAATCTCCTTCACTACCCCGTCCAGCGATTTCGCTTTTAAGAAGCTCCCTCCGGCTTCTGAACTCGCATTATTATTGGCGTCGCTCGCTGCATCTCCGCGATCGTCGCCGCTTCTACCGCCGGATTTTGCGGCGCGGCACGGAGATCCTAACGGCCGGGAAACACGGAGGAGGCGAGGCGAGCCAGAGAAACCAAGGGAGAAGCGAGGAACGAAGGAGGAGGTCAAAGGGACACGTGGCCGCAATCGGCGTTGACACGTAATCCCATGGCCACGTGGCACACGGGGAAACGAGCCCGTTGTTAGAGCGCTGTTACCCAATGTGACCATAGTCGCTAGGGGACGCTCGTGGCAGCGGGAAATGCGGGAATCGGAGTGATCAAGACGGTGACGAAGCAGGCTTATGGCGGAACCTGCGGGCGGATCGAGCCGCAGTGACGTGGCCATAAGCTCCCTCGATTGAATCACGCCGTCAAACGAGTCGTCGTGCTGACATTCGTGCTGGAGCTCGCCGCGCCCTAAACATCCACCTATCAGACACGCGTCGTACAGGCGATGAGCATTTCAACTGGATAAGCACCTTTCCGTGAGCGGTAGGAGGCACGAGCTTTTGCGAAGGCGAGAACGAGTTACCGTGCAGGGTTACCCAGCTTCTCCTCTGTCAGCACAATATCATATTACAGTTAGTCAGTACACCCATACAATGTTTTCACTTGGTCGTAGCATTGCAAGCAGGAACAAGACTAGGATGTGTGGCTGTGTGGTTCTGATGTAGCCTCCATGCATCACGATACAGCTTCACATGCAATATCTGCACACAAAAAACAAATTAAGTATTTGAAATAACTGGTGCTCATGTGCACGTCTACATCGAGTGCAAACAAGTGAGCGACGCTTTATTAGCACACATCAAGCGCCACAACCATTTCAACGAAAATAACAATCCAGGAAATTACAGTACCTGCAGGAGTGTGTCGACGGCATCATCCCCTTCCATGCCCTCCAAACCCGCCACCCACTCTCCCACCTCCTTCCCCCACGCCCTCTGCCGCCCCGCCTCCTGCAGCACTGCCGACCGGTAGAACCACCGCATCCAGACAAGGCTCGCCGCCCGCTGCATGGCCCGCACTTGGCGGGATGAGAAGGAGTTGAGAATGGTGACGAGGTTCGGGATGTCGGCTTCTGCTATGCGCACTGTGAATGATGGGTAGTCGAGGAAATTCTCAAACGGCAGCTCTATGCCATCCTGCCATGCCATGCCATAAAAATGCCACACCCATGCCATGCGACAACGATGCCACATCCATGCCATGCCAGTCCCCATACAGTGAGATGCACCGTGTATGGAGGGCAAGAGATGGACATGACAGCTTTTCAGTCACAATAGGGGCAGATCCTCCATGGAGCAAAAAAAAGCGAGGCACATTGCCACAACATGATACCAAAGGGGCTTTAAGTGGTTGGAGATGCAGGCGGCAGGGCAGGGCAGGGCAGGGCGGGGTACCTGGATGATGCAGGGGATGCAGCCATGCAGCAGGCTGTCCTCCATGCGCGCACTGAAGCCATCCCCTGGGAACACCCCACAGAAGCGCGATGAGGCGAGCTGTGGAAGCATGCAGAGCGGGGAGGGGGAGTGAGGAGAAGAGGCAGGAGGGGAGAGGGGGGGGACTGTGTACTGTCCTCCATGCGCGCACTGAAGCCATCTCCTGGGAACACCCCGCAGAACCGCGCCTGTGATAGCTGAGTTAGGGAAAGGGAGGGGAAGAGGGGGCCGTGGGGAAGGAGACGGGGAGGGCACGAAAGGGGGAAGGAAGTGGGAGCGAGAGAGGGCAAAAAAGGGGTGGGGGGTGAGAAAGGGGTGGGAGGGGAAACGGGAAGGGGAAGAGTCCCACAGGACCCTTTTTTTTCCAGCTACTGCTCACAGTCAGACACCACTCTCTCTCCACCCCCTCTGCCCCCTCTGCCCCCTCTGCCCCCTCCGCCCCCTCTGCCCCCTCCACCCCACCCCGCCTGCTGGGCATAGTCAGGGACGGGCCCTGACAGCACGAGGACGTCAGGGTGGGACAGCAGTCCCACGTGGCCATGCACGTTGGGCTGCGATGCAAAGTACAGCGCCACTCGCTGCCGGATGCCCATGCTGTAGCTGCCGTGGGTGTGGTGGGGATGGAGGAGGGGGTGTGGAAAGGGGGAGGGAAGAGGGAGCGCAAGTAGGAGGGAGTGGGTACTGAGAAGACTGCGATGCAAAGAACAGCGCCACTCGCTGCCGGATGCCCATGCTGTAGCTGCAGCGATTGTGGTGGGGAAGAGAAAGGGGAAAGGGGAAGAAGTGGGTAACAAGAAGACTCTGAGCCACAGTAGAACGCTACTCGCTGCCGGACACCTATCGGTAGTGAGAAGACTCCAAGAATAAGTCGAGCGTCACCGAAGCACAAGGCACAAGGCAAGTTTGATGCGAGGAGCTAATTCTCCCTGTCTGGCCTTCTCGATAAAGTGGAGACCGAACAAACAAGTGGGGCTTCAAAAAGTGACCAACACTGCACGTTTCCCTACTTGGCATCTGCGTGTGAAAACGCGCGTGCACTTGGCCTGTGTGTGCGTGTGTGTACGTACTTGGCCTCTGGGCGGCCGTGGGAGAAGTTGAGACCCAAGTTGCCTCCAAAGAAGAACAGCCGCTGCCGCTGCTCCACTGGACTGCCATGGCAGGCAGAGAGACATGGGGTAAGGGGGAGCATAGGGCAGGGCAACGCATGTGGCAGGGGGGAGCATGGGGCAGCTACAGGGAAGTAATTGTTGTGAGTGCCAAAACGTGAGCGCAGGGGAAGTTATGAATGTTGAAAGGTGCGGAGGCAAAATATATTACTATAGACAGACACCTGGCAAAAAGAGATGTAAGAAAACGAGAACAGAAACCAGTAGTTCCGCATACTCGCTTCTGCTTATTTCTCTCCCTCATCGCCTACTTGAGCCACAGCCGCCCCCTGAGGTGCTCCGCACTGGGCGGCTTGAAGGCGGGCATGACCACGTCCTTTAGCGGGTCGAAGCACGGGTGCTGCCCGCGCAGGGCTGCCGGAATGTCGTGCCAGCTGTCGAGGAGATAGGCGGTGGTGGAGTGGTTGTGGGCGGCCATGGTGTTGCCCCAGTGGGACAGCATGATGCTGTTAAAGACGTCTTTAGGGGCGCTGCACGCCCCTTCATCCCAGGAGAAGGCCTGCAGGTATGACAGATAGAGGAAGGGAGATGGGAAAGCAGTGGTTGTGGGCGGTCATGGTGTTGCCCCAGTGGGACTGCATGATGCCCTACAACACTTCCCTGGAAGCGCTGCAAGCCCCGTCATCCCAGGAAAAGGTCTGCAGCAGGGATGACAGTGATTACAGAGGCAGCATGTGAAGGGTATGCAGCTGAGAAAAAAAGGTGGGCAGGATGACACGTGAGTTGCTGAATAATCATCTTCATGTGCAAGGACAGGCATCCTGCCCGAGGACTGCTTGCAAGGACTGGTTGTGGTTGACAGGCAGTCCCACACTCACATGCCTCGAGATGCTTCAATGCTCACCCACATACCTCGAAACGCCTCAGGGCTCACCCAGATGTGGTCGCGGCCGTCCGTTCGGTTCCAGTAGGGGTAGGCGGATCGGATGTGCTCCAGGGCTCGCTGGTAGTGGTCCGCTGCAAAGTACGACCGCCGGTTCTTGAACTTGCCCTGCGATGGGGAGGGGTGGGGAGTGGTGCGCGTATGTTTGAGGTGCCTCCTCTACGATAGGCTCGCTGGTAGTGGTCCGCTGCGAAACATGTCTGACGTTCCGACGGTTCTTGAACTTGCCCTGTGGGAGGCGGGTGGGGTGGGGGGGTGGGGTGTGGTCGTCAGCTCGGGCAGTGATGCACGGGCATCCCATCCCATGCAACTCCAGGGCACGCTGCAGTCTGCAGAGACCCGCACATACAGCAACACTCGTGTACATGTCATGGCATACCATACTAGAGCGCTCACAACGCAGCTCAATGACGTATCTGTATGGAGGTGGCGGGTTGAGTCATCAGCACAGGCAGTGGTGCATGCACCCGTGACGGGCATCGTGTGCAGCTCCATGGCACACCTCACACACACACGCACGCAAAGCTCCACACAGCACTACCGTGCCGTACCTGCCATGTCACACCCCTCATAACGCATGCACCTGCATAGAAGTGGCAGGAGAGTCGTCAGCGCGCGCAGTGATGCACCCACCCATGACGGGCACAAAGAAGTAATCGGCTGCTGAGGCATTGGTGGTGCGGTGGGGACTGGCTAGCAGCGACTCTAGGACTGCCACCTGGCTGATGGGATGTGCCATGGGAGGGGAGGGGCAAGGAGGAGGGGAGGAGAGCACCAAATTATCGCGGGCACATGGAATGTTGCACTGGTGGTGGTGCGGTGGGAACTGGCCAGCAGCGATTCTAGGACTGCCACCTGGCTGATGGGAGGGGAGGGGAGGAGGAGTGGTAAGGAGAGTATAGCTTCTCCTTCCCTTCAAGAGCGCAAGGGAGGAAATAGTCCGCTGCCGATGCATTGGTGGGGGGTGCCAAGCAGTGACTCTATGACTGCCACCTCGCTGATGAGTGGGCGGGCGGGGAGGGAAATGGGGTGAGGAGGGAAAGAGAATGATCAGAGAGCCCACCCATCACGAACTCACAGAATGATCCACTGATGGTGCAGTGGGCCTGATAGGGTATGCTGCTCAGATCCAATGATGTTCCTCACAGCTCATTCACCTCCATACCGTAAAGCTGGAAGTGGTTGTACAGGGTCTCATAAGCAAGCCGTACAGCTGCGTGGTGCAGGGGTGGCCGTACATGTAAATCAGCGCTCTCCCCCTGGTCGCAGTCAACTCACAGCGCAGCTCACTCACCTCCATGCCGTAGAGTTGAAAATGGTTGAAAATGGTTGCCGTACAGCCGTGTTGTGTAGTTGGCACGGATCTTCCTCGCCTCTTGATGCTGAAACGTGAACTCCCCCGGCAGGTCGTACATGTGGATCAGCCCTCTCACTGTCGCACTGGTCGCATTGAGCGCATAGCTCACTCACCTCTATGCCATACAGTTGAAAATGGTTGTAGAGCGTCTCATTCCGCATGCCATACAGCCGCGTCGTGCAGTAGGCACGGATCTTCCTCGCCTCTAGGTGGTTGTAGATGCAGATCAGCGCTCTCCCCCTGGTCGCAGTCAGCTCACAGCACAGCTCACTCACCTCCATGCCGTACAGTTGAAAATGGTTGTACAGGGTCTCATTCCGCATGCCATACAGCCGCGTGGTGCAGTACGCACGGATCTTCCTCGCCTCGAGATGCTGAAACGTGAACTCCCCCGGCAGGTCGTAGATGTATATCAGCGGCCGCTGCCGCCGCACCCACCGCCTGCTGCTGCTGCTGCTGCCCACTGCCTTGCTCCGCCGCTGCTCCCACTGCCTCCTCACGAATGGCTTCACCTGCCGCTGCGCTGCCAGGTTCAGGACCCTCTTCTGCCACCCTGACTTGGCGCCTGCAGTACCAGCAGCAGCACCAAGACGGGACCGTGGTCTGTGGTGCGTCTCCTCCCCGCCTGCACCATGCAGCACACGGCGCTGCACACCCCCAGGCATGGTGCTTTCTACAGCATCGACAGGTGTGGCAGTGGAGCCATTTGGGTCACCATCGCTGCTTCGGCTGCTGCCTCTTTCCCCATCGACGTTGCCGGCCAATGCCGTGTCAACGGCCGTTGATGCCACGTCAGCGGGAGGCGAATCCAGGTGGAGCGATGCAGATGGGTGGGTGAAGAGCGCACGAGGCGTGAAAGCGGATGGCACACTGCAGTCTATTCCAAAGTAGCCATCTGAACACTGGATAGGGGTGGATGGATGGGATGGAATGACATTTGAGTCGACTCAAGGGTCAAGCGTACGGCACACTGCAGTCGATGAGAAAGTAGCCGTGTGAACAGAACACTGAAGTGGAATAGTGTATGGGATGGGACAAAGGAGGAGGTGAACAAGTGAGTTGGGGCAGAGCGAAGGGGCCAGGAAAGAGGAGGAGGAGGAAGAATAACGCCATTCTTAGTCCTTACAACGCAACCACGAAACAGAACGCCAAAGAATGACCAGACTTGAACCACAGTCGCCCATCCACCCACCAACCCACGCACCTCACAGTACCCCCGGTGACAGGAGCCGTGCAGCGAGCACTGATTGACACAGTATGACTCCACGCGCACATCACAGAAGGGGCCTAGAAACCCATCCACGTCGCACATGCCACACCCCGTGTAGTCGCGCTGAAAGCCCACTCGTCAGGGCCACCCACCAGTCCACCCACTCACCTCACAATATCCTCTGTGGCACGAGCCATGTAGGGAGCACTGGTTGACACAGTATGACTCCACGCGCACGTCACAGAAGGGGCCTAAGTACCCGTCCACATCGCACATGCCACACCCCATGTAGTCCCGCTGAAAGCCCACTCGGGGGTCAGCGTTGCAATATCCGGTGTGGGCATGGAAGAGCAGATCCGTGTCCACCTCGCTATAGACAAAGTCGTGGTTCCTGGGGGGTTGGGAAGGGGGAAGAAAGGCATGGGATGGGACAGACCTCTGCTGCAGTAGCCGGTGTGCGCGTGGAAGAGCAGATCCGTGTCCATCTCGCTATAGGCAAAGTCGTGGTTCCTGGGGGGATGGACATGGAACGAGGGGAGAGAGGAGAAAGAAGGCAGGCGAGGGGCACAGATTGGCTGGGCTTGTGTCGCACATGCCACACCCCGTGTAGTCCCGCTGGAAGAGCAGGTCCGTGTCCATCTCGCTATAGACAAAGTCGTGGTTCCTGGGGGGATGGACATGGAACGAGGGGAGAAGGGGAGGAGAGGGGAGGGTAACACAAGTGGGGTGGCAGGGTAAGAGAAAGGCACGGACAGGCCAGGGCTGCTATTGCAATGACCAGAGTGGCAGTGAGCCGGGAAGACGCACGTTACCCAGGCAGCTACAGCCCCATTGCCACGCGCGCACTGCACCCATGCAATGCACCCATGCATCAGTGACCCAGGCCCTACCTGTACACGAACCCACAGGGGTGAGTGATGGGGCGGTGAGGAAACCGCGTGCCATTCCCACAGAAGCAGAGGGCGGTGGTGGTGTCGCAGTGGGCCGGGCAGATGGACGCTACCCAGGTACCCACGGGCCACTCGGGTGATGCAGGCAGGTTGCACTGGTGCAGGTGCAACTGCGAGCAGTCTGGCCCTGCAGAGGGTGGAAGGTTTGGGAGTAGCAAGAGCAGTGGGTGGGAGGAAGCTGACAGATGGGTGCCACACCACCCATGCACCCACGGACCAATTGGTTGATGCGGGCAGGTTGAACTGGTGCAGAGGGTGCAGTGGCAGCAACGGTAGAGGTCGGAGCAACGGAAGCAAGAGGGCGCAGTGGGCATGGTGGGAGCAGTGGGTGGGAGTGAGACGAGGCAGGTGAATGCCAGCCAGCCAGGGACCCACGGGCCACGGGGCCATAGAGTGATACAGGGGCAGGTTGCACTGGTGCAGGTACAGCTGAGGGAGTTGGGCGCAGTCAGGACTCAACCAAGGAACAAATTTCAACTACTGAAAATCTCCTGAGAACCTGTGTATGCCCTACACCTGAGGATTAACCTGAGAATCCGTGTCGGCATCTGCACTCCCCCAGCTCGTGGTTGCACACGCCGTTGCCACTGCAGTTGCCGGGACACGCCCGGGAGAAGAGCGCCTGGAGGACACAACAATGCGAAGGGCACACCAACCACACCAACCATGGGGCCAACCCGCCGGGAAGGGTGCAATCAGGAGAGTAGAAGGGGAGGGCTGGGCTCTTTAGGAAGGGCTGGGGATGGGCTTGCCAAGCTCTTAGAAGGAGGCTGTCTTTGGACGCACAGACAATTCGAAACTGCTTTTCTGCCTCTTTCCTTTCCCTTCAGGGCCCTTCCCATCTATCCTCCGCGCTCTCCTGTCCCTCCACCCATCATCCTCCCAACCATGCTGCATACACGCACCTCGCCTACAGTCACAGGCGACAGCTGGTCACTACACGTCACGAGCCACCGCCCCACGTCAGCCTTCCACGGCGCCCCTCTGTACTCCACTGCACCGCTGCTGCTGCTGCCCCCGCTACTATCACGAACGTGACTGTCACCATCGTTACTGGAATCACTACGGTTACTGACAGGAACGACTTCTCCGCCCCCGGAGTCTCGAGCGCCGCCATCTCCGCCGAGTTTCCCGCCCTCTCCCGCCCCTAGATGCCTCGCCTGCGACACCCCCTGCCTATTCCGAACCACCTGTGCGACCTGTGCGACGTTCCTGTTCCAAGGGTGCAGCCCCCACACGTCACACGCGATGAGCGCGGCGGCGACGGCAACCAGCAGGGCGACTCGTGCCACGTGGGCAGCCCCCGGGCCACGTGGCTGCGCCCCGGCCGCTGGCGCTGGCGCCGCGGGAGCGCTGCCACGTCGGCTGGACGTGATTGGCTGGAAGACGCGAAAGGAGGTTCCGGGAGCAGCGATTGGCGCAGATGCTGCCGGCTGGAGTGCCGGCCGGCGGGAGAAGAGGGGCGGGAGGAGAGCCGGCATGGGGTCGCCGCGTGGGGTCCTAGCGACGCAGCAAGTGAGTGAACGATGGTGGCGAGGACTCCTCGGGAAGAAGGATATAAGACTATTAGTAGACAAGACCTTGGATTAGTGAGAGTGGGAACGCCTCAACAGTGGTCTCGATAACGACTCCGCCTCCTAGGTCGTCACGATACCATCAGCACGAGCGGCCCTGCTAGTCTCGTCTCGACCCGCGCCATTGTTGACGCGAACGAAACTCACACACACTGCCTCCGCGCTTGCTCACCACCATGAGACCCATGTTGGAGGGCGACATTTCTTAGGAACTCGAGAGATTTTGTGACATTGCGGATTACACTAATGCGGTTCACCAAAAAATGCGGCTGTAATTTGTTCGAGTTCCCACAAACGAGGACATCAGCTCCGAGGGTGAAGTAAACTGGCGCAACATTGGTTTCCTCTCTTGCATTTTCTTCGGAGCTGCAGTGCTGTGCGGGCAGCTCACTTCACACCGCCATTCACGGCGCGCTTTAGTGAGTCATCTCAAAAGCTGTAACCCGCCATGTCAGCCGTAAGCGCGACGGCCGTTTTTCCGTCGCTTGACGGCTCGCCGCAGCTGCGTCGAGCCCCGTTTCAGTCACATCCTGTAAAATCCAGTTCAGCATCAACCAGCGCGTTTCTCCGCGAATCCCAACGCCAGTCCTACTTGATCCTGCGACATTCCCTCCCGCGCTCGTGCTTCTATGGTCCCGAGCGTCCCAATGTCCCCGTGCATTTGAACCTGATCCGTCAGTTAGCGTCATATTCTCGGCCGCGCCGGGCGGCACGCGCAGCAGCTGCACTTACCCCAGTCGTTGCCGCAACTGCGGCAGCTCCGCGAGGCGGCAGCGACGGCGAATACGACAGAAATGACCAGTGGGATGACTCGCGGGCTCGTCGTTCTGAGCAATACGAAGATGACTATAGCGAGGATTTTTTCGCGAGTGATGACGTGGCGTGGCCGCCCGGCGCGCGGTTCGGTCAGAGAGACCAGCCAGATGAAAGCTGGATCAACGATTCTGATTGGTCGAGGGGATCCGCGGGGCCGCGCAAAAGGGGGCAGGGAGGGGAAGCGGAAGGATCTCGCGGAAGGCGGCAGCAGGGGGACCGCGGGGGGTTGCAGGGGAGCCGGGGGGGAAGGAGCGGGAGAGACGGGGAGAATGCGGGGGCAGGTAGGGGGAGGATGCGGGGAAGCGGCGGTGGAGGGGATGGCTGGGGGGAGCTGGAGGAGGCGGAGGGAGCAGCGGAGAGGCGCAGGGCTTTAGAGGAGCAGGGAATTGCTCAGCAGCGGCGGGGTTTGGGGTTTAAGGGAGAGAGGGGAGGATACAGCGGTGGCGAGATGGGGAGGTTTAGGGCGGCAGGAGCAAGCGAAAGGAGCGACGCTGGGAGGGACGAGGCTCAGGGTTCAGGGTTTAGGAGGGAGAGGGAGGGCTTAGCTGAGGGGAGGAGGGAAGGGAGGAGTGAGCTGGGTGCGAGAAGGGGGGCGAGAGATGAGGGGTGGAAGGCGGCGGGAGGGGAGAGGGGCTATGGTAGGGAAGGAAGGGGTGGTGGTGGCTGGGTTGGGGACTCCAGGCATGTGGGTGGAACTGAGGAGGCAGAGGAGAGGGATTTGAGGAGCAGAGGCGGCAGGGGAGTGAGCAGGCGGCAGTGGGGGGAGTATGATGAGGAGGACGACAGGGGCGAGCGGCAGACAAGGTCGTTTGGCGCAGCGGCAGCAGCAGGCGCATCCCTCCTTCCCCTCACTGCAGCTGCCCCTTCTTCTCCCACCCTCTCTCCCGCCCCTTATCCTTCCCGTTCCCCTTCTCCTCCCCCTTCCCCTTCCCCCTCCCCTTCCCCCTCCCCTTCCCCGTCCCCTTCCCCCTCCCCTTCCGCCTCCCCCTCCGCCTCCTGCTCCCCTGCGCGCGCCCCCAAGCTGAAGCTGGCGCGGCCGCCGGGTGTGCCGTCCCCGGGGAAACCAGGGGAGGGCGTGAGGGCGGGCGTACCGGTGTGCTATGGATGCGGTGCAGAGCTGCAGACGCGTGTAGAGGACGCTCCGGGGTACATCCCCCCTGACAAATACGAAATGGTGAGTCATGTGTTGATTTGAGTGCTGCGGGCCGGCTCAGACTCTCAGAGCACAGGGGAGGCCAGGGGAGGGGAGGGCGTGAGGGCGGTTGCGCCGGTGTGGGGCCAGGCGTGCCGGTGTGCTATGGGTGTGGGGCGGAGCTGCAGTCACGGGTGGAGGACGGCCTTTCAGAAATGGCGTCGCAAGCAGCTGCGGTCGCTGGTGTGCACGCGCTGCCAGCAACTCTCCCACAGTCGCCACAGGCCACAGCACCTTTGCAGAACCCAAACGATCCAAAGCTTCTTCTCCTCCCCCCGCCACCTCCCACCCCCGTCTCCCCTGTCCCAGAAAAAACGGCACAAACAACTGAGATCGCTGGTGTGCACGCGATGCCAGCAGCTGTCCCACGGCCGCATGGTGGCAGCTGTCATGGGCCACGGAGGTTACCGCGTTACCACTTTAACAGCCCCTAAGCAATTTCCCTCTCCTCCCCCCGCCCCACCCTCTCCCAGAAAAAGCGTCACAAGCAACTGAGATCGCTGGTGTGCACGCGCTGCCAGCAGCTGTCCCACGGGCGCATGGTGGCAGCCGTCACGGGGCACGGCGGTTACCGCGTAACGGGCCCGGCGGACATGTTTGTGACGGCGGAGGCGCTGCGGCAGCAGCTGACGTACGTGCGCGGGGAGAAGGCGCTGGTGGTGAAACTCGTTGACCTCGTTGACTTCAGCGGAAGCTTCCTCTCAAGGATCCGGGATATTGTTGGGCCCAATCCTATTGTTCTGGTTATCACCAAGGTGAGGAACGGTTGGGAGTGGTGGGGAATGGAGGGTGAGGTGCGGGAGAACGCGGAGTGATGTCTCAGAAGAGAAGGCGCTGGTGGTGAAACTCGTTGACCTCGTTGACTTCAGCGGCAGCTTCCTCTCCCGCATCCGGGATATAGTCGGGCCCAACCCGATTGTTCTGGTTATCACCAAGGTGAGCAGCGGGGGAGGGGAGGCAAGTGTTGCGGAATGCAGTGGAGGTGGAGGGGAGGAAGGGCTGCTGCAAGCGGCCTTGGAAGCTGAAAAGCAAGAAGCATTAGTTGACGGTGTTGAGTTGACTTGCCCATGCACTGCACACATTTGCCTCTTGACCCATTGTCCACTGTTCCCCCCTTCCTTACCCTCCCCCCCCTCAAGCAGGTGGATCTGGTACCAGAGGAGGGCGTGCACATGGACCTGGCCCTGACTGGATGGTAGCAGCCGTTGAGTTTCCTTCCGACGCTTTCTCCTTGCCCCCAAACCAATGCCTCCCACGCCCCCTGACCTGACTACTTCCCTACACACAGGTGGATCTGGTACCAGAGGGAACGCACATGGACCCGGTGGCGGACTGGGTGCTGGCAGCCGTTGCGAAGAAGAAACTCAAGTGGGTTCTTATCTCCCAGGCCAGAGCGTGAGAGATTGAAGGCGTTGGTTCAGGGTTGCGATCAAGGCTTGGCTGTTGGGTGCGGACTTGGTGGCAAACTGGGTGCTTGCGGCGGCTGTTTGAATAATGAAAGAGTTGCACTGGCTTGCGTGGGCAGGAAAGGGGGGGGCTTGAACTGGGTATTGGTAAGGCGACTTGAAAAGGCGGGTTACGGGGTGAATGAATTAGTGCGGAAATCGTCAAGAATCACTGCTTCTTGCCGCTTTGCCCGATCCACACCCGCATGCCCTTGCGTTTCCCCCAGTGTGTTGGCAGTGCACTTTGTGAGCGCCAAGGCGCGCACAGGGCTGTCGTCAGTGGCTGCTACCATTCAACGTGAACGCCAGGTGCGCCTTTGCCATGCTTCCCCACAGGTGCACTGCACTGCACGCCGTTCTTGTTTGACATGTCTCGCAGCAACCTTTCCTATTTTACAGAACGCCAGAACGAAACAGAACGCCAGAACGAAACAGAACGCCAGAACGAAACAGAACGCCAGAACGAAACAGAACGCCAGAACGAAACAGAACGCCAGAACGAAACAGAACGCCAGAACGAAACAGAACGCCAGAACGAAACAGAACGCCAGAACGAAACAGAACGCCAGAACGAAACAGAACGCCAGAACGAAACAGAACGCCAGAACGAAACAGAACGCCAGAACGAAACAGAACGCCAGAACGAAACAGAACGCCAGAACGAAACAGAACGCCAGAACGAAACAGAACGCCAGAACGAAACAGAACGCCAGAACGAAACAGAACGCCAGAACGAAACAGAACGCCAGAACGAAACAGAACGCCAGGTGTGCTCTCCGCGTATCTGCCTGCCACCGTCGTCCCTCGCTCGCTCCCCTCTAAACTGCCTCCCTCCCCAATGGCCCTCTCCCAACTCATCATATCAACTCAATCGCTTGCCATGTGTGTCACACAGCATGTTCATTCCTCCTCACATCCCAATTTCTGTTGCATCAAAGCTCATGCTTCCTTCTTTCCATCTCTCCTCACACCGTCAACCCCCTCCCTCCCTCTCTCCCTCCTCCTCCTCCTCCTCCTCCTCCTCCTCCTCCTCCTCCTCCTCCTCCTCCTCCTCCTCCTCCTCCTCCTCCTCCTCCTCCTCCTCCTCCTCCTCCTCCTCCTCCTCCTCCTCCTGCTTGCTGTGTGCAGGGACGAGACGTCTATGTCCTGGTGAGCCCAACTGAAAACCACTGCCAATCACATAGGCAGAAGAGTCCATTGCGCATGCATGCTATCTCCTGTTGCATGTATGAGACTCACTCTCCAATGTACGAGCTGCACACTCAGTGTTCTTACGAACTCACTTATCATCACTCCCGTGTGTGCTCTTATGTCCCCACTGTGTCACTGCCTGCCTCTCACCTTTTCCCACATGGCCCCTCAACTCCTCTTTACATTTTTAACACTAACCTGTCTTCAAATGTATCTTCTATGGCGCTTCCCTCTGCATTACTCTCTTTCTCTTCTCTCACCTCTTCTCTCCCATCTCCCCTCATCTCTTCTCTAACCTTTCTCACACTCTTCAACCTTCTCCCTGTCTCCCCTCTCCCGTCTGTGTTCCAATGCTGCCATCACTGCCACCCCTGGCATCTGGGCAGGGAGCAGCCAATGTGGGCAAGACTGCTTTCATCTGCGCGTTGCTAGGTATGCGGTCTGGTTTGAGGCGTCTCAAGCTCTGCTAATTACAGATGCACTTTAGACGTTTCATGAGACCATCTCGGATGCATCATATCACCAGCAGCTTCTTTTCCTTTCCTGTGCACATGCACATGCACACTCCTCTCACCTCCTCCTCCCTGTTTTCCCCAACTTGCAGATGAGATGGCGAGTCGGGACATAATGGCAGCAGCAGCACGGCGCCGTCGTCCTGTGGCCTCGGCCATGCCAGGCACCACGCTAGGACCCATCTGTCTCAAAGCATTCTCTGGAGGCGGGGTGAGTTGAGCACTGTGCAGCACGTGGCCTTCTCTGGTTGGTGCTATACCAACCCCATTCCCTCCCTCGTTTCCCATTCTGGTTCATGTGTACAGCACCCAGGGTGCATGTGCACCACGTGTAGTGGAGGGGAGATGCGTCTGCTCCTCTTATGGTCTATCTTTTTTCCAGTCTTTCTTTGAGACATTCACTCTCCCTGCAATTCCCCCAGGACCTATACGACACGCCCGGGGTGCATCTGCACCATCGCATGGCCGCCATGCTGCATCCGTGGGATCTGCACCACCTCGGCCCAAAGCGACGGCTCAGATCGTTCGTTGTCACCGGGCCTCTGGAGCAGCACACAGGCACGGGCAAGGGAAGAGAAAAAACAGAAGAGAAAGTGGAGAATGAGGAGAAGGGGGAGAAAGGAGAGCAGAAAGAGAGTGTGGAGGGAGCAGGAGTCGAAGGGCGTGCAGAGGAGGGCACCAATGGAGAGCAGAAGGGGCTTCAAGGCACCTCTCTTTTCTGGGGCGGCCTTGTTCGGATCGATGTGGTGAAGGCGCCAGCTGGCACAGCTCTCACCTTCTTTGGCCCCGTGGCCATCCGCGTCTCCACCGTGCCCACCCCTGCTGCTGATGCCTTTTATGAGGTTTGCTTTCCTTCCCTACCTCCTTCCTTCCGATTCATACCTCTTCATGCACCTTCTCACTGCCTGCACACCTCCTCATCCCTCTCCTCGCACCCTATCTGTGTGGAGTCTCCACACCGGTTCCATCTCACCCTCCCTCACATCATATTCTCTCTCACACCCTCTCCTTCCGCACGTCCTCTGTGTCGCACATGTCTGGCTGACGTGGCAGGCTGAGGTGGGTCGACTGCTAGTGCCACCATCCAAGCCATTGGAGGAGCCGGCTTGGGAGGGGCTGCCATCGCAGCGGGCCTTTTCCTTCCGCCTGCCTTCCAAACGCTCCAGGTGCGATCTGCAAGTAGAGCTGTCCTACAAAAGCTGTTTCTGCTGCCTGCCAAGCTTCCACGAGTACTTTTGAGCCCTACTTTGTCGTGCACCATAACCACACCCCACATTCGCACAAATCACAAACCGTATGATTATGAGACTTCGTTTTGAGACGGTTGGTGCCATCCCCTCCGACCCCAATTCACCAGCCCGGTAGCTGACATTGCAATCTCTGGCCTGGGGTGGGTCTCCTTGTCTGGCGTGAAGCCACGTCAGCGCACCAACCCCGATGCTGACGTGTCATCTAGTGACGCCACCACCAGTTCACATCCCAGTGCTTCTAATGAATTTCATGGCGATGTCACTCGCTTCGAAGAGCGTGGAGACCAAATGCCGGGCACGGATTACAATGACGATGATGGTCATGGGAGCAACGATTTGCTTGGAAAGCAAGAGAGCGATGTGGAGCTGGTGGTGCATATACCCAAGGGCATTGAAGTGTTTGTGCGGCCTCCCATGCCCGTTGGGTGGTTTGCCAATGACTGGTATCAGTACGAGGAGCTCAGCGAGAAAGAGGAGATGTCGCGGCCTCGGGTGTTTCACGATGAAGCTTAATTTTCAACGTGTTCCATGTGTTCAAATGTACTTTCACAGCACTAGAAATCACCATCACCAGCAGTGTGCACTGTATTGCATTTGATATATACGTGTTCTTCCTTCTATAGAAAGTGTAATTAACATTTGCTCAGCCCCAAGATTGGTCTTCCCCGAACTGTTATGAATGAACTTGTCAGAGTGCGCAGATATCGAATAACGAGAATGTTGAACTACCGAATGCCTGAACAATGAAGTAGCGAGGCCTAAATAGGGGAAAACCTAGCTAGGCGGGGATGGTGTGGTAGAGTTGGCTCGCGAAGTGTCGCGATTGGTGCGGAGGCGGCTCGGTGAGGTTGGGATGCGAAATTGTAGGCCGAACCAGTTGGTCGCGTGGCCCTCGGGATGGCCTCGCTATCGAGCGCCTCAGTAAGGATTTGTAAATCCTTACACTCTCCCACCTCCTAAATAAGGCAGCCCTGTACTGAAAAGGGTCACCCAGTAGCGAGGATGCCGTTGATCTTCACTTCAGCTGAATCCGACGGCTGAAATGCCCCAGACAATATTGTTGAAAAGGTTGGAATGTCGGCCGTTGATGTTGTCAGATTTCGATCTGACGGTCGAAGATGAAGTGACCTCAATTGTAATGCATATGCTGTAGATCCGACGGTCGAAGCAGATGCGAAAAGGGAGGGAACCTGCTGACGCGAATTCAAACGCAATTGAGCAGGAACCGTAGATCGTGTCGGTGTGATCGCGGTCGTCCGTCGTGCTGTCGCAACCTGACAAAGTCAGAAAAGGACCAAGAAAACGCCAAGGAAAGAACAGTGCGAAGCACTTTCTCCCCCACTCCAAGAAAACACACCATAAAAGTTCCAGCAGCTGCGCCGAGATGAAAACAAACAAAACCGGGTGTTAAGTCCCACGAAGGAAGCCGTTGATGGAAGGAACCCAAGTGAAAATGCGTCGGTGTGGAAATGTCGATGTCGAAACCAGGAATTACGTGCCCAAAAGTCGTCAAGGGCGAACCAGCGAAAGTAGACCAGAAACCGAAACCGAAATTGCCGAGTACTCGAACTGAAGCTTTTTGTCTTCACATCGCCAGAATCATGCAGCATCCGCAGCAGTTGCAGCTGGCAGCACCTGACGTGGCTGAAATTAAATATGTTTGTCGTGGGCGGGTCGATGGCGAGTTGTTGGAAGCAGAGTTGGGATGGATTCTCCAAGAATTTTGTCGTAATCCGCCGAGAGTTCGTGGGCAGGGATGAAAATTTGCAGCTGTCTCTCCCCCCCCGTCACTGTTGCCGCCGCCTTCTCCAGTTCGTCGTAAGTCGTTCGTACCCCTTGAAAAGTCCGTGTAGTTCCCGCGCCGTTGCCCTGCGTAAATTTCGCGCGCGTGTAACCAAACTTCGAAAGTACTGCCACAAAATTGCCGCGCTTTCGCCGTAAAACCGTGAAGTCCTTCGTCAAACTCCGAAATCGTCGCTCGAGAAGTAGCCCCGTAAATCCACAGGTCTAGGTGCAGTTCTCCTCCGAAAATCTCAGACGTGCTATAGCCGCCCACCCGGTCACCATCAGTTTCCTTCGGTTACCCGACCCCAGCATGTGGGTTAAATCGAGAACCGGGGACTGCCCTGGGTCTTCCGAGACCGAATTTCACGGAACCTAGAGGCATCAACGCCGTTGACCCCGTCGTCGAAACTGCTCCCGTCGATGTCGCTTAACTGAAAACCACGCAAACTCCCACTGGCGCTTTGCGATGTTTCACCTCATCGCGCGTCACCGGCAGGTAAATCCCGAAGCCTCGGCTGCTCCCACGCTCCCTGAAGAATTTCCCGCGGTGTACGTTTAAACACCCGTGGGTCCTAGGTATCAACCGCACTCCAAGAAACGAAGAAAACACCCTCAGCTTCAACTCCTTTTTTTTTTTTTTCGTAGGAAGATAACCCCGAAAATCGTGGTTGAGGCTGCAGTCCCGAAGTTATTCTCCGCCGTATAGCCCCGACGTTTCCGCCGTTTTTTCCCTGGTACTCCGATGTTCACCCATCTTCGTACCCGCCGGACTACTTAGCGAATCCCAGGTATCCTTGGCAATGTACCGCTCGCCGCGCCTCCATGTAACGATATCAAACCCTTTCGGGGGTCTACCGAATAGACTCCGAAATTCGCGGTAGATTGGTGCACGGGCTCAACCTATCACTCAAGTGATCTGCTGGATCACCCACAACTTTCCCTTCCGTCATCAATTTTTTCGTATTCACCCCCCGACAATTCCGCTTCCCGCCGTTCACCCAGCGTCCGCTTTTGTCGGATGGGGTATCGTCGTTGTTGCCCACGCGAACTCGGTCATGGTGGAGAGGCAAAAACTATCGGAGTCGGGGCAGCCTTAGTTAAAAGGAAACTGTCGCCCAACCGTTTTGCAGCCCGCCGTGCCTATCACGTCACGTAAAATCCACAGCTTCCCGGTCTCAGCTTCGCCGCCGCGCCGTCGATTCGTGTAGACGCCCGGGTCAGGAGAAACCTGTAGACTGCACCATTTCTTCTTCGCAGCTCCCCGACTTTTTCGCGTGCCGTTCATCCAACCCGCTTTTGTCGGAGTAGAACAGTGCCGCGAGCTCCACTTTTTTTATTTATTTTTTTTTCTGTACAGCTGTCGAACGGGCACCAAAACCGGTACCTTTAACCAGCGCAGGGTAGGCCACGTGTTCACCCCCGTTATTCGGCCAAGTAGGTTGACTGCATGAGTCAGAACCAGGACTTGGTGGGGATGGTGAGGTTCGGGCGAAGTAGGGCCGCAGAGCGATTCCACCGGCTTTTAATCTGCCCCCGCAACGTTCTTCAACCCCCGCTTAGCCGTTGGGCCGTTTCTTCTCGCGTGTCCCGGCAGCCTGTACCGACCCCTCCGAAATTATCGGGCGGTACCTTGGACACCGTTTAACCGTGGGTTGTCAGCAGCTGTCCCCGAAAACAACATCCTTGGTCAGGGGAAACTGTTCTCGATACTGCCGGCCAGCTTGCAACAACACCAGGCACGCAGCGTCGCACGAGTTCTTTCGAGGTGTACCTGCCCCGATTTCCCTCGTCGCCTGCGTCCCACTCCTCGTAAGTGCGGTTTAGCCATCGCGTTTTCCGTTGCAGCCCGTAAGCGTCAGCAGGTATGAAGTCCCGTCTGTCCACGAGCACTCCTGCCGAATTTGTTGATGACGCGCCCGCCAATGCAGTAAAAGCTGCCGCACTTAACAGGTCGGGCGGGACGGCAGTTAACTCCCGCGAAGTCGGGCAGTCTTGTGTCGTCTCTCCTCGCCACCGACATTTTCGGACGCAAACTCCTTTTGCGCCTGGCGAGTTCCCCAGCCGACGTTTTCTTCAACAGAAGCTCCGAAATTTTCGCCACAGTGACGCACGTTCCTTGTCGCCAGCTGCCGAGCCACACTCCGTGAGTCGCGCGCGCATGATGACGACGAGCCACCGTTGTCACTTGCCGCATGGGACGGACTCCGAAGTTGTCGCAGCAGTTGTTGACTCGGGTCCGACGGCGTCAACTGCCACACATCGTGACGACTTCCGAAATCTTCGTGCAGGTGCCGACGCAGATCCGCTGACGCCAGCTGCCTCACAGTTTCGAAATCGTCGTTAAAACCGCAGCGGAAATAGTAACTCACGTTCAGAGTCGCGACAGCTCCAGCTGTCCGTTGCCCGGGGGGAGGGAGGCCACGGTCGATCGCGACCGTTCGAGCTAAGGATCTGGCGGTGCCGAAGGAGTGCCCCGTAAAACCATGGCCGCGAAGAGCAACTAACGAGTTCTCTTGGCCGGCCTACGCAACTCCTGGACCCCAAGGCATCCTTACTCGTCCCCCCCCCCCCCCCCCCCCCCGAGGGGTAATACACTCTAAAAAACGGGGTAGGCTAGGAAAGTAGCTCTGATACCAGGTGTTATGAATGAACTTGTCAGAGTGCGCAGATATCGAATAACGAGAATGTTGAACTACCGAATGCCTGAACAATGAAGTAGCGAGGCCTAAATAGGGGAAAACCTAGCTAGGCGGGGATGGTGTGGTAGAGTTGGCTCGCGAAGTGTCGCGATTGGTGCGGAGGCGGCTCGGTGAGGTTGGGATGCGAAATTGTAGGCCGAACCAGTTGGTCGCGTGGCCCTCGGGATGGCCTCGCTATCGAGCGCCTCAGTAAGGATTTGTAAATCCTTACACGAACCATCTTTCGTCGTGGCCCTTACTCAAATTTGGACCTCACCCTACACAATCACAGACACAGCCTAGATTTTGGTTTCATGGTCGCGTGTGCGACCTAGAAATTAGTTCCCGCCTTCCCAGGTTAGGAGTCAGAATTCTTGATGCCGCAAATAAATCTGATCGAACAATATTCGTGCGTATTCGTCTTTACTTGAGTAATGGTATAGGTTTTTTCAATATCTTTTGAAATAGTTCTGTTGGAACTGAAATTAGGCGGAAATGGCTGGCGTTGGGGAATCTCCGCCTCCTGCGCTTCCGCCTCCGCCTGCCATGGCTGCTCCGCCAGGCGGTCCGCCAGCGATGCTTCCGCCAACCGCGGAAGAGACAGTCCCGCTGAGCCTGCTGACTACTGCGACGGTTAAGCAGACCATGCGAGAGCTGCGACAGCTGAGCGAGTCGCTCGCTGCATCGCGTGCGACGGCGGAGGCGAGCGGACGAGGTCCTGACGACGAGAAACAGCGAAAGGTCGCTCTGCTAAAATTCCTCTGGCATACGCGACAGAAGCTGTTGCGGCTACTCGTTGTAACGAAATGGTGCAACCAGCTGCCCGTAATTGAGCGGTGCAAGCAAGCGTGGACCGCGCTGGCCAATCACGACGCAGCGTTTGTGCAAGCGGCGGACGGCTTATGGATGACGCACGCGCAGATCCAAGGCGCGCGCGCGCCTCTGTATGATGTTCCTACCGCCGTCGAGATTCTCTCCACGCACGCTTACCGCCGGCTACCCGCTTGCGTTGACGATCTGCAGCTCCCGCCGAACCTGATGCTGCAGAGGCTCGGACCAGCTGCGGTGGCAGGTTTGGTACCGCCTGCAGGGGTTGCTGCAGCAGCGACGGCAGCTGCCGAAGCAATGAGGTTGCTGGGAGGGGAAGAGGACGAGGAGGAAGAGGAGGAGGAAGTGGAGGTGGGCGAGGGAGAGGTGGAGGGAAAAGGAAAAGGGGAAGAGGGGGGAGAAATGGGGTCTAAGGGCGTGGAGGGAACCACCATACCTGCTGTCTCTGCCGCTGACTCTGCCGCTGCCGCTGACTCTGCCGCTGCCGCTGCTGCCCCTGCCACTGCTCCTGCTGCCGCCGCTGCTGCCACACCTGACTCTTCCCCATCCATGCCCGAGACGGCCAAGGCGAAGCGCGCGAGGCTGAGGGCCGCCAGACGCAGCGACAGGAGAGCCGCTGTAGAGCAGATTAACTCCTTCCTGCGAACGCGGCTGCTGGAGACGCCTATTCCCCCGGAGGTGACGCGGGTGCGGGTGGGAGGGGGCAAGGTACGCGTGTATGTGGAGGGCGAGTATGAGGCGGATATCACTGGTGGTTATATGTCCAACCTGTCTCTTTGGAAGGTGATTAAAGTGAAGATTCTTGTACGGGGCGCGGAGAACGTGGCAGAGGGGGAGGTGGATGGGGAAGAGGAAGAAGAGGAGGAGGATGAAGAGGAGGAGGATGAGGGGGAGGGAGAGGGCAGAAAGGAGAGGAAGAAGCCGCGCCAACAGCGATCACAGGGGAGGAAAGGCACGGCGTCAAGGCAGCGCGGAGGGGTACGCAGGTTGAAGGGTATGAAGGGCATTCCCATGAGCGAGGTGCAGCAGATGGCGCTAGCAGACGAGCTGCAGCGCCGCATGGCAGCAGCGGCCGAGGACCCAATCACAGCCCTCCACGTGGTGCTCCACCAGGTGTGCTGCGGCGTGGCAGCAGACGAGATTCTCCTGCAGCTGCACGCGCTCTGCGCCGCCCGCTGGCGCCACCACGTCAAGTTCGAGGTCGCCGCCCGGGACGCGGGCAGCACGGGCAACACGGGCGGCACATGCGGCACGGGCGGCACAAGCGGCACGGGCGGCGGGAGAGGAGGGTCGGGGGTTTTCGGGACGTCTGGGGGACCCAGTGGGAGCAAAGGATGGGTGGCAGGGGGAGGGGGGACAGGGGGAGTAGCAGGGGCAGGGGGACTAGGGGGAAGGGGCGGAGTGGGGGGAGCGAGGGTCAGTGGTTCGGGAGCAGCAGTGTCGAGTGCGGGTGGGAAGGAGGGGGAACGTTCTGGGGCAGCAGAGGCAGGAGCAGGAGGAGCGGCGGCAGGAGAAGCAGCCGGAGGTGCAGCGGGGTTGCCAGCGGTTCCAGAGGTATCTCCTGCGGTGCTGCACGTGTGGTACTGGCTGGACCCGGGGAAGGGTGAGAGCACAGGGGGATCGTCGTCAGCTGTGCTGGTCCGACTGGGGATCGTCAGCTTTGAAAACGCCGACGAGCCGCCGCCCTGCCTCACTCTCTCCCTCGCGCCACCCCCCACCACCGCTCCTCCTCCTCCCATCGCCCCTCCTGCGTCTGCTCCAGGCTCTTCTGCTGCTGCAGCAGCAGCGGCTGTTCCTGCTTCTGCTCCCTCCTCCCTGTTTTCCCGGCAGCCGTTGCGCACCCAGCTCATATGCCAGCATACGCCGGCCGTGGTGGACCCCGAGACGGGCGGCGAGGTTTGTCTGTATCTGGACCCGAGCAGGATCGACGTGGAGAAGCTCGTGCTGTTTGCCGCCCGGTGCTCCGCGCATGCCAAGCTGGCGCGGTTAAGGCGAGACCTGCTGGCCTCTCCGCTGCTCTGCTCCGGCCCTCAAGACTTGCTGCTCTCCTTCCCTCCTGCTCCCTCTCGCTCCTCTTCACGCTCTTTCTCTCTCCCCACCGCCCAGTCTCCCGTCTCTGATAACCCTCCTCCTTCTCCTCCACCACCTCCTCCACCTCTGCATCCTCCTGTAGATGCTGCAGAGAGTGGAGTGCCGCCGAGGGAAAACCTGGGCGAAGAGAAGAAGGAAAAGGGTGGAGGGGAGTTGGATGGCGTTGCCAAGAGGCTGGGGGAAGTTCTGGGGAAGCGCAAGAAGCTTATGGAATCTCTGTCGCTTGACAATGCTGGCATGCCTGACAGTGGTGGTGTTGGGGATGATGCTGGTGATCATGCTGCTTCAACCCATGCTGACCTGCCAAGAGCCAAGAAGCAGAGGCAGGGAGAAGATGGGAGAGAAGTGGTAGCATCCGGGGTTGGAGAGCGGTGGAGAGGCAGCAGCAGAGGTGGGGAGCGGTGGGGCAGGGAAGCGTCTGGGTCGAGGGGGAGGGAGGTGCTGTGGGTGCGTGCGTGTGGAGACTGGTTTGCTGCGATCGGCGTGAACACGCGGACGGGGCGGTACGAGGTGTGGGTGGGCGGCAAGGGCTTGTCCTGGGCGGTGGCGCGGGAGGTGGAGGGGGCGCTGAACAGTGGGAGCTCGACAGCTGGTGATGCTCTAGTGCTGCTGCGGCTGCACTGCCTGCACGCCCAGCTCACAGCGGCGGGCATGGCCCTGGGCCTGGTGGTGAGCAGGGCTTGGCTGTGTGCTGTGGGGTTGTGATGGGTTCAAGGGAATTATCTGGTCTTGTGCTGCTGCATCTGCACTGCCTGCACGCCCAGCTCACAGCGGCGGGTATGGCTCTCTGGGTCTCGTGGTGAGCTTCAACATCTCCTGGTGAGCTTGAAGGTCTCGTGATGAGCTTGAAATACCTGTGGGATTGCCCACAGGAAATGCTGTGGTGCTGCTGCAACTGCAGTTGCATTGCCTGCATGCTCAACAAACAGCCTGTAGTTAGCCCTCTTGGTTCCCTGCCCCTCCCACTCTCCACTTTTTCAGATTTCTATCCCTGTCTTTCCAACTTTGCTCTTTCCCTGACCTCCTCACCCCACTCTTCTCTTTCTGCTTTACTCCTCCTCCACCACGTTTCTAACCCCCTCGGCCCTCCTTCTCCCCCCCCCCCCCCCCCTCCCTCTCCCTTCCGTTCCCGTGTCCACCTGCTTTAACCAGCCGTACGAGGCGGGGCCAGCAGGCATTCGGTACACATCAGACGACCCAGCGAACCCCCTCACTCTCCCTCCACCGCCCCGCACACTCCTCTTCTCCCTCTCGGACCCTCCCTTCCTCCCCTACCCAACCGCATCCTCTCCCTCACCACCGCACTCTACTCCTCCCCCCGCAGCCTCTCCTCCGCCCAACCCCCCCTCATGGCCGCCGTATCTGCTCGCTGTGCTTATCCAACCGGATTTCACTCTCTCCTTTCGCCTGCTTCAACTCACACCCCCGCCGCTGCCCCCTCTAGTGTCACACCCTGCTGCTGCTGGGACCGGTGTCGCTGCCACTGGTGCCAGCGCTGGTGCCGGTGCAGGTGCAACTGGTGTAGGCGGTGCTGCTGCTACTGCCGCTGCTGGTGCTTCCGGTACCTCTGCTGCTGCTGCAGCGGCTGGGCAGTCGCTTGTGACGTCGCTGGCTCCGCCAGGTGTCACACGCTGGTTGGCTCTGGAGGTGGGCGCGCTGGTGCTGGCGGCTGGAGATCCCGAGGTGGTGGCCCTGGCTGGTTCCAGGGCAGGAAAGGCGGCAGATGGGGGGAAAGGGTGGAGAGGTGTGGAGGGGAAGGGAGGGGATTGGGGGAGAATGAGCAAGGGGGGAAAAGATGGGGTTGGAGAGAGGAAGGAGATGGTGGGGGGTTGGGAGGAGCTGTTAGAGGTGGCGGATGCCTGGGAGAGTGATGGCGAGGGGGATAGTGAGTTGGATGGTGAGAGGGATGATAGGGATGCGGGGATGGCGGTTGATGGAGAGATGGGCAGAGCAAGGGGGGATGGAGTGGAAGAAGGTGCAGAGCAAGCATCAGTCGTTGATGGAAAGCTGGGTGCAGATCATGCGGCTGGGACCGTTACTGCCACTGCAGCGGTTGAAAGCGGTGGTGTTGATAAAGACTCCATACCCATCAAAAAGCGCAAACGCCACCACACCACTCACCACCCATCCCAACCCCTTCACTGCGCTCTGATTGGCCGGCCGCTGCAGGAGCTGGTACAGCTGGCAGGGCGGGGCAAGGCCCCTGTGTCTCTCATCTTACCCCTCGTCCTGTCCCGCGCCCAGCACCTCGCTGCAGCTGCCGTCAAGCACTCCCTCCTCTCCTCCCTCCTCTCCTCTGCTGGTGTTTCCACCGTTCCCTTCCTCTCTGCTGCCTCCTCCTCCCCGTCCTCCTCTTCCTACTCACCACTCTCCCCCTCCTCCCCGTCTCACTTCCCCTGTCTGCCGCCCCTCATTTCCTCTTCTCTCTCCTCCTCTGCTGCTGCTTCTCAGTCCGATTCCTCTTATCCACCATTCACGGTCCGCCCATCCTCCCTCGTCTCCCCTCAAACACTTCTGCGAATACCGGGCTTTCCCCCTCCTGCAGCAGCAGCTGTACTGCCCCCAGATATCGCCTCCCCCTGGCAGTCCCTGCTGCTGAGATTTGATTCGCCGGCCACTGCCAGCTGGTCCGTGCTGGTGCCAGCTCAGCATTTCATCAGCTTGTGGCGGCTTCAGGAGTTTTGTCAGCTGCGGCAGGAGCAGCAACAGAAACAGGAGATGGAAATTGAACAAGAAGGAAGAATCTCTGGTTTGGCCGAACCTGTGCATCCACCCGTGGCAGGTGATGCTGCCGAACCTGATGCTACCAAGCCTGATGTTGCTAGGCTCGGAAGAGCAAGATCAAGCAGGGCAGGAGGGGTTGATCATCGCATGAAGCGCCTCCTTCGCTCTTGTGTGTGGGCGCAAGAAGGGGTTGCTTACAGCGATGAGAGCACAGGTGACAGCAGCGCCACCACCACCACAACTCTCTCTACTGCGTCTGCTTCTGCCGCCGCCGCCGCTGCTGCTGCTGCCACTGCTGCTGCTGCTGCTCCTGCTGGTGCTACTAGAGCCACTGAGTCTACTATCAAAGCCACGGGAGGTGCACCAAGCATGCGATGCACTCCCGAGGGACTCCTGCTGACGTGTCACAGCATGAGCCGATCCGCCATCGCCAGCATGGCGCGCGACCTGGCGTGCGTGTGGCAGGCCTTTCTCTTCATCCGCCAGCTCAGACGCATCCTGATTGGCCGACGCAAGTCAGCGGCCGGAAGGGAGTGGAAAGGAAGGGAAGGGAGGGATGGGAGAGGGGGGGAGGTGGCGGGAGTGCGAGTGGCAGGGGATAGGGAGGAGATGGTGAGGCGGTGGGGGGAGGTGAGGCGGGCAGTGAGGGTGGTAGCTGTGGGCCCCACATCTGTCTGTCTCGCGTATGACGGTGGTATGCTCATGCCAGGCTGTCCGGTGCGCGTCCAGATTCAATGGTTCCCAGCTGCCTCTGCTGCCTCTGCCGTTGCTGGCAGCGCTGGTGTTGAGGGGACGGGGGCAATGAAACAGGAGGGTATTGTTGATGCCCGAGGCAGTGGTGGTGATGCTGCTGCGCGTGGTGCTGCGGGTGCTGCTGGTGGTGTTGCTGGTGGCGGCACTGATGGTGGTGGTGACGATTTGGGAGATGTGTCATTAGCTGTGGATTGCAGGGTTGTGGTTTCACCTGATGACTTATGGCCGCACACACAGGTACACATGAGTTGCTGCCTTCATTCTTTCCATCCACATTCTCAGAGCCTTCGAAGCTGACTTTGTCCTTTCATTGTCCTTTTGTCCTGCGCAATATCTCGAGGAGTGTGGGCGAATGCATAACGGAGCCTCATAGTCATTTTTCCTTTGTCCCTCTCTCATAGTATCTAGAGGAGTGTGTGCGCATGGACGTTGCTGGCCTGCTGCTCTACGCCATTCGCCTCACAGTAGCACCGACCGGAGCCACGAAACCGACTTTGTCCTTTCTTTTTCCTTTCACCCCCTTTCCCCCTGTGCATCTTGCAGTACCTCGAGGAGTGTGTGCGCATGGACGACGCAGGTCTGTTGCTCGACGCCATTCGCCTCACAGCAGCGCCGCTCCACGCCTTGCACTCCGCCATCCGCCCCCTCCGCTCCCTCTCCGTCCCCCCCGCCGCCCTGCCGCCTTCGCACCACCACCACAGCGCACACCAGCAACCGCAGCAGCAACAACACGTGCAGCAAACGCATTCTAATGCTCCTGCACATGCGGCAGCTGCTGCTGCAGGCGCTACTGCATCCGTTCCTCCTGCTTCCTCAACACCACCACTGGAAGCTTCTGCTTCCGCTGCAGCCTCGGCCAGTACCCCTGCCCCAGCCGCTGCCACTGCACCCCCAGCAGGAGGTTCAGCCCCAACACCAGCAGCAGCAGCAGCAACCGCAGCGGCAACTGCAGCAGCGGCAGCAGCAGCAGCAGGGGCGTCAAGGGGGCTGATGCTGGGAGCAACGCTGTGCTCGCTCCTCCCAGGGGACATCACGATCATCCCGCGCGGCCCCTTCTCCTTCCGCATCGTCTACCGCCACGACTTTGCCATCCACATGCGCTGCTTCGCCCCCGACTTCGTCTGGTTGCAGCCCGCCCCGCCGCCCAAATCCTACGACCTGCCGCCCGGGCTCGTCGCCATGTTCCCTGAAGGCTCCGCTGCTGTTTCGGCTTTAGCGGAAACTCCCAACGGTGCTGCTGGGAGCGGGAGCAGGGGTGGTGGCAACAGGAGGGGTGGGGCATCGGGAGCACCCACTCCAGGCAACGGCTATCCGAATGGGTCAGCCAGTGGTTCTGCTGGTGCTGCGGCAGCATCGAGTGGGGTGATTCGAGGGGATCTGTCTCTGGGAGGGTCCTTGCCCTGCCCACAGTTCCGCCCCTTCATCCTGGAACAGGTGTCTCTGCTGCTCTCCCAGCTGGACCGACATGCCCCTGACCTGCCTCCTCTTCCTGCTGCTGCACTTCCTCCTGCCGCACCTGCGGCTGCTGGTCCGGGTGCTGGCAGGCTCGGGAGGACAGGTTCAGGCATGGAGAGCCTGGGAGGAGGAGGGCAGCATCCCGTCGGACCCAGCAGCTCACAACACCTGCAACACATGCAACACCAGTCAGCCATGCACCTCCAGCAACAGAATCAGAATCACCAGCAGCAACACCAGATTTACCACCAGCAGCAGCAGCAGAGGGCGGAGATGCTGCGATGGCAGCACATGGCAGCATCTCTCGCCTCTTCTGTCCGCGCAGAGTCCCACACAGCCATGGTGGGGCTGTCAGACGAGGGCGGGTACGGTGGGGCGTGGGTGCCCGTGGTGCTGCTCAAACGTGTGCTGCGTAGCATGCTGCGATACCTCGGGACCATCGCGCTCTTTGCTCGGTTTCCCTCCGTGCTCGCGGCTGTACTGGGTCCCGCCATGGGGACCAGAGAGGCTGGGCTGCTGTCTCAGGATCCGGAGCAGCCTGCTCTGCGGTTCTTCATCGGGTAAGTTGCGCATCTCTCGTTGTGCTGCTGCTCGTCTACTGCATCTCTTCTTGTGCCTCTGCTGGTATGCATGGTGAATCTGCAAAAGTCGGTCTCACACCCTTCCCCACCCCACTCTCCCTTCACCTGCCTGGCCTTTATGTTCCCACCAGCAACTATGTGTACATGGTGAATCTGCATCGCCATCGCCGCCCTACAGCCGGAGACCAGCTGCAACTTATGCTGCAGGTGAGTGCCCTGCCATCCAGTATTTTATAGCCATCATGCCCTGTCATATCATGCTCTGACATGCCAGTTCTCATGGCATACCACAGCATCAGCTCGCGCTGTTCCATCATAAAGTTGTCGTGTCACCTTATGCTGCAGCAGGGCAATGCAGCTCCTTGCTCTGGGGTAACTTCTTTGCTGTGCTAGACCATACCATATCATGCATCGCCATCACAAAAACATGTGATTAGAACAGGATCAACCATATTTCCTGCTCCCCAACCTCCCATCCAGGTTGTAAATGCCCGCATGGCTCCTCAACGCCGCCCGCCAGCCATGACACCCGACGCTGACGTGGACATGAGCCCAGCTGAGCTGGCGGAAATCAGCGATCTCTTCACTCGCAAGGTGGCAGTTGAGCCCTTCGACGTGTCCCGCCTGTCGTCCTTCGTGACACTTGTCATGCTCCCACTGGCCGTGATCCGTGAGTTCATGGGCTTGCTAGCCTTGAGAAGGGAGCAGCAGCGACTGCTGCTGCTGCTGCTGCAGCAGCTGCTGCTGGAACAGGCGGGGCAGCAGCAGGAGAGGCAGTATCAGGGGGAGGTACACCTGCAGGTGGGGCTGGGGCAGGTAGCATCCCTACCATCCCTCCTGCCGCCCGAATCGCAGTCGACCTTTGCTTCGAGAATCGCATCGGCCTAGGCTGGGATCTGCCAGACTCGTTTGGGAGACACAGTGGAGGCTCATCTGGGGGAGGTGTATCTGCAGGGCAGGTTCACCCAGGCTCTGCTACAGCCGGGAATGCAGCTGGCAGCGGTAGAACAGCTCACCGCAGCGATATCAGCTACAGCCGGGCTGAAAGCCGAGTGGATTTCTCTCTTGTCCTGCTCATGGACCATGCCGCCCTCTCCGCCGCCCACCTGCCAGTCCAAATCGCGGGCGGTGCGGGCTGGCTGGCGCACTGCATCTCGGTGCGCCTCCGCTTGCATTTCTCCGCCACCCCTGCCAATCCGGCTGCTACTGGTGCAGGCGCTGCCTCGGTTGCTCCCGGTGCACGAGGGCCGTTGATTCTGCAGCTGTCCCTGCTCGCCGTTGATGGCAGTCACGGCGGGAAAGCGTGCTGGAGTAAGGCAGAGGACTGGGACAGGTGTAAGCAATTGATTGGCAGGGCGGTCAAGGAAATGCCACCACCACCACCAGCAGCTGCTGCTGCAGCTGCCGCTGCAGTAGCAGCAGGTGGAGGGGTGAAGGAAATGGGGGTGGTGGTGGGAGGTAGAGGGTGGTTGAGAGTGTTATCGGAGAGGTTGCAGGCAGCAGTGCACTCTGCACTGGCCGCGTCTCACAGGGTTTGAGCTAGTCCACAAGTTTCCACATGCCCTGTATCGTCCCAGATTCAAGCCGCTGCCACGCAACTATGTTTCACACTTGTGCAAGAGAGTTGCTGTGTAGAGAGTGGTGATAACAAGGAACCAACAAGATACCGGTAGTCACATTGACATTTTGTCATTACAAGGTCTGACGTTTTCAGGCACTCTGATTTCCCTTAGGGAACTTCGTCCACAAAACGTCCAGGGTTGATTGATATGTTTGACTAATTATAGTTTCTAAAATAATAATGTCAAGCCTGCCTGATTACAAATCTAGAATTTGAAAGATTTGCGAGTAAGATACTGAAAGGATTCACATAAGTTTTGATTTCGGTCAGCCATCTAGAACCGCTCTGTAATCCAGGGCATCCACATCTCATATTCAGGCACTGTAAGTGCCAAGCCTCGAGGGCCTCGAGGTACGGATAAGCCTGAAATCGGACGGCGAGGGATGGGTGTGCTGTGCAAACTGCAAAATATCAGGTCTGGTCAGCATTCATGGGGGAAATGGATGGTGATTCGAGGGTGCCGAATGCCACATCGCGAAGATCCTTCAATCATTCATTGGCTGGAGTCTGAATCAAGACTCTCTTCGCAGAGAGTTACTGAATCTTTCGCCTGGGTTCCATTTCGCCTCTAGGATTTCACCCAAAGCCAACCACCCCAAAACCAGAGCTTCACAGAAGTTCTCCCCTCATCCCCAAGAGAGCAGGAAGCGACCCAATCTCTTCACAACGGCTCTCTTCCACAGCAAGGGTTTGGTGGTCTCTCATTGGCCAGCACCGACAGCTCGAATTTGAGCGACACGGCGACAGATCTTGAACTGGCGGGATGACGGATCTACTTGATAGAATTACAAATCGACGGTCGAAAACCATTGGCTTTTCGTTTGTTCCTTCTTGGCCTTGATTCTCGCCTCCGTTAACGGACCCTTTCTAGAAAATATATGGATTCGCTTTTTTGGTGCAGCCGTTTGACGGCGATTGCGACACGTGACGGAGTGTAGCAAACGGAGGGTTCTAAACCACCTGAACCGCACAATCACGTGACACGTTGAAACGTCGGCCTACGGTTGAGATTGATTAGTTCCAGCCTCCTCAGAGATGGTCATTTCGGAACCGTTAGATTTACTCTACGAGAAACCACCGTCATTCCGAGGGTGTGCGAGCCTCAATCCGTGACCCCCTCGCCCAATTCTTGCCCATTCTCAGCCATTTTCGACTCGATTTCTCTCCAACATTGCTCATTCTGCTAGTTTACTGCTACCTGAGAGTATTCCTTCGTCTTGCTAGCGGAGCTCTTCCATTTTGATTTCGGTAGCCGTAACTCTCCGCTTACATCGAAATCGTTCCTCATTTTACATTGGGATTTTCGCAAAACAGCAGCCGAATCCGCCACGCTGCACTTAGTTCGTTCTGCCGTTCCAGCCCCTGATTTTCGGTGAGTACTTCATCGCTGATTCGTCATTTCTTGCAGATTTTCGCTTGTTTTTCACATGAAATATTTATCTAACCAGATTGCGATTTTTTCGCGTTGCAGATTTTCGTCACATCCCCAGACCATTTGAACTCGACTTCGACGTGCTTCAGCTATTCTTACATCGTCGCCAAGCCGCCGTGAAGTCGTCACCCAAAATTCAGCGATTTCTGGTGAGCGTCTTTCCTTTCGCCGTTTTCAGCCCGTTTCTCATCGTTGTAGTAGTATTCGCAGCCTATTCTCACCTCGTTTTCAAACGACTGATCCTCATGTTTTCTGATATTGTGCAGGTTCTGCTCACGCTGTCTCGCCAAGCAAACGCGTGGCGGCTGCTCGCTATGTGATTAGGCGTCGCCAGTTTGCGGTTTCGCGTTTTAAGTGAGGCTTTCGTCGTCCGCGTCGTCGCACGGCGAAATCGTCGTCTGCAATTCGTCTCATGGCGAAATCTTCATCCGCGAATCGTGGCATGGCGAAATGGTCGCGCGACAGCAGCATCAGCTCTCCCTCGGTCCTTCTTCAACCGCCAGCTAAGTGCCTTCTTCAACCCTCGCACTCAGTTGGCTTTTCCGCTTGCACCATGCATCACACTCCCTCTTTCACTGCTCTCTGTCACACCCGTGAGACCTCCCTCCCCCGAGGTAGCAGGTATATTTTTTCTTGGTACAGCCTCAGGTATTTGTTTTAGTTTGGTTCAGCTGGTACGAGGTCTCTTGGGTGTGCCACTGCAGCAGTCCATTCATACACGCATCATTCTTGCATTTCGTGCACTCGTTGCTCTCTCTTCACTCCACTCGTATTTGCTCCTTTCCTCAATGCTCTCCCCACTCCTCTGCCCCCCCCTTCGCTTCCCCGTCTTCCCCGTTTTCTCCCCCCTTCCTCCTTCCTATCTCTGTCCTGATCTTCCACCTCTCATCCCAGCAGGTCGCTCACACGGGAGTGGCAGTGGCGGGGGACATGGAGTGCACAGGCAGCAGCTGCTCTCCACCCAACCCACCCACAGCTAAGTACCCCGCCCTTCTTTCTTCTTCCGATTGCTTTTCATGTCATGCTTGCACCATTTATCACACTCCCTTCTTCCCTGCTCTCTGTCACACCCATGAGACCTCCCTCCCCCAAGGTAGCAGGTATATTTTTTCTTGGTACAGCCTCAGGTATTTGTTTTAGTTTGGTTCAGCTGGTATGAGGTCTCTTGGGTGTGCCACTGCAGCAGTCCATTCATGCACGCACCATTCTTGCACTTTCTGCATTTGACGCTCTCTCTTCAGTCCACGTGTACTTGCTTCTTTCCTCATTTCTCACCCCACTCCTCTGTCCCCCTTCACTTCCCCATTTGCTCCCCCCATTACTCCCTTCCCCTCTCTGTCCCGACCTGCCCCCTCTCATCCCAGCAGGTCGCTCACACAGGAGTGGCTGTGGCGGGGTTCATGGAGTGCACAGGCAGCAGCTGCTACAACCGACCCGCCCTACCTCTCTTTTCCGAACTTTCACACTCTGTTGCTTTTCATGTCATGCTTGCACCATTCATCACACTCCCTTCTTCACTGCTCTCTGTCACACCCATGAGACCTCCCTCCCCCAAGGTAGCAGGTATTTTTTTTCTTGGTACAGCCTCAGGTACTTGTTTTTGTTTGTTCAGCTGGTACGAGGTCTCTTGGGTGTGCCACTGCAGCAGTCCATTCATGCACGCATCATTCTTTCACTTTCTGCACCCGTTGCTCTCTCTTCACTCCACTCGAATTTGCTCCTTTTCTCATTGCTCTTTCCACTCCCCTGCCCCCCTTTCACTTCCCCGTCTCCTTCCCCCCTTACTCCCTTCCTCTGTCTGTCCTGATATTTCCCCTCTCATCCCAGCCGGTTGCTCACACGGGAGTGGCAGTGGCGGGGGACATGGAGTGCACAGGCAGCAGCTGCTCTCCACCCAACCCACCCACAGCTAAGTACCCCACCCTTCCTCTCTTCTCCCAACCCTCGCACTCTGTTGCTTTTCGTGTGCTGCTCTCTGTCCCTCCCAATACACCTGGGCCTCCCTTCAAGCTTAAGCCTCTGGTCATGCCACAACTTCAAGCCACAGACTCTTATTTTTCTGGTAAACCACCCCTGGTACAGAAGTTATCCTTTCAGGTTAAGCCTCCCTTGGTATAGAGCCCTTTTGAGTCTGTGGCTTGTAGCTGAGACTGCACCAGTGGCCCCCTCCACCCCACTCCACCCCACTCCACCCCACCCCGCCCCACCCCACCCCACCATGTACTCGTTGCTCACTTGTCTTCAGTTCTCTCCTTGCCGGTTTAGGGGAGGGGCGTGGGGGTCAACACCGCCACTCCTCCGCACCCCTCCCCTTGTGGCCATGCAGGTGGCAGTGGTGGGAGCAGAGGGGGGCAGCACTCCACTCGGCTGGGATGGGATGGGAGAGTATCGGGATTGGGTCGTCTGGAACAAGGTGAGCCTCTTTCCCTCTTGCACTCATGCTGCTGCTTGGTCGTCTCCCCATGCCACTTCCCTTTCGTGATTCCTCCCTGCCTTCACGCTTGTGCTTGCTCTTCTTCCCATTCTCACTGCTTTCCCTTGTTCCCCGTCTGCCTGCCCACCCCTTCCTCTCAGCGCCCAGTGCATTGAAGGCTGTAGCAGGGCAGCAAGGGGGAGCAGGAGGGCAGCAGAAGGGGGAGCAGGAGGGCAGCAGAAGGGGGAGCAGGAGGGCAGCAGAAGGGGGAGCAGGAGGGCAGCAGAAGGGGGAGCAGGAGGGCAGCAGAAGGGGGAGCAGGAGGGCAGCAGAAGGGGGAGCAGGAGGGCAGCAGAAGGGGGAGCAGGAGGGCAGCAGAAGGGGGAGCAGGAGGGCAGCAGAAGGGGGAGCAGGAGGGCACCAACAGAGCCTCGACTTTCCCTTCCAAAAGCTAAGTGCTCTTCCCTCGAGGTCTCACCAGCCCACTTCTTGTTGCTTGTTCTGTTCCGTCCCGCTGTGCTCTGTGCTCTCTGCTCGCATGTCATGCGCCCATCCCTGCTCTTGCTGCAAGGGAACACGCCTAGGGTTTCAACCACCTCCCCAGGTAACAGATGGTAGGTTCAGCCTAAGGTAGCAGGTGCGCTTCTCCTCAGGTAAGAACAGCCCCAGGTGTGGTAACATGTGGTAAACACCCTGTGGAGTGTCGTCCTTGCAGCAAGTGCTTTCACCTTCATCCATCCTGCTCATGTTCTGCTGGTCTCCCTTTCGCACTCGCTTCCTTTTACCTTTCTTCTCTGCACTCACTTCGTATCTGCCTCCCTCTCCCCCCTCCCTCCCTCCAAGCCTCCAAGGGTATCCTCTCTGCACCAATCCTCTCTGCACCAATCCTCTCTGCACCAATCCTCTCTGCACCAATCCTCTCTGCACCAATCCTCTCTGCACCAATCCTCTCTGCACCAATCCTCTCTGCACCAATCCTCTCTGCACCAATCCTCTCTGCACCAATCCTCTCTGCACCAATCCTCTCTGCACCAATCCTCTCTGCACCAATCCTCTCTGCACCAATCCTCTCTGCACCAATCCTCTCTGCACCAATCCTCTCTGCACCAATCCTCTCTGCACCAATCCTCTCTGCACCAATCCTCTCTGCACCAATCCTCTCTGCACCAATCCTCTCTGCACCAATCCTCTCTGCACCAATCCTCTCTGCACCAATCCTCTCTGCACCAATCCTCTCTGCACCAATCCTCTCTGCACCAATCCTCTCTGCACCAATCCTCTCTGCACCAATCCTCTCTGCACCAATCCTCTCTGCACCAATCCTCTCTGCACCAATCCTCTCTGCACCAATCCTCTCTGCACCAATCCTCTCTGCACCAATCCTCTCTGCACCAATCCTCTCTGCACCAATCCTCTCTGCACCAATCCTCTCTGCACCAATCCTCTCTGCACCAATCCTCTCTGCACCAATCCTCTCTGCACCAATCCTCTCTGCACCAATCCTCTCTGCACCAATCCTCTCTGCACCAATCCTCTCTGCACCAATCCTCTCTGCACCAATCCTCTCTGCACCAATCCTCTCTGCACCAATCCTCTCTGCACCAATCCTCTCTGCACCAATCCTCTCTGCACCAATCCTCTCTGCACCAATCCTCTCTGCACCAATCCTCTCTGCACCAATCCTCTCTGCACCAATCCTCTCTGCACCAATCCTCTCTGCACCAATCCTCTCTGCACCAATCCTCTCTGCACCAATCCTCTCTGCACCAATCCTCTCTGCACCAATCCTCTCTGCACCAATCCTCTCTGCACCAATCCTCTCTGCACCAATCCTCTCTGCACCAATCCTCTCTGCACCAATCCTCTCTGCACCAATCCTCTCTGCACCAATCCTCTCTGCACCAATCCTCTCTGCACCAATCCTCTCTGCACCAATCCTCTCTGCACCAATCCTCTCTGCACCAATCCTCTCTGCACCAATCCTCTCTGCACCAATCCTCTCTGCACCAATCCTCTCTGCACCAATCCTCTCTGCACCAATCCTCTCTGCACCAATCCTCTCTGCACCAATCCTCTCTGCACCAATCCTCTCTGCACCAATCCTCTCTGCACCAATCCTCTCTGCACCAATCCTCTCTGCACCAATCCTCTCTGCACCAATCCTCTCTGCACCAATCCTCTCTGCACCAATCCTCTCTGCACCAATCCTCTCTGCACCAATCCTCTCTGCACCAATCCTCTCTGCACCAATCCTCTCTGCACCAATCCTCTCTGCACCAATCCTCTCTGCACCAATCCTCTCTGCACCAATCCTCTCTGCACCAATCCTCTCTGCACCAATCCTCTCTGCACCAATCCTCTCTGCACCAATCCTCTCTGCACCAATCCTCTCTGCACCAATCCTCTCTGCACCAATCCTCTCTGCACCAATCCTCTCTGCACCAATCCTCTCTGCACCAATCCTCTCTGCACCAATCCTCTCTGCACCAATCCTCTCTGCACCAATCCTCTCTGCACCAATCCTCTCTGCACCAATCCTCTCTGCACCAATCCTCTCTGCACCAATCCTCTCTGCACCAATCCTCTCTGCACCAATCCTCTCTGCACCAATCCTCTCTGCACCAATCCTCTCTGCACCAATCCTCTCTGCACCAATCCTCTCTGCACCAATCCTCTCTGCACCAATCCTCTCTGCACCAATCCTCTCTGCACCAATCCTCTCTGCACCAATCCTCTCTGCACCAATCCTCTCTGCACCAATCCTCTCTGCACCAATCCTCTCTGCACCAATCCTCTCTGCACCAATCCTCTCTGCACCAATCCTCTCTGCACCAATCCTCTCTGCACCAATCCTCTCTGCACCAATCCTCTCTGCACCAATCCTCTCTGCACCAATCCTCTCTGCACCAATCCTCTCTGCACCAATCCTCTCTGCACCAATCCTCTCTGCACCAATCCTCTCTGCACCAATCCTCTCTGCACCAATCCTCTCTGCACCAATCCTCTCTGCACCAATCCTCTCTGCACCAATCCTCTCTGCACCAATCCTCTCTGCACCAATCCTCTCTGCACCAATCCTCTCTGCACCAATCCTCTCTGCACCAATCCTCTCTGCACCAATCCTCTCTGCACCAATCCTCTCTGCACCAATCCTCTCTGCACCAATCCTCTCTGCACCAATCCTCTCTGCACCAATCCTCTCTGCACCAATCCTCTCTGCACCAATCCTCTCTGCACCAATCCTCTCTGCACCAATCCTCTCTGCACCAATCCTCTCTGCACCAATCCTCTCTGCACCAATCCTCTCTGCACCAATCCTCTCTGCACCAATCCTCTCTGCACCAATCCTCTCTGCACCAATCCTCTCTGCACCAATCCTCTCTGCACCAATCCTCTCTGCACCAATCCTCTCTGCACCAATCCTCTCTGCACCAATCCTCTCTGCACCAATCCTCTCTGCACCAATCCTCTCTGCACCAATCCTCTCTGCACCAATCCTCTCTGCACCAATCCTCTCTGCACCAATCCTCTCTGCACCAATCCTCTCTGCACCAATCCTCTCTGCACCAATCCTCTCTGCACCAATCCTCTCTGCACCAATCCTCTCTGCACCAATCCTCTCTGCACCAATCCTCTCTGCACCAATCCTCTCTGCACCAATCCTCTCTGCACCAATCCTCTCTGCACCAATCCTCTCTGCACCAATCCTCTCTGCACCAATCCTCTCTGCACCAATCCTCTCTGCACCAATCCTCTCTGCACCAATCCTCTCTGCACCAATCCTCTCTGCACCAATCCTCTCTGCACCAATCCTCTCTGCACCAATCCTCTCTGCACCAATCCTCTCTGCACCAATCCTCTCTGCACCAATCCTCTCTGCACCAATCCTCTCTGCACCAATCCTCTCTGCACCAATCCTCTCTGCACCAATCCTCTCTGCACCAATCCTCTCTGCACCAATCCTCTCTGCACCAATCCTCTCTGCACCAATCCTCTCTGCACCAATCCTCTCTGCACCAATCCTCTCTGCACCAATCCTCTCTGCACCAATCCTCTCTGCACCAATCCTCTCTGCACCAATCCTCTCTGCACCAATCCTCTCTGCACCAATCCTCTCTGCACCAATCCTCTCTGCACCAATCCTCTCTGCACCAATCCTCTCTGCACCAATCCTCTCTGCACCAATCCTCTCTGCACCAATCCTCTCTGCACCAATCCTCTCTGCACCAATCCTCTCTGCACCAATCCTCTCTGCACCAATCCTCTCTGCACCAATCCTCTCTGCACCAATCCTCTCTGCACCAATCCTCTCTGCACCAATCCTCTCTGCACCAATCCTCTCTGCACCAATCCTCTCTGCACCAATCCTCTCTGCACCAATCCTCTCTGCACCAATCCTCTCTGCACCAATCCTCTCTGCACCAATCCTCTCTGCACCAATCCTCTCTGCACCAATCCTCTCTGCACCAATCCTCTCTGCACCAATCCTCTCTGCACCAATCCTCTCTGCACCAATCCTCTCTGCACCAATCCTCTCTGCACCAATCCTCTCTGCACCAATCCTCTCTGCACCAATCCTCTCTGCACCAATCCTCTCTGCACCAATCCTCTCTGCACCAATCCTCTCTGCACCAATCCTCTCTGCACCAATCCTCTCTGCACCAATCCTCTCTGCACCAATCCTCTCTGCACCAATCCTCTCTGCACCAATCCTCTCTGCACCAATCCTCTCTGCACCAATCCTCTCTGCACCAATCCTCTCTGCACCAATCCTCTCTGCACCAATCCTCTCTGCACCAATCCTCTCTGCACCAATCCTCTCTGCACCAATCCTCTCTGCACCAATCCTCTCTGCACCAATCCTCTCTGCACCAATCCTCTCTGCACCAATCCTCTCTGCACCAATCCTCTCTGCACCAATCCTCTCTGCACCAATCCTCTCTGCACCAATCCTCTCTGCACCAATCCTCTCTGCACCAATCCTCTCTGCACCAATCCTCTCTGCACCAATCCTCTCTGCACCAATCCTCTCTGCACCAATCCTCTCTGCACCAATCCTCTCTGCACCAATCCTCTCTGCACCAATCCTCTCTGCACCAATCCTCTCTGCACCAATCCTCTCTGCACCAATCCTCTCTGCACCAATCCTCTCTGCACCAATCCTCTCTGCACCAATCCTCTCTGCACCAATCCTCTCTGCACCAATCCTCTCTGCACCAATCCTCTCTGCACCAATCCTCTCTGCACCAATCCTCTCTGCACCAATCCTCTCTGCACCAATCCTCTCTGCACCAATCCTCTCTGCACCAATCCTCTCTGCACCAATCCTCTCTGCACCAATCCTCTCTGCACCAATCCTCTCTGCACCAATCCTCTCTGCACCAATCCTCTCTGCACCAATCCTCTCTGCACCAATCCTCTCTGCACCAATCCTCTCTGCACCAATCCTCTCTGCACCAATCCTCTCTGCACCAATCCTCTCTGCACCAATCCTCTCTGCACCAATCCTCTCTGCACCAATCCTCTCTGCACCAATCCTCTCTGCACCAATCCTCTCTGCACCAATCCTCTCTGCACCAATCCTCTCTGCACCAATCCTCTCTGCACCAATCCTCTCTGCACCAATCCTCTCTGCACCAATCCTCTCTGCACCAATCCTCTCTGCACCAATCCTCTCTGCACCAATCCTCTCTGCACCAATCCTCTCTGCACCAATCCTCTCTGCACCAATCCTCTCTGCACCAATCCTCTCTGCACCAATCCTCTCTGCACCAATCCTCTCTGCACCAATCCTCTCTGCACCAATCCTCTCTGCACCAATCCTCTCTGCACCAATCCTCTCTGCACCAATCCTCTCTGCACCAATCCTCTCTGCACCAATCCTCTCTGCACCAATCCTCTCTGCACCAATCCTCTCTGCACCAATCCTCTCTGCACCAATCCTCTCTGCACCAATCCTCTCTGCACCAATCCTCTCTGCACCAATCCTCTCTGCACCAATCCTCTCTGCACCAATCCTCTCTGCACCAATCCTCTCTGCACCAATCCTCTCTGCACCAATCCTCTCTGCACCAATCCTCTCTGCACCAATCCTCTCTGCACCAATCCTCTCTGCACCAATCCTCTCTGCACCAATCCTCTCTGCACCAATCCTCTCTGCACCAATCCTCTCTGCACCAATCCTCTCTGCACCAATCCTCTCTGCACCAATCCTCTCTGCACCAATCCTCTCTGCACCAATCCTCTCTGCACCAATCCTCTCTGCACCAATCCTCTCTGCACCAATCCTCTCTGCACCAATCCTCTCTGCACCAATCCTCTCTGCACCAATCCTCTCTGCACCAATCCTCTCTGCACCAATCCTCTCTGCACCAATCCTCTCTGCACCAATCCTCTCTGCACCAATCCTCTCTGCACCAATCCTCTCTGCACCAATCCTCTCTGCACCAATCCTCTCTGCACCAACTCCTTCCAAAGCTAAGTGCTCTACCCTCAAGGTTCTCACCAGCCCACTTCTTGGTTTGCTTGCGTTTTGTTCCGCATGCTCATGCGCCCATCCCTGCTCTTGCTGCAAGGGGACACGCCTAGGGTTTCAACCACCTCCCCAGGTAACAGATGGTAGGTTCAGCCTAAGGTAGCAGGTGCGCTTCTCCTCAGGTACTTACAGCCCCAGGTGTGGTAACACGTAGTAAACACCCTTGGTAGTGTCCCCCTTGCAGCCAGAGCTCTCTCCCCTTGCACTTGCTATTGCGCTGCTCGCTGTTTCCATCTTTCCCGTCCTTCCCTGCCTGCCTACTGACCAGCTCTGCGTGTGTGCCTTGCAGGTGGAGAGGAGGGTGTGCGGGTCAACACCGACACTCTCCCGCACCTCTCCCCTTGTGGCCGTGCAGGTGGCAGTGGTGGGAGGGGAGGGGGGCAGCACTCCACTCGGCTGGGATGGGATGGGAGAGTATCGGGATTGGGTCGTCTGGAACAAGGTGAGCCTTTTTTCCCTCGTGCCTCTTGCTGCTTCTCTGTTTTGCTCCCTTCTGCCTTCATGCTTCCGTCTGCTCTTCTCCCCATTCTCACTGCTGTCCCTTGCTTCCCTGCCTCCCTCCCTCTCCCCTCCCACCCAGTGCATTGAAGACAGGAGCAGGGCAGCAGCAGGGCAGCAGCGGAGGGTAGGGGAGGGGCGGCAGCAGCAGCAGCAGGGGAAGCAGAGTAGCAGACCGGCAGCAGCAGTAGCAGCAGAGGGGGACAGGGGGCTAGGCTAGGCTAGATGTAGCTGCGGGGAGGTATGGTACAAGGTATGCTACGGTAACAGGTGTGGTATGGTTACAGGTGAGGTATGGTAAGCTGATCGCCTCCTCTCTGTCTCTTCCCCCCTTCTCCCTGCAGGCTGAAGGTGAGGCCCTGGAGCAAGGGCGGGAGAGTGGAGTCCACCCTCTCACTCACCTCCTCCTCTCTCCCTTTTCCTTTCCCCTCCAGCAGCACCCTGCCTGGACCACAGAGGAGTCTCTCCCTCCCCTAATCCCCCCTTCTCTCTCCACTTCCCAGCAGCCTCAGCATCATGGCGCTCTGCACGGCTGAGGTAGGTATAGGTAAGTACGCATGGGGGTGAAGTGTGGGGAGGGTGAGTGGGGGCATGGGAGCAAGCGGGGAGTTCACTGCCTTAGGGGCAGCATCTTCTGGGGTTCTTCCTTGTGAATCGGGGTGTGGTGGGTGGAATCTGCGCGGCACGGCACTCGGTGCTCAAGTAACCGATCCGACGTTAAGGCTTAATGGACACCGTCAGAGCCGACCGGCCGGCGGCTCTGGTTCGCGTCAGCTCTAGCTACGTCTGGGGGTGTAATTTGAGTCTTGGGCTGGAAGCAATATTCCACTACCACACTTCATCCCACAAGGCTTAGCCTCAGGGGTTGCTGTTTCCTTCAGGAAGTGGGCTCTCTGCTGCTCCTACTGCTCGCAGGTAATGGTGGGGATGGGTCGGGTGGTATAGTGAGAGAGAAGGGGGCTGAATCCCCTAGGGTGGGTGAGTGACAGAGAAGGGGGCTGGATCCCCTTGGGTGAGTGAGCGAGGTGAAGGGGGCTGGATCCCCTTGGGTGAGTGAGCGAGGTGAAGGGTGCTGGATGGGTGAGTGAGCGAGAATCTCCATGGGTGGGTGAGTGAGCGAGGTGAAGGGGGCTGTATCTCCTTGGATGCAAGAGGTAAGGGGAGTGGGTATTTGGTGAGTTGGGTGAGTGAGAGAGAAGGGGGCTGAATCCCCTAGGGTGGGTGAGTGACAGAGAAGGGGGCTGAATCCCCTTGGGTGGGTGAGCGAGGTGAAGGGGGCTGGATCCCCTTTGGGTGGGTGAGTGGGGGGGAGGGGGCTGTATCTGCTTGAATGGGTGAGCAAGAGGTAAGAGGAGTGGGTAAGTGGATAGGTGGGCGAGTGGGTTGCTGGTTAGGTTGTGGAGAGGAGATGGGTTGGGTGGGTGGGTGGGTGGGCAAGTGGGTAAATAGGGGGACGGGTGGGTGGCTAGGAGGGTAAGTGGGTATGTAGGTGGGTGGGTGGGTGGGTGGTTGGGTGTAGGTTGGCACCCGAGTGGGTTGGTGGGTATATGTATAGTCGGAGGATGGGTGATGGGTTGGACTTGTGGGTGGATGGGTGGGTTTAGGGTTAGTGGGCGGGTGAATAGATGGGTAGGTTGGTGGGTGGCAACTTGGTAAGTAGGCGGGCGGCTGGCTATCTGAGTGAGTGGGTGGGTGGGTGGGTGGGTGAGTGGGTGGGTGTGGTTGAGTAGGTGGAAATGATGGGTTGGTTGGGTGAGTGGGTGGGTAGGTGGGTAGGTGGGTGATGGGTGATGAGTAGGTGGGTGATGGGTGATGAGTAGGTGGGTGATGGGTGATGAGTAGGTGGGTGATGGGTGATGAGTAGGTGGGTGATGGGTGATGAGTAGGTGGGTGATGGGTGATGAGTAGGTGGGTGATGGGTGATGAGTAGGTGGGTGATGGGTGATGAGTAGGTGGGTGATGGGTGATGAGTAGGTGGGTGATGGGTGATGAGTAGGTGGGTGATGGGTGATGAGTAGGTGGGTGATGGGTGATGAGTAGGTGGGTGATGGGTGATGAGTAGGTGGGTGATGGGTGATGAGTAGGTGGGTGATGGGTGATGAGTAGGTGGGTGATGGGTGATGAGTAGGTGGGTGATGGGTGATGAGTAGGTGGGTGATGGGTGATGAGTAGGTGGGTGATGGGTGATGAGTAGGTGGGTGATGGGTGATGAGTAGGTGGGTGAGGGTGCTGGGTAGGTGGGTTATGGTTGGTGGGTAGGTGGGTAGGTGTGTAGAGGGGTAGGCGGGTAGGTGGGAAGGTGTGTAGAGAGGTAGGTGGGTTTTGGTGCACAGTGGGTTGGGCACGGTGGGTTGGTTTGAGGCAGGTTGGGCTGGGTGGTCAAGCAGCAGGCTGCGAGAGAGTGACTGTGGGATAGGGAAGAGTGACATGAGGGTGCAGGTGAGGTATTAAGGAGTGGACATTGGTTGGGTGAGATAGTGGGGGAGCCGGGTGTATGGCAGAGGAAGTGGCAGGTTGGTGAAGTTGGTGTGGGTCGGGTGAAATGGCTTCTGATGAGGCAGGCTGGGCTGAACAGGGCTGGTTGAGGAGATTCTGTGGACAGGGTGAGGGAGGGTGGAATGGATGGTAGATTTGTGAGAGAGAGAATGATCAGTGTGATATGGTGCATGCGATGGTGATCGTGGGCGAGTGATATCTGGTTAGTGAGATGAGGTGATTGGGTGAGATTCGGTGGGATGATGCAGACTGGGCTACCTGGGCTGGCCGGGAAGAATGAGAATGGGCTGTAGCTCATACGAGGCAGGGAAGGACGGGATTAGTGGATGTGACAGTAAAGGACCGACTTAAGATTTGAGTAGTTTTGGAAGGTACGGTATGAGAGGGATTGAGAGTGGTTGTTGTAAAGAGGGTTTTAACTGCAGAGCGTGCATCTTGTTACGAATAGTAATATTTGATATTACTGTGCACTCCTCACCGCAGCAAAGAGAAGCACGCAGTAACGGGAATGAACGCGAACCGTCAGACGGTTGGAATTGACTCGAAGCGACGGACAGTTGGAACGCATCTGGACCGTCGGAAGCAGACGGCATCGGGCAGCTGCAGGCAGGATGGTTTTGGCGGGAACAGTTACGAAACTGTACGCGCCGCACGGTTGGGAGTGAATTTGAATAAGGGAATGTAACCCTTAGAGTACAAGGCTAGATAGGTCGTTTCACGTTCCCTTGTACTCATATTGATATTCTCTGTTTTACATGCTTTAAATCATCTCAAGCATTTACATTCACTCTGCTATTGAGGTCAAGGGCCCACCAACTATTTCACTGCGTGCGAACCTTCCTGGGTAGATCCCGGGCTACGATCAACTTCTGATCGCAGCATGGTATGAGAGCGGCTCAGGAATCCTTCGCACTGCCACTCCCGAAAATTGCGACATTCGGAAAGTGGCGTCCGGCACACGCTCACGAGTGAAGATGGCCGGAGGATCTGGTGGTCAGACTAATCTGACGGCTGAAGCGCAACCCAACCCGGCTGCGACAAGCGAGAACACGACGACAATCAACTCCGAAGTTCTCGCACAACTTCTTCAGCGACTCACCAGCTTGGAGCAAGGACTCCAAACATTGCGGAATGGCGATGCGGGAACATCCTCGCAACCATCTCAACCGGCCCCGACTGGCCAGAACACCACTCCGCAAACTTTCTCCCTCGACACCAATGGCTCAACCCCCAAGACTCCCCGTCCCAGTGAAGAGGCAATTCTCTCCGCTCAATCAAGGTTTCTCAGCATATCAAAAATAAAGACAAGTACCTGTTTTGACGGCAGAGACTTTTACACCTGGAGCTTCGAGCTGGAGCTCCTGCTTCAGAACGCCCAGATCTTCCACTACTTCGACGGGAGTTACGCGGAGCCTGCTGAGGACACCGACGACGCCAAGGCGCGGTATTACAACGAGTCGCTGATGGCGTACGGGGTGCTCCTGCGGAACATGTCGGCGGCGGAGCAGCTCAACATTCGTTCATACAAAACCACAGCTGCTCCAGCCCTTAACGCCTGGCGACACCTGACAGGAGTCTACCAGCCCAAGGACTCTGTCTCTTCGAGCCGACTACTCCAGAAACTCATGGAAACCAAGATGACCGCAGGGGAGAAAGTCAACAATTACCTTAACCGCTGTCGGAGCCTTCGCGACCAAATCGTGAAGCTGGGAAGCACGATTTCAGAGGAAATCTTCGTCAATATTGTGCTCCAAGGGCTTGGCCCAGAGTGGCGGCCCTGCAAGGCGTCACTCCGACAGCAGGGGGTCATCTCGGAGGCCGCCCTTTGCGCCGCCCTTCTCGTCGAACAAAGGGATATGGACCAGCAGCGACCAGCGCCGCGACGAGAACGCGAACGGCTCGCCTTCTACGCCGACAACACTGAAGAGCGAAAGCCACGGCGCCTCTACTGC